AGTACAAATCATACTCAAGACTAAACTTGTACCATTCGCCTATGAAAATGTTTTGCCTCCTTGAACTTTAAAACTTTCTCCTCAAAATTTCCAATTTCATCTCCCGTTATTACTCGAGAACGAAACTGGTGTGTTTTGCCACGCTGATTGTGAATCGACTTTTTATCCAAACCGCAGATGTTCTGTGATTTTTGAAAAATTTTCATCCAGGACTTAAATTTAGAACATACACCCGCCTCTTGCTTCACATCTTGATGTGGGAAAGGAGAAACGAAGATCATACCAAGACAATCATTATTAATTATATTCATCGCCGTTGTAATTTATCATTTTTTTTCCTTCGCGATGCAAGCAAGTGTTGAAAGGAAGTACAATAGCTCGATAATATTTTAGTGGGAGCGTTCTTGGATGAAAGTAAAATGGCCAGAGCGATACAGGTAGACGGAATTATTTATCACGCCTATCTGTGGTATTCCAATCCAAGTCATAATAGACGAGTTTGCATCTGACAGCTTTCTTGCAACGCGACAGGATGATTGCTATCTTTCGCATACGCAGATATGAGATATGATTTCGTAAGTATTGTCTGTTGCTTATTCTTCATTGTTTTGATGTAGATATCATCAAAAGGATTTTTAATAAACACATCGCTAGTCTGGCAAACTTTGCGTTGTGAAACTGTGAAACTTAAGGGTCGTATCGTCAATCGTTCCTACAATTATTGTGGGATGCCTTTATGGCCTCCTTGATTTTCATAGTTTTCTACTTTTCCGTGTCAGCGCTCTATTTTGAGGTTATGTCACAAATATCTATTTGCATCAAATTGTTCATGCTTTTCATTTTTTATCATGCGGTTTAAGCGTCCTTTTTGAATGGTCGAATCAAAACAGATGCAATTTCTGTTTATTCTAGGACGGTTCAAGTACATTCTAGCCGAAAACCCGCCACCACTTTTTGGATAAATCAAGCACGAATCTAATGTGAATTTTTCACTAAAATCGACATCGAGATCCCAAAAATCCCATTTTCCGATTCCGAAAAGGTTTTTCAGTTTTTTTCAACATCATATTCCTTACTAACGTTTCTGCTGTCATGACCGCCCTACCACAATGCATCAGCATGATAGAGCCAAATGGGTGTATGGTGACCTCTGAGCATAGCAAAAAGCAACGGTACTTCTAAGATGAAATCCCCCATGCATAAAATATAATTATACCGTATCATGGCGCTGAAGGCACTCAACCACTAAATTGTTATTAAAATAGCAGGTATATTCAGATTTTCAGAAGCATCACTGTTCCGATTTTAATGGTACTACCATTAGAGGAAATTGCTTTTATATAAAAATTACGGATAATTGACCGTGCGCTTGAAACACACAACCATTTACAGATGCTTGTTATTTGTTATAATTGATGTTATTATTAGCTACGCGTAATGTGTGCTGTAATACTTTGTAGGACTTGACTTGACTTCTTCTACTCATCGGGGGTTACCAGATCATAGAAATGTTGATATTCAACTGAAATGGGGTGAATATGCCAGTGGTCGGACAATTTGGACAAAAGTGTAATTACGAATTTTGCGTTCAAGAGGTGATCATATATGCTGGTAGCTTTTCACCGACAACAAATACAAATACAGTGCTCATATGGTAGATACTAAGCTGTTAAAATAAATGACTCAATTTTGAAAACACCCTGTACAGATTGATAACGACCACGCCATTCGTCGGCAAGTGTCAAGCTATTGGATTGTGACTAGTATGATGGTAAAGTCAGCGGCCACTCCAATTTGACCTCAAAATGTTAAAAAATCATATTGAGATTAATTTATTTCATGCATTTTAAATGTCTTCTTGTAAATTGTCACAAATTAGATGATAAAGCTGGTACCAATTACCAGCAAGTATAAGATTCCAAATATATATTCAAGCTTTTACCAATAATATAACATTTTTCCGACTACTAGTACTGTCGGGTTACTGCCACATTCACCCGATAAAATACAAATAGCATAAGTTATTGTAAAAAGCACCTCTAATACCTATATTGATTCGTGACTTTATCTAATCATGCTAAAGATTCAAGATTTAAAGCTTTACATATTACCGTTTTGTCTTATTCATTTTTGAGTTCTTTTAAATTGTTACACCCCATATTGATTCATAAACGAGATTTTTTAGGTAGTTAAAAATCATAAGAAATACTTTACACGCACTATAATTTTTTTTACTTCCCCCAAAAACAGCAAGGAAGTATTGCAATCGTAATAAAAGTCGCTCACAACATGCAATCATAATCACTACAAGCATTCCTGACGGGTAACCACGTCGAGTAATCGTGGCCGACAACCCTGATGTGAATTCCTGACAGGCACTCACGATGGTTAATCCGGATGTGCATTCTTGACATACAATCACGATGTACATTGCTGACGTGCAATCACGACGTGCATTTTCGACGGGCTGATCGCGGCGTGCATCCTTGACTGGCAGTTTCGGTGTGCATTTTCCACGTGCATTCTTGACCGACCCTAATCACTGTCGTGCAATCACTACGTGCATTCCTGACATATGATCACGACGTGCATTCCTGACGAGCAATGATGACGTGCATTCCTAACATATAATCATGACGTGCATTCCTCACGGGTAACCACGACGTACATTCCGGACGTACAGTCACGACGTGCATTCCTGACGTATGATCAGGACGTGCATTCCTGACTTGCAATCACGACGTGCATTCCTGACGGGTAATCACGACCGGCAAACACGACGTGCGTTCCTAACATGCAATCGCAACGTGCACAGCACCGCCGTATGTCACTGTAAGAACATTGCGGCAATGTCATATGTATAATTTCTTAGATTTTTCCATAATGAGGAATGTGGCACCGATGGGACCAATGTCTTTTTTATATGGTGGCCCACTAATGCTCAATGTAAAATATATATGTTGTATATATGTTTGGCGTAAGGGACACATGTTTAAAAACATGTCTGGCAGGAAACGTGTTAAAGGCAAAATAAGATGATATCCACTTGGAATTAAAAGATTCTGGAACTGTTTTGCTTTTCGCCATCTATTACATTCATTTGGAACTATACCCCCAATCGATACAGCTTTCATTTTGACTAAATTACAGTTCGAAGTACTACTTCTAGATGCTGCCCTACTCAAGTATAATGGCGCCATCTATCCAGAGATGTATCAAAAGATCTCTCTTACTGCAATGTAATCTTTTTATCAGACGCAATGAGTTTAAAATCAATCCGTCAAATACTCCTATTAACAAGTACGTAAAACAGATTGTTCAATATCGTTTCAAGTTTAAGATATTATGCACTTGGAACTAAAATTTAAGATTCTGAAAACATTTTGCTTTTCGCCATCTATTATACACATTTAGAACTATGCCTCATTCGATACAGCTTCCATTTTGACTAAATTACAGTTCAGTGTACTATTTCTAGATGTCGCTCTACTCAAGTATAATGGCGCCATCTATCCAGAGATGTATCAAAAGATCTCTCTTACTGCAATGCAATCTTTTTATCAGACGCAATGAGTTTAAAACCAATCCGTCAAATACTCCTATTACCAAGTAAGTAAAACAGATTGTTCAATATCGTTTCAAGTTTAAGATATTATGCACTTGGAACTAAAATTTAAGATTCTGAAAACATTTTGCTTTTCGCCATCTATTATACACATTCAGAACTATGCCTCATTCGATACAGCTTCCATTTTGACTAAATTACAGTTCGAAGTACTACTTCTAGATGCTGCCCTACTCAAGTATAATGGCGCCATCTATCCAGAAATGTATCAAAAGATCTCTCTTACTGCAATGTAATCTTTTTATCAGACGCAATGAGTTTATAACCAATCTGTCAAATACTCCTATTACCAAGTACGTAAAACAGATTGTTCAATATCGTTTCAAATTTAAGATATTATGCACTTGGAACTAAAATTTAAGATTCTGAAAACATTTTGCTTTCCGCCATCTATTATACACATTTAGAACTATGCCTCATTCGATACAGCTTCCATTTTGACTAAATTACAGTTCAGTGTACTACTTCTAGATGTCGCTCTACTCAAGTATAATGGCGCCATCTATCCAGAGATGTATCAAAAGTTCTCTCTTACTGCAATGTAATCTTTTTATCAGACGCAATGAGTTTAAAACCAATCCGTCAAATACTCCTATTACCAAGTACGTAAAACAGATTGTTCAATATCGTTTCAAGTTTAAGATATTATGCACTTGGAACTAAAATTTAAGATTCTGAAAACATTTTGCTTTTCGCCATCTATTATACACATTTAGAACTATGCCTCATTCGATACAGCTTCCATTTTGACTAAATTACAGTTCAGTGTACTACTTCTAGATGTCGCTCTACTCAAGTATAATGGCGCCATCTATCCAGAGATGTATCAAAAGTTCTCTCTTACTGCAATGTAATCTTTTTATCAGACGCAATGAGTTTAAAACCAATCCGTCAAATACTCCTATTACCAAGTAAAACAGATTGTTCAATATCGTTTCAAGTTTAAGATATTATGCACTTGGAACTAAAATTTAAGATTCTGAAAGCATTTTGCTTTTCGCCATCTACTATACACATTTAGAACTATGCCTCATTCGATACAGCTTCCATTTTGACTAAATTACAGTTCAGTGTACTACTTCTAGATGTCGCTCTACTCAAGTATAATGGCGCCATCTATTCAGAGATAAAAAAATAAATCTTTCTTACAGTAATGTAATCTTTTTATGTGAGTCAATGTGTTTAATACCAATCCGATAGATAGTTCTTCTATCAAGAAAGTAAAAACAGAATGTTATTTTTGTGCCGCTATTGCTTTATTGCTTATTGTTTTGTGTGGATAGACGCTTGTTTGTAGCAACTTCAAGTTATTAATACCTGTTTCCCTACTTTTAGCGACTTCGTGTCCTGAGTCTTTAGAACTGTTTCAACGGTCATGTCCGATAATAAAAACAATCCGTACGAGCGTTCAGTCGACAATTTATCAGAGGGACTCCTACAGAACATTCAACCTTCATTGGAGCGTATTGAGAAACAACTCAAAGAACTGAATGCCAAGCAAGATGCTATCGTCACCCAAATCCACGATGAGAATCTTACATTGGCCCAAACGCAGTTCTCTCCAGAGTTGCAGGATATGTTTCGTACCATGGCAGCGTACCACAATAAACTGCTGAGTATCAAGAAGGACATGAAACAGTTGCATGACAGGGGCAACAGATTGAAGAAAAGGGCAGCAAATATCAAGGAGGTCAAAGAGAAGGCATTGATGGCAAAGATACAAAAAGACATTGAGTTGAAGAGGGAGCAAGAGTTAATTGGAAAAGGAAGTGGTTCGGTCTCTAGTTTAAAGATGGACCATAGTAGTTCCATGCATCAAAATAAGCAGAGTCCAACATAGAGCTTATGATTGTGATTGTTGACATGTTTTGAAGATTATGAAAGTTATAAATTGTTGAAATATGAGCTTATGATCTGTGATAATTCTATTTACCCTGGCCAAGTTGAGTTTGTTTTTCACAACATACACTCCGTGCTAAACTCAAAACATTTTAAAATCAAATTCGAATAGGATAATTATGATAATGATCTATTTAGCCACATCTATTGGGACATTTTTGAAATAAGTGATTGGATAGACTGTAGGAAACTGTGACATAAACGGTAAATGATGACTGCTCTTCAAGGTTCTACAAGTGATTTGAGGAGGATCTTCAAACCAACAACTGGATACATGTCGTTAAACTGCACGCGAATATTGGACACAATTGAATTGAGGCATAAAGTTGCAAAACCCACCTTATCCATTTTTTTAAATAAATTGGGATAGTAAATAATATTAATGGAAGACCTTGAATCTCCATAAATACAGCCACAAAATGCTCCTTCCTATTTAAAATTGATTGTAAAAATCTGTAACTACGGCAAAAACCGTCTTATCTGTTAATACACTTGCATTGTGATTATGGTTACACTTACACTAGTATGATGTTACTGCAGCATTATCCATATAACATATGCGATTAGGGATTTCATAAAAACATTGTACTTACTGAATGACAACAGAGACTCTCGGAAGAAGAAAATGATTAAGAACTTCGATTTTTTTGTCATAGGTTGATACAACAATACACAATATGTTACCAGAGAACTATTTTTGCTATTAAAGCATTGTTTAATACCTACTGTTTAATTTTATTTCAAAAGCAGAAGCAAGACCAGGAATGTTGCTGCAGCAAAACTCGCCTTATCCAATTTTTTTTGTTTGTTCTTTCCTTGAAAAATATACGATTATTTCTGGACAAAATAGATGCAAAATTACAACTCCACACAATAGAGTTATATTTTTTTAAATGCAGCTTGTAACTTTGGGTAAAACAGTATTTGTCAATTATCATCTCGAAATCAAGTTTGTGGAATAAGGCGGGTTTTGCAACTTGACGCTTCAATTGTAACCAAACAAACCGATATAATACATATGCTGCCATCTCTTAAGTGAGAACAGAAGCTACTGGTGGCGCTACCTATTGAGATATTTTCTAAGTAAGTATGCTAGTGATGCGACAATAAAAAAAATGATGAGTTGGTTTTGTAGAACCAAATCTAAACTTAGATTCAACACTAATATTCAATTTTAAATAATGTTCATAAAAAAATATGAACTTCACTAACGCCATAGCGAATGACGTTTTACAAATCATCTATTACTCGTCAAAAGCTAAAAAATAGTCCAAAAATAAACTCTGGACGCGGCAACTGAATCACAGTAAATGCTCTCACGGGGCCCCTCCAGTCGTATTCTTGGACCTTCAGGGACCTCTCTAATAAGTTTTTGCTTTCGGTTCCTGGGTGCTAGACTCAAAATATTTTAAAAACAAATTTGACTATAATGAATTTTAAAAATGTTTTACTTAGCGACTTCTATTAGCACAATTTCAAAAAAAGCAATTGGATAGGAATTGACTGAAGGAAACTGTAACTATTACGGTGAATGATAACTGCTTTTTAGAAGACTCCACAGTCCACGAGCCCACAAGTGTTTTTAGGGTCTGAAAACCAAGGATATTTGGTTAAATTGAAATACTGATTGTGTTACCGATCGAAGTATTTCATGAGTAACGGCCTTGGTGATGAAATATATCTATTTTTTGTGGTTTATTTCGTGCATCTTCCGTGTCTGAGATTTCACAAAGCCTCGATAAGGTACTGTCTGGGAAAAATGATTTGAGTCTAGCAGATAATGACCCGCCGAGCCAGAACGTGAAACTATAGTTTGAAATAGAAATAGCATAGCAGTCAAAATACTTTTTCCACCCCACCTATAAAGAAAATCACTATAAACTATACAGAACTAAGCCTCAAAGAAAGCTTCTGAGATAATAATAAGAAAGGAATTTTACACGTAAATAATCAAAAATCGATTACAGTCATTGACATTTGAATCATGTGATGAGATGATAATCATAAATTAGAATATTAAAAAGAGTCGATTGGATTGACTCAGCCGAACCATAAAGTCCATCACCATTTTGTGGTGACTTTAGAAACGTCAACAACCGTCTTGTCAGCCAACATATAAATCAAATTCAAGCGGATAACCAAATGGAAATGGTATTTACCATTTTGGGTTGGTATTTACCAATCCGTTCAAGCGAGTGTAGTTATCAGTTTGGTTATAAGATCCGTGACGTCACGAATCAGCTGTTATATGTCATAGTTATCACCGCAAAATTGTGGTATTTACCCAACTCAAGAGTAGTTTTATATTTCTGGTTATTATTTGAAATGTGACAAGTTAGAATTTTGCCGGGTATTGGATATTGTTATTGTACTTCAGCTTCAATTTTGAGAAAAATGATACAGGCTGACTTCAGTTTTACCATAAAGTGGAGCACCTTATTAGTTATACTCATTACGGTTCTTGAGGACACTTTAAATGTAGTTCCTATGCTTAACAAAGCTTAACAAAGTATGTGTAGCCATATACCACAAGAATACCACAAGAATATTAAAATATGGCCATATAAACTCACTAGATGATATCCACCTGTATACGGTTTTGCTAATATCTTTTTTCATCATTTCTGCTGAATCAATAAATGTTTTCTTTGATATGCGGAAAAATTTAGAGAATTGAAAGTTATCATAGCTACAAAGCCATGGTTCCATCATTAAAAAAAAATCTGAAGAAAACATTTCTCCCATGAATATTATGAAAGGTTTCTTATTTAAACTTTCCATATACAGTTGTAGACGAAAAAGCACCGATTATTAAGTGATAATAAAAATAATCAGAGATTATATACGCGCTTTTCTAAAATCAACAACTTGTAACAAAACCGCGGTTAAAACCAACGCGTTCAAGCGATTCGTGTAACTGACGTCATCAACCCGTGTGTCATCTTGAACCATATTATAACCGCGGCACATAACACAGAAATTTTGGTTATTCGCTTGGATTTGATTATGGACAACATCGTGTAAGCTAAAAAAAATGTATAACGAGAACATGGTTGCCAACCTTTTTGAAAAATTCAGAATATTTTTGGTTTCTTCATTGTAAAAAGAATAGAAAAGAAAGTATTGAAGATTATTATTTGATGGAAGTCAAATGAAAAAAAAGATTTAGGAAAATTTGTATAGGTTATATTAACAAATTCATAAAAACGCATTGTTGAATATTTGCGTCCTTCCTCCTTCTACCATTATTTGTTTATTGTTCACCTTGTAGCATGTTGATGTGAGGAAGTGAATTAATAAAATCAGTAGATTTTGATAATACCAGTCAGATTAAATACCATTCATTTTGTATTTATTTTGATTAGTGATCGCAAAGCTATGCGCATCAGCGCACTCTGTCTAATAATCCATCTTCCCGAACTACTAAAGATGTCTTAGGACAATGCCATTTTGGTATTGTGTTTATTAATGTACAATCTAAAAACCTAATTTATAGTGTTTTCGGGGTGTGCAGTGTAGCTTAAAGGGACAGAGACATCAAAAAAATGATATTTGCAGAATAGGTTCCTGGTAAACGCACATCCAGCTAGTGAAAAATCGCTGACATCCAATGTCCCTGTAGTTCGTTTATCTGCGAAATTCTATACGTTACTATAGCAAAAACTATGTGTGGTATGAGTAAAAATGAACTTTAACTTTTTCCGCTGTCGAAAAGCATATTAAATGTTCGATATTTCGTTGAAAATGGCTCGTGCCGGGTTAAGAAACAGACGGCCATGGCCGCTTATTTGAATTCGTACATATAAACAAACAGAACAGGCCCATTTCAAATTGAAAAACAATGATATAGTCGGCTTGAAGAAGAGTACTCTTGCACGATGGATCCAGTGCTTTCCAGATTGGGAGGCGGAGTTACAATACAGAGACTTGAAAAGCCCAAAAATGCCACCCAAAAGGATTCTGCTGGTATGGACAAGCCCTCGGAGAAACCGAAAGAAACCTTGCAAAACCCTGACGAGAGTGAAGATGAGTTTCCACCAATCCCTAACCTGAAACGAAACCATGAACTGAACCTGCCTTCTACAGTATCTGTGAAGAAGATAAAGTTAGATGAACCCCATTTAGAGAAGAAACCCTCAGAAGATATGATTCTCAATAACTTTAGTGAGACTGAAATATCAGATTATGATACTGAATCTGATATTGATGAATCTGGTAATGAACTCGATGACTTAGCAGCCCATGAAGTATTAAATCAGAAAGTGTTGGAGAAGGTAGCAGAGGAATCTCAGATGGGCAAAGAAGACTCTGATGAAGATGAAGGCAGCAATAGTGACTCATTCTTTGAGAAATTGGTAGAGCAGGCAGAGGTTCCTGCATCAAGTAGCACCAGTCCGCCAATACAGCCAAAACAAGAGCCAGAAGACGATTATGAAGTGGATATCAAAGAAAAACTGAAAGAAATGGGGGAGATCAGCTTTGAAACAGTAAAAAAAGGAGAGAAACCTGTCAAGAAGACTGAAGCACCCACTGAAAATGAAGTTGTGGTTACTCCAGCTAAAAAGTTTGGTAAGGATGTACTAATTTAACTAAGATTGGTTTTTGTATTTGATATAATCTTTAAAACATTGATTTCAATATACTTGAGAGGCTGTTTTCAAATATTCTTACATTTAATAAAAAATCTTGGTTTTGGGTAAACTGAGTTTGTAGATCATAAATTTGATATCAGATTTTTGCTGAGATTGAGAAAGCTTGATGAAGAAAACTTTCAATTGTTTGTTCAGGTACGAAGCATTCATCAAACCACTTTTTGAAAAGGTCTTTTGTCATCCATGCACTTTTTTGTCCGTAATAGTGTACAGCACATGGTAGTATGGTTACACGCTCTTTACTTACTTTTCGACCAGGTACGGAGTTTTCGTTACCAGAAACAAAAGTTTTGTTAGGCATCACACGCCAAAAAAGCCCTGATTCGTCTGCGTTGTACACCTGTGACTGGTCAAGATTTAAATCATTTACCTTTTGCAAAAATCTTAATTTAAAGGGCTCTATGCAGGTGGCATCGTTAGAAAGTTTCTCTCCTGTAATAGTCATTAAACGTATGCCATGACGAGTTTTAAAACGTTCTAGCCATCCTTTGCTGGCCACAAAATCATCTTTTTTTGTTATTTCCTTATAAAAAAAATTAGCTTTCATGGCCAACATGGGCCCTGAAATTGGTGCATGTCTATTTCTTTCCTGAAGAAACCACATGTACAAAGCTTCTTCCACTTCTGGATGTTCAGCTTTCTTGAGTGTCTGTCTCTTGCCTGGCCTTCAGTCAGTAGTTGACACAAACTTCTTGATCATCTCGTGGTTTCTTTTAATGTCATAAATTGTAGATCGGCCTACGCCGTATTCACTTGCTAAACTGCTGAAAGTTTCATTGCGATTTAAGCGATCTAAAATATCACATTTTTCTTTAATTGTCAATGTTTTGTGCTTTCGCTTCTGAGTTTGTGATGACATTAATAGGTACTATACTTAATACACAATGAATGAATAGTAAACAATGAACGCACGCTAGGCCGTACCGCTATCACAAGTAGTTAAATTCAAACTAAGTAAAACAATGCTTACGCGTCGAGCACCATAGCGGTGGCGCGTACAAGTTGTAACCTGTTCAAACCTGCGTGATCTGCATCAGCGAAGATTGTCAAATACCTATGTATGTAATACATATTCAAAGACATGTCGGATTACAGGGGGCGCCAAATTAGACAGGGGCCGGATTATCGGAGGTCCATTGTATCTAGCAACTAATATGAATTCTGGTTGTTCATATTATCCTTTATTCGCTTTTTTTTAAACGCGTTTGAAATCAGGTGCAGATGGCGAGGAACTGCCAGCCAATCTTCCAAAGGGCATAGCACTGCGTCGCAACATTCGCGAGGTGATGGACGAGACGAAACTGGACGAGTCAACTTTGGCAGCTCAAAGGCAAGAAGCGGAACGATTGCGGAGAGTACAGGAACAACAACGGTTACTGAGAGAGCTGCAGCGACAGGCGGCGCTAGAGAGGAATCAGCAGAAAGTCATGGATATGCTGAAAGGAGGAAGTGCCGCACACCGCTTTCCAAAAGCCGGTACGTTTTTTTTCGTAAAGAAACAATGTCATTAATACCTTACACACTACCTTTATGCTATTTGTTTGATCTCTCTTTGGAATCGGATAGAAAAAAGACCGATTGTCTTGACCTGATACGCAAATTTAAATATTTTTATTCCTATAATTTTGAAGGTTCGTCAAGTCGGATTGGTAACACAGTGCTGGTTAAATTGCCAAATGGTCAGACCAAACCGATGACAAGACTGCCAAAACGTCCCTTTGAATTGCTCAGAGTGCCAAAGTCTGGAGCACCTTATCCTCATCACCCTGGATACAAAGGACCAAGAGCCATGATGCAGGTAATTATCGAAAATTCTTATTTTCTTGTATGTTTCATGCAATTTGTCATTTGAAATTTATTAAGTGTGAACTGAATTCACCGTTTTGTTCTTGACATAATCCCTATAACATTTACTTGAGCTTTTATAGGAAACTTGATATTGTCATGCATTACCTTAATTTCTAACTGAAATAAATATAAAAATGTTTAAAAGACCTATTATATAAAAGTTGAAGGGCATCATTAAGTTGTTTCAGTATTAAAAAAACGTTCCCCAACTAGTTTTTTTAAATGTTTGACTTGATAGTTAGGAAGTTTGTGGTGGTGTGTTACCGTATTATTTCATTATATAAAGAAAAACGGTAATTTATAGGATATGGAAGGAATTTAAATATTTTATTTATATTGAATTTTACGAGGTTGCGTAAAAAATTTTATGTAAACTTGCAGCATCCGAGACCGAAAGGCGCAGAACTGACTCCTTCAGTGAGCATAGCTCCGGTATCTAAAAAATTCATGCCGCCAATGCAGAGGCACAGCGACAGCGATAGCGAAGGAGAGGAGATGAAAAAATACATGATGGACGCGCAGATGAGGCATGGGATGAAAAGTGAGATACCTCCTGGTACTATTGCTTTTTGTTTTTTATTTTTCACTTTTACTTTTGTTTGTCATCGTTACTATCAATCCCATATCGAACTCAGTGGAGTATTGTTGAGGATTATGGAGAAATATTAATAATTTGCCTCTAACGAGCATGTTCTGAATGTTATTATTTTTTTATATGGATGAGAATCAAAATTTGAAAAAATGATAATAAATTTCACCATCCTTAAAAAGTGGATGAAAATAATCTATTTAAGTAATTAAAATGAAATTTGTTGGATAGAGAATAACCCACTCTCAAACTAAGAGCTGTGGGATAATGATTCCCATACCCTGTTCAAAGAAACTGGAATACAAGATACCTTTAAAACAAGTGTTTCAGGTACTAGATTCAAAATATGCGTTTTAAAAAAAAAATTAAAGACAACATACTTTTGTAAGACAAAAACATTTTATTGAGTATAAGTTTATTTTATTACATGAATTAATTACGAATAGATCCCGCTGATCACGTAAATGTGACAAAATGTTATAACTTTAAAGTTCTAATTGAGACCGTGAAAGCAAACAGTTTGTCATTGATTTTTTTTTCGATGAGGCCTCATTATTACACCCCCAAAAGAGACGACGAACGTTTTTTATTCTATCCTATGGCCTCCCAAAAAGCTTTGCAGATGGGTGGATGACTTTGCATTTGTATATTTTTTAGCCCTTTTCTTTGGTAATTTCGACAATGTCAATAAAAAGAAACATTGCAGGCGGCAGACCTCCAGTGCAAACGATCGACATATCGTCAGACGATGACTGCGTCGTGGTCTCCGAACCTGAATGTGATAATGAAGAACCTGATCAGGATGATCCGGCAAATTCTGGAATGCATACCAACGATGAATTCAACCAACCTGACGAACAAGGAAGGGTAAGATCTTACAGTTAAATGTTTTATTAAACTGCGACATTGACCAACATATTCCACCATAATATACCCGATATAATTGAAAGCTGTGCATCCGAGAACATAAGCATACATACCGTGGCATTGTTTGTTTGTTGAACATTTATTTAGCGTTAATGTTACAGTGTCAATTTTGTATAATTATCCATTTACACATTTTTTTCAATCCATTTTCTGTAATTTTACATTCGTATCTACTAGCATAGGCTTTTATGTCTGAACCAGACTGCAATGATTATTAAGTCTCTTTCAACATTTTCCTTTATTTTCGGGCGATTAATGTAAAGTGTAACATTATATGTTGCATCAAATATCTGGAACATACGCAGCAGTATTTGATTTGAGTGTGCTGGTGCCAGGTCCTGGTGAACGTAGGCCATCCCGAAGAGGAGCCCGACGTGTTCGTGGCGCCGCAAATATCGCGCATCATCAAACCCCATCAAATCGGCGGCGTCCGCTTCCTTTACGACAACGTCGTGGAGAGCATCAACCGATTCGGCAGTTCCTCGGGGTTCGGATGCATCCTGGCGCATTCGATGGGCCTGGGCAAAACGCTGCAGATCGTCACGTTCTCAGACGTCTTTCTCAGGTATACGCCGGCCAAGACGATACTATGCATTATGCCGATCAACACGTTGCAGAACTGGATGGCCGAGTATAATATGTGGTTGCCGATTGCGGAAAATGCGCCAAACAGGTACGCGAAAATTATTATACTTCTTGCGTCTAAATGCAGTTATTATGGATTCTCTCTTTCGTTTATTCAAACCTACCTTGAAAATCGGTTTAAAAAAGTTTGTCTAAATCAACAGTGCTCTACCGCACAAAAAATTTGTACTGGTGTACCACAGGGATCTGTTTTAGGACCCCTGTTATTTTCATTATATATCTCAGATTTAGAAACAGAGATAATATCGTGCAGCATACAATTTTTTGCCGACGATACTCAGATTTTCTATTCTTAATGACCTGGAAACGGCTAATAATAAAATTAATCAAGACCTTTCCCAAACTGAAAAGTTTAGTAGTAGTCAAGTCTTCGTTTGAACCCTTTAAAGACAAATATGTTGCTATATGCAAATAAAACAAAAAGTAGTGCGTTAAAAAAGGAAATTTAAATTTAAAAACTAATAAAATCATGCAAAAAACCTAGGTATTATAATGGATTTATGGGAGTTTCCGCCTTTTTGTTATATATCGATGGAAATGTGTCTAAGTGCAACGTAGGTCAAATGTGACTCGAAAATGGCATTAGTGACTAGGATAATCTCTGAATCAAAGTTTTTCAAATACATTGAATATAGACGTCGGGGTACCTCAAAAATCAGTATTTAGGTCCGATTCTATTTTTAATCCGTATCAATGATTTAATAAATTTAAACAACAGCCTTAATAAGTTAGTTTGCTTTCTTTGAAAATAGATTGAGATTTAACATTTCCTTATGGTGTGTATGCTCCCAAAATTGTCTTTAAAACTGCTTGTACAAAAACGAACTATTAGATACATAACTAAACGCAATCCTAGAGCTGCATGCAGGTCCTTTATTTCTAAATCTGAAAATAATGACGTAACATTGTTCATTTAAAAACAACAACTCTTTCGTTCACTTTGTACCTAGATATTACGAAATTGGAAATTTTGCATTAGGAAACGTCAAAGTTTAAAGACATAACTATTAAGATTTTTCCACTTCAGATTTTCATGTTTTCATTTCAAATTACCCTGGGCTGCATAATTTCGTTTATAATAGCGGGAGACTAAAATTAAATTCTGCTTTTAGAAAAGTCGAAGTTTGGAATCGTAGTATAGCAGTAACCTTAGAATTTAAAAACAAATAGAGACATTTCTCCGACTGTTTTATATACGGTCGTGCATTGTCCGATATTTTTGTTCATGGTCTGTCCAAGTTTTTTTCTCGTAACATACATACAATTTAATCTGAAAAGAGTGAGGATATGTTTCTTTGAACAGAATGGTTTCTCTACAAGTGAACATAGTTATACCAGTGAGAAAGTTCACATTTCAAATTTGTTTGTATGATTTTGAAATGTTGAATAACCGAGCTTTCAAATGTTTTTTAATTTGGTATTAGTATACATGGATAGATTTAGCCTATAATATTTTAATTTTCAGTCCGCTAAACGCACATGGCGAGGTGCGACCTCGTAACTTCAACCTGCACGTACTGAACGATAGTCATAGAACGTTGATTGCGAGAGCGGCAGTGATTCGAGAATGGCGATCAAACGGTGGCGTTCTACTGATCGGTTACGAACAGTTCAGGCTGTTGAGCTTGAGAAAATTCCCAAAATCGAGGTCGAAAAAGGCCATGTCTATGGAAGAGGGACCGCCCGAGGATACTAAGAATAAAATGCTTTTTGATGGTACGCATTTTCATTGCAGGGGTTTATTCATTAATAAGTGGTCAGAGATATAACGGTTTTTTTGGATAAATCAGTATGTTTCTGAAAATAGTAAGAGATCAAATCTACTAACCTTACAAATCAAAAACCGACAATTTGCATATACCGGGTACGCCATCTTTTATGTCGGTATTGAAACATCGAATGATTTTGATATTTACCAACCGAGTGATCGGGTTATACGTGTTTCTGAAACGTCAATTTACTACAATTTTAGTCATGTAACGCTTTACACCGAAACAACGCGCCGAAATAGTCACAATGTACATTGAAAATCGTCGTTCAGTTGTGTTAACGCAACGTGCATATCGTCGAAAATATCCTAACGACACTATCCGTCGTTTGGTTTCGAATTTTCTCGACTACGGGACGGTGGAAGATTTCATGTTTACATACCGACATGAAAGATGGCGCACCCGGTATATATCTCTCCAACTTCTTATAGTTCTTCGTTTTTAGCTTCAATCTTAGCAACTGTTTCATTTGAATAGATGTACCAATGTGTGTCCTTTTTTTCAGAGGTGCAAGCAGCTTTGGTCTCACCGGGTCCAGATCTCGTAATCTGCGATGAAGGGCATCGTATAAAAAATTCGCACGCGTCCATATCGCAAGCTCTGAAGCAAATGCAAACCAAAAGACGTGTCGTTTTGACCGGTTACCCTTTGCAAAATAATCTCATGGAGTATTGGTAGGTATTCGGTACTCGTAAATGGGTGCATATACGATATTTCTGTTTTCGGTGTCAACTTTTGTTTTCATATTATTATTTCATATACAAAATACGAGGTGATTTAAAAAACAATATTGTAAAGTAGAAAGGACGCTCTTGCATTTATTATTATTTTTTTTTAGGTGCATGGTCGACTTTGTTCGTCCAAACTATTTAGGTACGAAAACGGAATTCTGCAATATGTTCGAAAGGCCGATTATGAACGGCCAATGTATCGACTCTACGGAGGCTGATATCAAACTTATGCGATATAGAGCGCACGTGTTGCATTCACTTTTGCTAGGTAAGACTCCAGATTGGTATTATACTAAAAACAGAAAATTTTATATTTCTATTCGAATTTAACCAATTATTTTTCTGCAGGTTTTGTCCAAAGACGGTCCCACACAGTCCTTCAAACAGCGCTTCCCCAAAAAGAGGAGTACGTCCTGTTGATCCGAATGACGCCGTTCCAGAGAATGCTCTACGAAACTTTCATGAATGAAGTCGTGCGAATTCAAGCCACTCCGAATCCTTTAAAAGCGTTTGCTGTCTGCTTGAAGATATGGAATCATCCCGACGTGTTGTATAATTTCCTGAAAAAGAGAGCTGGCGGAGAGGCCGTCGATATAGGTATGTTACTTTAGTTTCCGTAGCGATGAAGGGTAGAATTATAGTCGCAAAAAATCCAATTCTAAGGTATTTTTATTTCGCGGCTTAAGAACTGAATTTCCTAGGGGCGTTCGAGTGGAAGAGTTTGTCCAGTAATAGAAAAGTTTGAAGGCATTCTGCATCTATTTGTAATCTTTGTGAATTACGAATAGGATGTCATTTTTCTTACTCCAAATCGTGCTTGTTAAGTTTGTAGCCTTTTTTCACGCTCATACTGTAAATCAGCCTCCAATATTATTCCAGTGTACCAAAATTGCTTCGCTCGTAATAACGAAAGACGAAAATGGAAATTTTGTTTTGAGAAATTTTCACATGAGATGCTGTTGAAGAAAATTGTCAAATTTTCTCTTCCTTGTCCACGATTTCGACCAAAACTGTTTCTCAGGAAAATTTATTGCGAAGATTTTGAATCTTTTTGATGAGTTCAACAGATGGTCCCAAAAGCTGCATTACTCAGCTCAAAATAAGGTTTCAGAACTCTTTAGCATTTTTTGCATTGAAGCGTCATCACCTTGCATCTTCTTACCTGGGTATTTTCAAAATCTCCAACTGTTTTGATTATGCCTTCATTTCAGATTTGGAAGAGGTGGGCAACGTGTTGGTAAACAAAGAATCGAAACCGGCAAAGCGCGGCCCCGGCAAGCCACGCAAAACCCCGGCGAAAGGGAAAAACGGCAAACCTGCCGCGTCTGTCACACCGTACAACAGCCAAACGGACCATCCAACTCCACCTCCTCCGGCCGCAACTGGCGCACAACCGACGACAACTTCCACCTCTGGCCCTTTAACGTCCTTCGCCAACACCATCACTTCCCAATCGTCGAACAACTTCGCGAATCAAACCGATTCGACGTTCCCGAACTTCGCCGACAGCAGTCCCTATTACGAGCAGGAGTTCGATCAGAACGCGCAGTTCCCGTCGACTTTCCCGAGCGCGAACAGCAACTTCAACCAGAACTTCCAGAGTCCGATACACTTCAACAGCGATTCCGAATCGGCCAGTCAGAATCAGAAAAGTATCCTGAATCTGGACAATCAGACAACTTCCACCACAACTCCGAATAACCTGGCGAATCTGCCGTCGGGGATTTCTCTAACTCCGCTGAGTTCGAAACCGAAAGAGAGTCCGAGTAGCAGCGTGTCTCTTACGCCTCTCACGAACACCACCAGCAATGCTTTGGCATCTTTGCAGAATATGCAGAACGATAGTACTTATATGGAAATTGGTAAGGAAGAATTTATGTTTTTTTTTACCCAGATCACAACTACTATTTTCAGCAGAGGTGGTTACTAAACATGGGGACAGAAACTCGAAAACTCTGAAAAGAAAATGTATTAAATTATAAATGTCTAAGAAACATAAGATACAAATAAAGCAATGATTTATTTGTCGAATAAGAATCAGGTTTTGGAAACCATGCATTGTTTCCCTATTAACTTTCAAATTCAAAGTTTGACCGATTCCCGATCGCAATAATATTTTTATACAAAATTTCATTACTATGAATTCTGGTTTTCCATGAGATATTTTTTCAATTTCCCTTTGAACATTTTCATACTGATACACATCTTGATATCATTACTTAATTTATTGAATTCGTACAATCCTTCTTGAAATACTGACTTGCTCGTTATATTGCTATTGCAGTTTTGTAAATGAAAGTCTATACTACCTTTAGTAGAATAATTGTGCACTCATTGTTCAATACAATAAAATTTTCTAAGTGATTTGGTAGAAGATGATTTTTTAACTTGAGTATAAAAATATGGCTATGCATTTTTGATATTTAACCACTGTAGTTCTTTTAGCATAAAATGTATTCTAATATATTTATTTTTAATTAAAATACAGTTTCATTTGCTTTGAACAAAATAGTCGAACAATATAACAAATGAGGAAGAATGATAGTATTGTACACAATTTTTTTAGAATAAACGCTTAGGCTATGCGAAATTCTAAAAAAAGTAATTTATTTTCTTGGATATTTTTGAAATAACATATTCATAGTGCCCTTCAAATTTTAATTTACTGTCTTCGTATATGCCCAAATATTTAAATGATTCGATTGACACAATTTTTTTATGATTAATTGTAAGATTTATCGTCGTTTGATCTAAATATTTTCCTATTAGCATATACTCGTATTTTATTTTGTTTGAGTTTAGTTTAAGTTTATTTACATTTATTGCGGTTTCAATGTCTTTATTTGATATATATATATATATATATATATATTCGTGTGTATATATTAATGTATCATCAGCAAATAGTTGAATTTTGCAGTGTTGCAAAATATCAGGAATATCGTAAATATATAAAATAAATAGTAATGGACCTAATTTGCTACCCTGTGGTACACCTACCAAAATGTTTTTAATGTTTGATAATGTATTGCCAATTTTAGTTCTTTGACTTCTATCGATTAAATATCCATAGCAATGCAATATCGTTAACAATTTCTCCCTGTCAATAGTCTTAAATGCTCTCTTGAAATCTGAGAACAATGTTACTGTAAATTGTTAGAGTCAAATGGAAAAAATTAAAGAATATGCGTTCAAAAACTTTAATTTTTTTGTACACTACAGGTCAAATCGACAAGCAGGAGAATAGTTTTGTCCAACAAACCAATCAAAACAAAACTTTCGGCGGCGATATGCAGACCCAAGCGAATCAGCAACTGCCCGGCTTCAACAATTTCGACCAGAACAACTTCTGGAACCAAGACGGATGTTTCGAACCGAACTATTTCGGCATCGGAAACGCCAGCAATAATTCCTGGATAAAAAAAGAGGACACCAGCACCAAGACGAATCTAGTTAGTCCGAAAAGCGAGGCGAGCCAAGAGTCGAAACCTAAAATCAACATAATCAGCGATATCAAACTGCCGCCGATCACAAATCCAGGCAAAAGGATAAACATTATCAGTGATATTAAGATAGAACCGAAAAAAGAAGAACCGGACGTGAAAAGTGAGATTAAGACTGAAAGTAATAGCGATGTTATGGCAGTGAAAGATGAGTTGAAGACGGAAGTGAAAAGTGAAGTTAAGGTCGAAGAGAATCCATTCATGAAGATGAATCCTCTACAGTTGAAGGAGTCAAAGGAAGATAGTGGAATACCTTATGATTGGGTAGGTTACCGGATTTTTTAAACCAGTGATTCGACAATTCACCTTATATCAGCGTGACAGTTTTATATCTCAAAATATTTGAAAGAATGTTGAATGACTTTATGAATAATCAATATAAAACAACTTTTAATCCTTTTGCATCTTACTTAGTCCATATACTTTCTGTTTTATTCATTGATTTTTTCGCTTTGACATCAGGCGGTTAATTAATTATTTCTGCCAATTTATTTATGGATCTATTGTTTAATTATTGTAGTTTTGCATTTTTTTACAGTTTGCATATTTTTCCAGGCGATTGATCTACTGAAAAACTACGTACCCGGTTGCATCGAGAACTCGGCCAAGTTCGAAATCCTGTTCTGTATAATAACAGAAAGCATCCTTCTGGGCGATAGACTGTTACTTTTCAGTCAATCTCTGATCACGTTAGACCTGATTGAGCAGTTTCTGCAAGCCAGACAAGTTCCAGGTAAGATTCGTTTTCAAAACATGTAGAGGTCCTCTACTAACCTACTTTCTTACTAACTACAAAATTTTGGCTTAACTTAAAAAAACTTAACGCCATTTATTTGTTAATTACCCAATTTGAAAACGTTTTAGATTAGATTATAAAAATTAGTAAGATTGTGGTGATTGTGGTCGATATGTAGTAGTAGTAGTAGAAAGATTTATTTAACACATTTGGCTACATAAACAGAACAATTGTAAACAACTTAGAACTAGTAAATTCAAGCCATATGGTGTATGATGTAAATGCTGGGCAACCTATAATTGTAGATTTAACAAGTGATTTCTCAATTTTACTTTAAGTTTTGTCAAAGTTTTCTGGTCTTTTATCTCCAAGTATAATTTATTATATTCAATCAACCCTTGATGAAATACAGATTTGTAGCATATGTTATACTTTTTGGTCATTAAATGGAAGTCAGCTTTATTTGTGGTATTATGTAAATGATGGTCGACAGTTGATGATGTTAAATTAGTTAAACTTGATGGAAATATATTATTTTTTACTTTATAAATGAATACCATTACAAGATATTTGATAAAATTTTTTACATTGAGCCATTTTAATTTGCTAAGCATTTGCCTAATTGGAGTATATTTATCTTTAATTAGTATTATTCTCATGTACTTATTTTGTAAAATTTGCAGTCTTGTATGGAATTATTTGCTAAATATAGAATAGTCGAACAGTACAAGAAATTTGGAAGAATGATGGTATTATAGATAATTTTTCTGCTATATGAACTCAGACATCCAGAAACTGTCGATAAATATCCCACTTTACTACTAATCTTATTTATAACTTTTTCATAATGAATATCAAAAATTACTCGAGAGTCAACAATAACCCCCAGGTATTTAAAATTTTCTACGAATTCAATATCTTCACCATCAATATTCAGTTGAACATTTGCACATTGTTTTTTCCGATTAACAAGGCTTTCGTTTTACTTGCATTTAATTTTAGTCTGTTAGATGCTAACCATTTTGAGACAAGCTTCAAGTCTTCATTTATATAAGAGATACCAGACTGAATATTTTTAGTATTTATATAAATCATAGTGTCATCGGCGAAAATTTGAATTTTGCATTTTTTGACTATGACAGGTAAATCATTTATGTATAAAATAAAAAGAAGTGGTCCCAGGATACTGCCCTGTGGAACACCCAACGTATTTTCAATTTTTGATGAAATAGTGTCATTAACTTTTGTAACTTGCATCCTTTTAGACAAATAATTTCTAAACCAACCTAAAACACTTCCTGTTATACCATATGCCTTCAATTTACCTAACAAAATATCTCTATGAATCGTTTCAAATGCCCTCTTCAAATCCAAAAATACTGCTATGACAACTTCTTCTGAGTCTATGGCTCTTCTCCAATTCTCAGTTACCAACTGGAAAGCTGTTTCTGTGGAATATTTTTTTCGAAAGCCTGCTTGCGCCTCCACTAAAATTTTGTTTTCTTCTATAAACTGCATTAATTGCTCATGCACTATGGACTCTAATAATTTTTCAATGTCTGGTAACACATTTACTGGTCTCAGTGAACAATTGATCCAATTTAATACAGGATATTCCAAAATTTCGAAACAGTTTTTCAGCACGTTTTTAGTTGTTAACTATAAAGCCATTTAAACAAAAATCTATTGACTTTTGGACCATGTGTCATATAAACTTTTTGACTTGTTTTGACCACCTCCCCCCCCTCCCTATTACCCATTTCAATAATGAATACCGTAACGTTTACACCCTGTATAACTATATCTTTTCTTTTTTCCGTAGGCGAGACGGTGCACTGGGCGCGAAACGTGAGCTACTATCGCTTGGACGGGTCGACGAGCGCTCTCGAACGCGAGAAACTGATCAACGAGTTCAACTCTAACCCGAAGATCCACCTGTTTTTGGTGTCGACGCGCGCTGGTTCGCTGGGCATCAATCTGGTCGGCGCCAACAGGGTGGTCGTTTTGGACGCCAGCTGGAACCCCTGCCATGATACGCAAGCCGTTTGCAGGGTGTACCGGTACGGACAGCGGAAACCGTGTTTCGTTTATAGATTGGTCGTTGATAATTGCTTGGAGAAGAAAATATACGATAGGCAGATCAATAAGCAAGGTACGCACAAATTAAGCAACAATTAAGATGCTATCGTAGATTGACGTTTAATAGTATAGATTCTTGACACTTTTGTATCACATCATTGTCATATTATGCCTGATTCTGAATTGTGAAAAGTTTTAGTAGAATGAACTTTCTAAATTGTTTCTTGGTTGTTACGATCTTTGTTTTTATATTTCGGTTATTTGCTTAGGTATGTCGGACAGAGTAGTGGACGAGTGCAACCCGGACGCCCATTTAACGATGAAAGACGTCAGCACGCTTTGTTGGGACGATAAGAAAGACGACGGCGAACCGAAAGATTGGTCGAACGTCAGAGATAATTATATCGACGTCGTGCTACAGAAAGTGCTCGAGAAGCACGGGTTGGCGCTCAACAAGGAGCCCTTTCAACACGAATCGTTGCTGGTCGACAGGAAGGAGAAGCAACTGTCCTCCCAGGAGAAAAGGCTAGCCAAAAAAGGTAACAGTTTAATGTTACCGTTAGTATAGGTTAATAAATAGAACTATATATATATATATAGGTGAAAAATTAAAGCTTCCGCCTTTTGTTGGGTACTTCGACAAAATTTAAGCAAAGAGGACTCTTTATACTTTTTTTAATTCTCTCTAGCTTTCAATGGACTTTGCCATCATCATCAGGAGCTGCAATTACAATGATAACAGTAGCAACAAAAGTGTAAAATGAATTTAAATTGAATCAACTTACAGTAGTATGTGAGGATGTTGCTAATTGTTGTTTTCGTATATATATATATATTTTTTTCTATTTTTTACATAACCAGAGGCATTGCTGCAATACTTTGAGACACGTTTAGTGCCCAGTAGTCCATCTACTTGACAGTATTTTTTTCCATAGGTTACGAACGAGAAAAGCAAGCCGCTCGTCAACCTGCGTACAGCCTTTTGGGCGGCGTGAGAGGGGGGCATCGGCCAGTGGCTTCCGTCAGGCCGATGCAACAGGGAGAAAGGCCTTCCAGATGGATCCCTGCGGAACACTGGCAGCGTCAAGGCATGACGGCGCAAGAGATGACGCTGCCTCTCGACGTTGTCATTCCGACCAATCAGCCTGAAAAAGGGAATATCGTACTTAAGGCAGGGCAGAAGGTAATGATTTTCTAACGTTTGCGCCAGGGACTTTTCAATTTCAACCAATACAAGGGAGATGTTGCATAAAAATGATAAATACGGTCTATTTGTTTCTTTAAAATCTAATGTTTTTTGTTTAATTTACGTTCGCTAACTATTTTATAGGTCTCAGATTTATATACGCTAAGATATTTTTGATTCCAAGAGACAGCATTTGATGATTCTTGAGTCGAAATGTTTTACTACTTACCATATACTTTTATCACTGTATTATTTTTTCCGCAGGTGTTGGTGTTGAAATCTCCGAAAGGCGTTTACATGCAGCTGGAAAGCGGAAAGATAGTTGCTATAAAGACTGCAATCAAAGCCAAAGAAAAACACGATGAAGGAATGATGGACCCCACAAAAGCTTTGAAGCTGCCACCTCTCCCGATTTTACCTCCCGCAATCAAAGGTAATACATTGTAAAAAATTAACTTACCAAAAAATATACACAGGCTCAGATGATCAAGTGTTAGTATCTGTTATTAGCTATTTTTGTCAAAGCATGTAGGTACTGTTTGCTATCTACAAATAATGTTTTTTCAGCAACTCCTCACATGGGTCAAAAGCGCAACCCAGTGAAACCGTTCACGCCTGGCGCGACCAAATTCGGCGTGCAAAGCGTGCAGAAGAACGTCCCGAATTTGGTGTCCAGGATAAAAAGTATCACGAAGAAAATGGAATCGACCGCTGTCGGTGTCAAAGATGCGGGGAATAAAAAGAAAGCCGTCGATATCGGCAACGAGATCGCCAAGAGCCTCAGGAGGGATGAGAATATGCCCAATAGCAGGTGCGTATGCGTCGTCTTTTTACAGGCTCTATTCCTTAAACGAGTGTTAATTTGACAACCTCATTCAACATTTGCAAACTTATTTGCCAATGATGAGTGTTCGTCAAGCTCAAGAATCGTTTTTAAGGGTAAATAATATTGAAATACTCTTCGGGGTCTGGTAGAGCAAGGTATCAACATGAATTTAGATACTTGGCGATTTGAACAATTATAATTTCTAACAGAGTTTTAAACCATCGAATATAGCGAATTTTTCAATGTTAAGAAGTCACTGATTGGACGAACACGACAGCTCAATAATATTATTTTTTCAGATACTTACAATTTGCGGATTTAAAATGTTATACTTTCAGTAGCAGCGATGAGGAGCATCCTCCAACTCCGTCTCACCCTCATCATTCTCCGGAAAAATATAAACCTGCTACCGGCGGCGTCCATTCCGCGTCCCCGTCTCCGTCGAAAGCGCCGCCGGAAAGTCCCGACGACGAAATCCAAAAAAGGATATCGCTTTTGAAGAAGAACATATCCATTCAGAGGGTGACGAATCATCAGCAGCCGCAGCAACAAGCGAAGGCGACGCCCTCTACGACGGCCGGCGGTTCGAACGTAGTGCCGAAACAACAGGTGGCGCCACCCGCGCACCAACACCATCAGCAGAAAATCGTACCTGCGCTATCGCGGCATGCGGATGTCGGAAGGGAGGAAGACAGTTCGGACGAGAGTATGAGGAATAGCATCGAAGAGGAAGGCGCCGCCACCGCTTTTCAGGTTGGTCTGTTCATATACCTTTATTTTGCCCGGTAGCAGTCCAATGTTCCGGAAAGCAAAACCGAAAGGATTTGCATTATCAACAAGGGTTTTATGAGTCTAGATTTGTTTGTTTGTTTCAGATTTATTTAGCAATAATGCTACAATATCCATAATATCCATATTACACAGTATATCACAAAATATATTATGTTTTCAAGACTACATATTTTTATACAAAATTTCACTACTATGAATTCTGGTTTTCGATGAGATATTTTTTCAACACGAGCACATAATATTATTATTGAGACAGGACGGTACTCAAACTTCCAAAGGGCTATAACTTTGTTACTTTAATTTTACCAGAAAAATGGTAAAGGAAAAAAACATTTCTTTTGATCAGATCTACTCACTGTTAAAATAAATGACTCAACTTCGAAGTCACCCTGTATATATATATATATATATATATATGAATCATCAGTAAATAGTTGCAAAATATCAGGAATATCGTTAATATATAAAATAAATAGTAATGAACGTTATTTGCTACCCTGTAGCACACCTACTGAAATGTTTTGAATGTTTAATAATGTATTGCCAATTTTTGTTCTTTGACTTCTATTGATTAAATAATTTTGTAATAAGTTGAATAGTGAACCTTGAAATCCATAGCAATGCAATTTCGTTAACAATTTATCCCTGTCAATAGTCTCAAATGCTCACTTGAAATTTAAGAACAATGTTACTGTAAACTTTTTTTCATCCACATTTCGCCTCCATTCTTCTACTACCATTTGAATTGCTGTTTCAATAGAATACTTTTTTCTGAATCCTGCTTGAAATTTTGTCAATATATTCAAGGACTTGTTCATATATGATTCCTTCTAAGAGCTTCTCGACATCTGGCAGTACATTAATTGGCCGCATGTTTGTATATAACTCAGAACTTTGCACTTTTGGAACAGGAGTAATTGTGGAACATTTTAATTTTGAATCTAATATGGTACTTTTTACCAACAACTTTAGATTTGGGTGAACCAGTCGATGCAATATACAGGACTTTTTGTAATGCATTTCACAGAGTAAATCATGACGTCCTTCTAAAAAGAAATTAGACAGTTCCGGTTTTTTCCCTTCTGCAAATTATATTTATGAAATATAATAGCAAAGTAAGCTCAAGCGTTCCGCAAGGGTTAATTTTGGGCCCACTTATTTATAAATGATCTTTGATTGCTTGGAATATGTCGTTTTATGCAGATGATTTGAAAATATTTTCAATAATCACTATGGATGATTGTATTGATCTGCAAATCGATTGTTCAGATTTTGTACCTCAAATTATATTGGATTTTAGTCACCATACAACTGTTGAATATGCTGATGCTAAAACAAGTCCTACATAGTCGCCTAAAAAAATGCTCGCTGCGGGCTGCAATTCCGGGAGGAAAGACCTTACTTTCCTTCCATGGCAGGAAAAAAGGCTTATAATAAAATGATATTCTTTGACGCAGGACACGTTGGATAGCATAACGAGCGCGTTCCACGCGACAGGCGACGACCATTTCGAAGACGATGAAGAGGACGACGTTTCGGAAACGTCAGAACTAGAAGCAGCCGGAGCTGAAATAGTCGAAGAGGAGGAAGAACCGGTAGCGGAAATGGAAACGGCGGGAGGCAAACATCACGACCAGAACGACGTCAGCGATCACAGCGATGATGTGACTTACGTTTCGGAACAGGGAGGATACGATACTGGCGGTGCCGGAACGCAGTCGCATTATCAGTCGGCACAACAAGCGGGCACTACTTCAGAACATCAGGCTGCGAAGGTGGACGGTACTGGACAGGAGTACCAAGGGTATAATTACAATTATGGATACAATGTGCCGTACCATGGACATCCGCCACCACCGCAAGGTATGATAATAATCTTTTTTCAGATTTTATAATTTTTTAGCGTAGGTACATCTAATGTTCAGTATGAAATCAGTTTATATGGAATTTGAATGCAGTATCATTATAGGAAATGATCGAATTTATCTATGAGTTTCTTTTATGTTTGCGCAAATAAAATCTCCTTGTTTTTTTCACGTCACCAATGCCATATGGAATAAAGCAAATCCACTGACTGAAATAGGTGGGGAGCTAAAGCTCTAATAAGAAAATTGCACACTGATTAAACTGATCCTGAACGCAGCTGCTCCGCCACTCATAAATTGCTTTCATGCACTTCCTCAAAATACTTCAATAATTTTGGCAAAATCTATCGATATTGTCTGTTAGTTGTACTTTCAGGTACTGTTTTGATTTACGTTACGAAGATCAATAGAAGGTATAAATACAAAAAGCCCATCAAGGCAAGTGTGTGGTCACAGTGACAAACTTAGATTAGGAATACTCATATGTTAGGGGGGAAATGTTTACGTGGCGAGACGACGACGTTGACGAATGTGTGTTTGAAAAGAAAAGTTCGCGCAAATAAACAGATTGAATATGTATGTGTGAGGGTGTTGGATGAATAAGTATGGAGAAATTGCTCAGATCTATGCTAGGCTTTCTATTCCATCTTAACGCTGTTCTTGACTTGTTTCAGGTTACGGTTACCCGGCAGCGCAGGCGGCAGGCGGAACAGGTCACCAACAGCCGGCTCCCGCTTACGACATGATGAACACATACGGCGGTCATCCCGCAACTGCACCAGCGGCGGCGACGGTTCCGCCCCCCCCTCCCCAATACAACTACGGCGCGTACGGAGCATACCCTCATCCGCAACCGCCCCCGCAACATTATCCGCCGCCTCCGACCGCCACAGGGTACGATTACAACGCGACTGCGCCGCCCCCGACGCAGCCGATGTACGCGCCACACCCGCCGGCGTATCATCAACCGTACGCGCCACCGCCGCACCCACCGCATCAGTATCCGCAAGGTAACAAATCATGATTATCTTGAGGCTTTGTTATATGTCTCGCTAAGAAAACTTGCTTACTATTGCCCGACTTACGTGTTCTGTAAAGGAAAGTTCCAACTTTGTCTAAACGTAATGTTATTTTTTATAATGAAGTCTGAAGTAGCTGTTTAGCCACTCTTTTATATACAGGGTGTTCCTTGATGATATGTGAATATTTAAGGGTGTGAATCTACATTCAAAAATTAATGTCAGTTTGCTTTATAAGCTATGGCCCAAAAATGTTTCCTTACAAAAACTCGGGGTGTTGAAGTTTTAGGAAAAAAATGGAAATCAATTAATATTTTCAGAACCGCTTCAGATATTTCACTGATATTTAGTACGTAATGAAATTTAATAAAGTTGCATATTTTTCAATGTAAAAATAGTTTTTAGCTTTAACAGTGGGTGCGTATGGGTATTGACTTCGATATTTTTCAAGAAAAAAACTTCAACACCTCGAGTTTTTGTAAGGAAACATTTTTGGACCATAGTTTGTGAAGCAAACCAACATTAATTTTCCATGTAGATTCACACCCTTAAGTATTTGCATATCATTAAGGAGCACCCGTAAAATGGAGTTGGATGGCGGAATCTTTATTATGACCTGAAAGAACAATCTTTGACATTTATTTTTTGAGAATAATTTTATTTAAATAATAGGTTCTAAGTTCTGAATCGTAGCTGGTTTATCGACGAAGACTGTCGATTTAACATAACATAAAAAAGTCCAAGGGTGTGATATCACACGATCTAGGCGGCCACTTGACAGGTCCAAAATGCGTAAATCATCTGCTCACCAAATGATTGCTCAATAAAGCTATTGTTTCGCGAGCTGTGTGTGCCGTAGCTCAGACTTGCTGAAATCATATCTCGCCGGGCTACAATTTCAGGCAAGAAAAATCTGTTATCATAGTGTGATAACGCTCATTACTGATGCTTACATTCTGTCCGAACTCATTTTTTTTTTAAATAGGGACCGATAATTCCACCAGTCCATAGACCACATCAAACGGCGCAATTTTGTGGTTGCAACGGTAATTCGAGAGTCTCTTCGGGTTGCTCAACAGCCCAAATACAGCAATTTTGTTTATTCACATATCCATTCAGCCAAAAATGTGCTTCGTCAGTAAACAAAATTCGACGAAAAAACAGCGGATCTTTATTGAGTTGTTCGAAAGCCCATTGAGTGAAATTGAACGTACATTCAAGTCTTGCGGCTTCAATTCGTGAGTTGGAGCCTTCAATCCAAGATCGTTTCGTAAAATTCGCTAAGTTGTCGTATACGTTAGGCCCAAATGTTGAGATCGGTGGTTGTCTTCAGTCGCACTCTCCGTTACAGCCGCAATATTCTCCTCATTATGGGCTGGATGTGATCTAATCGGTCACGTATCATCCAATAACGTATACTGACCCTCAAATTTACGGGTGGTATTGGCAAAACATTTCACACGCAACGCTGATTTTCATAATACAGCTGCACAATTTGAAGACGCTGTTGCGGTGTAAGTCTTTCCACTGTCAAGCAATACTGAATAAAACTAGGATGTCAGGATGTGACCAGTCACGAGGAATGTGGTGAAAAAAAGGTCTAAAGAATCACCCATTATAACATAAACATTTAATCTGTATGAATATATTTTTGTATTTTCAGGTGGTATGTACCCGCCGCCACCTCCAAGCGCCGCCCCAACATACGCTGGCGACTACCAACAGTATCACCACCAACAGCCGGGGGTGGCGCCTCAAGCGCAGCCTCAAACCCAGCAACAACAGCAACAGTACTACCAAACCACATAAGTTGATCCAGATACATTTCGTGAGATTCTAATCATTTGGTGATTCATACCAGTGCAATGCTATCATTATAGAATGTAGACCGTTCCTAAGAATTCCATCGAATCTAGGCATCTACTATTCCCGATAAAGGAGTTGATTGACTCACAGACAAATTTTCCACAGACTGTCTTATGTCAAGATATGAGAAATGGTAACAGATATAAGCGGTTTTGAGTTTATATACGTAGGGTGTTTTCTAATTGATTATTATTATTAAAGCTGTCGATTTATAGAGCTGTTTTATGAAGAAAACTTCAGATGAATGCATGTTCTAAACATCTTCATTTTTGGGGTACACAAGATATACGTTAATATTGAAGTTTTCTTTTTAAAATGTACCCAAAAATCGCCTCCATTAATATTGACATTCAATTATGTGAGTTTTAGACTGAACGTTTTACCCTCGACTGACTTTGATGTAAACTTGAACGATTCACTGAAAGACGTTATTGCAATATAGATCGTTTTAATCTATGTAATATGTCACTGTTCCGCATAGCTGTGTGTTATCATAAATAGGTCAGTTTGTAAGAAAAATGAGACTCAAATTAAAAACGAAATAAAATAAATTTTCATATTTACACACTGACCTACAATTGGGCGTTCGTGTTCCAGTATTATATTGACATCTTTCGTCCAAGGATTCCACTTGTTATAATAAGCATAATCTAAACCGCAATCCTTATAACGTAACTGGGCAGTTTCAGTTCACTTGACGTGTTGAAGAAGTATCCATATGTGCTATATTTTGATGCGAGGAATGTTTAGATTTTTATATTGGTATTTGTGATATGTTGGATATAAAGTTGTGAAAATAACAAAAAACGTTTCTTTTTTTCCCAAACTCCCACTGCACTGACACATTACAAATATCAATAAAATAAATCATAATATTGGCTCATCCTTGGTATTAATGGGTCTGTAATTGAATCGGTCAGGGCAAAGACTACCTAAATCTATTCTTTCTTCATTAATTATGAACCTAATAGTATTGCCACTTAAATGTTCGCCTATTGAGATACATTTTATTTTTAAAACCTCCTTTACCGGACTGCAACGTCCATTACAGTTTTTCTGTCTTTTACTGTCATTATTATTAATAAATCGTGAATGTAATTCGACATTTCAATCTGGTTTATTCATTAGTGATACATCTTTATAGCCCCTCTGAAAAATTCAAATTACGCGACTTGCGAGGTTTTTGCAATCGGTCACGATTCAGCTATTCCAGTTATTTTCCTTATTTGTATAAAGTAGTGTATAAGTTGAAAATGTGTCACTAGTGAAATAGTCCAGTAAAAGTTAACTCAACACTGGCGATGACGCATATCATTTTCTGGTAAATCCAGATAGATTTTGTTTAGTGGAAAAGGAAAATATTCGTATTTTCGTTGATGTGATTCTTAAAAATAATTTGCTCCGTTTCAAAATCGGCCGCCATGTGAAAATGTATGCGTATGGAATCGGCAAATATGCTTGTAGTGTTCCTACCCCGAGTATCGTGCATAATATTCAATGTAATCCCTGAATATTTGATTTTCTTGTAACAAGATGGTTAGGTAGAATATGGAACTGAATTTCTTAATGGTTAAATATGTTTTATCAATTAATTTTATGGCATTTAATTCATTATGACAGTGATAATTTACTGTTAATGTTAAGAAAAAACGAGCTGATTTTGCTTTAGAAATGTAATTATTTATTTTTCATTGACAAAATTTTATTTTCTTTGTACATAATGTCATCTAGAGGTTTATGATAAATTCGGAAGTAAGTAGATATAATTTTTTGTATATTATTTTTCCTCCTACATTTGTATTTTTTTCCTCATAATATACACTAGTAAATATATACAGTTGTTTCATTTCTTATGTCGACACTAATTCAGCTAACTAAACTGCATTTTGATTAACTGTCCTATATCTGATATTTTGCTAAAAATAAGGAGTTTGCAATAGCAAAACATTTTTATAAAATCTGCCCATAGAAAATCGTATTTCACTTGTGTGCTTTATATCGGTGATACGAGCTACAATAAAACCTAAAAAAGATAACTATGTCGAGTCGGAGGTAGTTGGCAAACACCAACAGATGTCGCTAACGTTTAAAGTTGGTAATGGGCTTGATACATAATTTTGAGTTGGTTATCAGTAACCGATTCCAAATAACGAACAGGTCTTCCGTAAATTAATTTACTGAATATGTAACTGTAAGCACCACAAATTTCATAAAGCGTTATACCTCCTTAGGTAAAATAAGACCCCACACTAAGATATCAGCAACCAAGCCATATCATGGAATTTTAGTTTTGTCCACTATAAAAATGTTCAAAAATGATGTTTATTTTGCTTCACCCTCTTTAAATAAATACACGAAATATTTAACAGTAAAATATAATTTATTCCATATTTCGACAAATTAATACTTCATAAAACGCACATATTTTGTATAAAAGTTCACAGTACAGGAAAATTGTAATTGTGTAGCTGCATTTTGGCGAGCTTCATCAGACACACAAAATAGTTCCTGTTCTGAGGGCTGACGTAGTACGTGTAAACGGTGGTTTCTTCATGTGCGTCCTCAACGATTCCTGGCGTAGAAAGAGGCGATATGCTGATTTCTGAATGTTCGCCGGCACTTTTCGAAAGTCCTTTGTCTTGCAGGTTCAGCAGATTTACGGTGCTCTTCACGTAGTCAGCCACTCGTGCTCGGCTCACCGGATCCATTTCCATCGCAAATTCTTCTTCTTCTTCTTCTTCAGTCTGCGGACAAACCAATAATTTATGTACACTAAACGAAGCAGGGCAATGAAAATGATTTTTTTTTCACATTCTAATACCGAAATTAGATTCGTCTCCAATATATCATGTATTGTGGTGGTATGTGACAAGTTCTAATAATTTTACTGTATTAAAATTAATTTTTGAAAACAATGTAAATGAAAGCATTTTTAAAAATATTTAACGTTTTCTACAATTTTGTTCTTTTGTTGTTAAAGTCGGGCCTGTACGAAATAATCCCATTATTATTTATCGAATGTGACTGACCTTATTTGGTTCTTGGTCGTCATGGTGCTGCTGTTGGGCCGTTGAGGGCGGTGCTGGCGGTTTATTAAGCTTGAGCATTAACAGCGTAGGATCATCGGAATGTTTGATATGCAACTGTTGTATTCCGAGCACTTGCAGCGAATCGTCTCTGTCCAAATTGACGACGATCAGCGCTTCCAAGGTGAGGATCAAAGCGACTGCGTCGTGCACTGCTCCGCCGACGACGCTCGTTGCTTCCGTGGCGAACAGCATGCGACTGCACAACGCCTGCACAAAATATACATTATTCCGTTGACATAGAAGTACCACATATTTTTAGACTCAAAATAATGATTTATCTCTGTGCCAAAGTCGTTTGTTTGGAGTGGTGCGGGTATAGTTTTCACCCTTCCTGTAGGCAAAAAGACAGATATCGGGATGTCTAGCAAAACACGTGTGTTAGAAATTTCAGTATATCATATCACAAAATATATGGGAAAATATGTTTTAAAAAGACAAAATTGACGCCCTTTTGAGGACAAACGAAGCACTTTTGCATGTCCATTCGACTGACGCATTTTGAGTCTAAAAGTACGTTGTACTTCTATGTCCTCTGAATAAATGACTATGTTTTCTATTGAGTAAAATATTCAAAGTTACCTGTACGTGTTTCCAGTTATATTTGAGACTAGAATTCGGCGCGTATTCAACTTTGTACGCTTGTGGATATGAGCGCGGTTCAGGGAGGGAACTCCAACCGGCACCTTGTAGCAATCCTTCGAACGAAAAGAAAAGAATCATCGACTCGGAATAAAAATACATCGATTCTTATGAACGTCGATCGAAAACACCATACTACCAACTCCGAATGGAAGTACCGCAATAACGGCAAGAAATTACAGGTGACCTTTCAAGTGTTCTACTGGCTGTCAAATGAAACCGCAGATGTGTAATCGAAAGATTTTCTGACGCTCCGGCTTCATTGGTTGCCTTTTTCAAAGTACAAAATGACCTTAGTAAACCTTTTGATTTCACATTTGTGATTTCATGTGGCACTCGGCAGAAAATGTCAAAAATATGCGTTTGATTGTTAATAATGAAAAATAAAAAATATCTTAAATTTTATTTCTAGAAGCCATTGGCGACAGGGCGAGGTGTGATTTAAAATTAAGTAATGCCTGTACGAGCAAAATAAAGAAATTTGAATTGTATTTGAACAAGTATTTTACCTTGTCCAGTCAACGCGACCAATTCTGCAGCTCCGCTAAGCGGTTTCGTGACGATTCCGACCAATCCTAGACCAACTCCAGCGGCCAATGATCGCGGCGAAGCGCCATCTGCTATCATCGACTGAAGTGGATGGTGAGCTATACCACCAACGGCTCCTAACAGGCTTATTCCCAACCCCGTCAAACCCTGTGTCAAATTATCATACGGATCAAAAGTGTTTCATAGCTACATAACTCTGTAGAAATATTGTTAAATTCCAATAAATGTGTGTATTGTTGCCTTATTTTTTTAAGTTGCGAACGTCAAATGAGAATAAAAAAAATATAATACTCTTCCCTTGTAGGTATAGTACATTATCGTAGACAAAAAGATTCGTATAACATTATTCTGACCTGCATAAAACCTTGAGCTAACCCCTGTGGTCTTTGCCGTCTCTGCTCCTCTGTCCTCCTCAGATGCTCTTCATCCAAAGTAAGCCTATCCAGATTCCTGGCAACGCTGGACGCCAACTTGGTGACAGATTGTAAAGTACCGGCAGTAACATGGCGCATCAAGGACGCGGAGCCCTGGGTGATGCCCCTCAGAAAGGCCATGGGTCCCACGAAGATACCTGACATACATACATACATATTTGACTTGCTACTAATATAAATCATTTCAATAAAATCTTTTTAAATTATACAATAAAGCTCGAAAAGAGACGTTCAAACAGCTATTTTTTCTCTTGAGTAAACTTTAGGTATATTTTTAATAGGGTAGTCAAAAGGTAAACGAGTTTTACCTCTACAAGGTAAGCTGACAAAATCTCTCAAACCAGTTCCCATAGCTCTGGCTAGTCCACCTGGGCTACCGAGTAGCTCTAAAGAGCTAACCACCCAACCAGCTCCGAAAATAGCTCCGGAAAGATAATGCATTGTCAGAGCATGCCCTAACCTGAAACCAGCAATAAACTTAATAAAACATAGTTGAAGGTAGATCGAAAACAGCCGAAGTAGACATTTATATAAAAATATAGAGCTTGAAATTTTTAAGAAAGAAAAATGAGATTCAGAAAATTTAATAACCATCTCGTTTTCGAAATAACTGGCTTTCATTATACTGGATGGGCCATCCATTACTTTTTTTTACCTATAAGTTTATCTGTTACCATGTGAGTCAAAAGTCACGTGGTATGCATAAATGAACTGTCAAAGGTATGCCATTTATAGTCATGGATTCGTTTACAACGCAACAACGCATTTTGGTTATCCAAACTTATTACGAAAACGGTCGAAATATAAAAATACTTTTCGCACTAGTTTTGGCCGACATGGATGCCCTGCAAAGCCTGGAATTCGTTGGATTGTTAATCGTTTTGAGGAAACTGGTTCAGCTGAAGGTCGTAGACCATACCAACATGCTCGCCCAGCTCGTACGCGTGAAAACAAAGCCGCAGTGAGTGAAAGTATGCGAGAAGATCCAACCACCTCGACTAGGCACCGTTCGCAACAATTGGGAATTAACGAGACCACTTTACGTCGGATTTTACATATTGATTTACACCTCCATCCATACAAAATTCAACTAACACAAGAATTGAAACCGGCAGACTATCAACAGCGGCGTGTTTTTGTTAATTTGATGCCGGAAAGAGAAGACGGATTTTCGGCCAAAGTGCTCTTTTCTGATGAGGCTCATTTTCACCTCAATGGGTACATAAATAAGCAAAATTGCAGATTCTGGGGGGCTGAAAATCCACACCAATATCATAAACAACCTCTCCATCCTGAGAAAGTGACTGTTTGGTCTGGATTATGGGCTGGTGGCATCGTTGGACCATTCTTGTTTGAAGATGCCGAAGAACGGGCTATTACCGTCAACGGGGAACGTTATTGCGGCATGTTAACAGACTTTTTGTGGCCACAATTGGATCGTATTGTTGCCGACGATCGTTGATTTCAAGCAACGGCTCACACATCTCGTCAAACACGAAATTCAGATGTCAGTTGGCCCCCGAGATCGTGCGATTTAACACCTATTGACTATTTTCTTTGAGGGTTTTGGGAAGGAAAAGTGTATGCGAATGGTCCCCGAACAAGTCAAGACCTAAAGCGCAATATTCGAACTGAAATTGCGGCCATAGACCCGATTATTCGGGGAAAAGTCATTGAAAATTTTGATGTTCGGATGTTGGCCTGTAAACGAAGCCGCGGTGGTCCCATGACTGATGTTATTCTTTATACATAAATGGCATAAACCAAACTTCATTTATCAATAAAAAAATTCGATTTCACCTCATAAAAAGCGTGTTGATTTTTCAAATATTTTCATATTATTCCATTTTGTATGACAAATTAGAGGCAGGACAAACACATACGTATGAATTACGGTGGCTCTTTTCAAAGTACAACTGTTCTAATCAGCTTGAGAAGCATTTGAAATTGACTTATTCTGAGTGAAGTCATCTTTAATGATATACAACAATGGTCCAAGATAAATAAATCATTGATTCCAAAAGTGCAATGCATATACCTGTAAGGAGTGGTTAGGATCCTTTTCCTCTCGAATTTGCCGAACTGCAGAGGACTCTGATCCAAGGCGATGTACAGTTTGATAGAACTATGTACGGATAATAGAAGAGAAATTGGGGCTATCAGGACGTTCCTCACGGTCAACGGTTTCGCTAACACTGCGCATTGCCACGACAACACTTCTGGTACAAAAACCTTAAAAACGATCACAAAAACACTCTTAAGAATAATTGACTTTAGAAGAAAAAAATATTCTGATGACTAAACTCACCGATCCGGCAGGAACGTTCAGTTTAACTTCCGACTTTTGCTTTGGTAATATCACTAACATATTTGGAGTAAACATATTGAAGTATTCCATCAGTTTTGTAACGTAAATATCCTCTATGTAACACGATAACGGATTCAATGTAACCTTCACAGATCTCACAGCTAAAACAAACAGAAATGAAGATTTTTTGCGCGTCGGACTGATGTTAGACAAATCAAAAACGTGAAAAATGCATAATAAATGTCTTACCGGTACACGTCGCGGCTCTAAATTTATCACACCAGGTTTCTAAGCAAAACTCGAGAACGAGCAAAGCGTTTTCATCACAGTCTTCGATCAGGCTTTCAATTGGAATGTTCAGAGAAGTTAATTTCTTAGTCTGGCGCTTTTCTTGGCCGATCAGCACAACTGGGAAATCGTACGATTCCCTTACGTACAGCTGATTGTCAAGTTGAACGTCGGACGCTGTTATTTTCAGTTTCATGCTCTGCAAATAAAACGAAAGCCGTGCGAAACTAAAGTCAAAAAGTCGTAGAAAAAAATAGCGCCAAATAGGTTGACTTTGCGCTTTGGCATGGCAGTCAACTCACTTGACCCCATTTTTTATATATGCTTGAAAAAAAAGTATACCTACTTCAATTTGCACCGCCGTGCATACGACATTATCACATACGAGACTCATCAGCTCCCATTTTTCTTTGGTGTCGAAATCGACGTCAGAAACGAATACCAACACGAAAGATTTCACAAACGCGTTGAACGTGATCGAAGTCCAAACGTCTCGCATCGGCAAAGTATGCGCTATCATCTCTTTGGCAGTCGCAGAAAGTACAGACAAATCAGTGTCAGACCAACCTGGAAATAATAATAATATTTATTCGCATCAATTATAAATTGATATGCCACAAAAGGAAAATTACTTTGTGCATCGTACTAATTTATGGAATATATGAGGTTATAAGAAAATATTTTTTTTTATATTCAAGTGTTCATTCTATAAACAACGATTTGGACGGATATAATAAAGGTTTGTTATGCAGTATTTTTAAAAATAATTTTTGTGTTTTTTGTAATGAATTTAGTTGGTTGTTATTCGTGGAAGCATAGCGAAGAGTTACCTCGTCTGGATCCCTGCCAAGTGCGATGTTCAGCTAACGAAGACATTTTGTTAACATTGGGCGCACATTTGTTCGCATCAACGATCGAAGTGTCCGACTGAGATCTTCCCAGGCATTCCGAGCTGTTAGGTTTAGCTGTGCGTTTATTACCAGGTACCTAAAATGAAACAAACTAAATTGAAAATGGAACAAATATTTTGTGTTTTGAAATCAATGTTTTAATCATCAGCAATATATCGACAGGATTGAGAATACAGACTTTGCCCTGTTTTGTCGAAGTATCCTGAAAAAAATCGTGAGTTTTGAAATTCTTGGTTGTTTCAAAATATCGGTTGATCCTGTTTTTATTTGCGAAAAACAAATAATAAGTGGGCTTCAATCCCATTAATGTAAAGTGTTTGAAATTCAAACGAAATGTTCAGTTGCTTTTAATAGAGTTTTCGTATTCAGAAGTATATATTTAAATATTTTTTCAATGACATTTTGTCGTACTATTTCATGATCTCTAATCTTCTAAAAAGTAAACAGAGGATTTGAGAAATCACAGGTCATAATCTTTGCAATGACAGGCAATTTTGGGTGATTTTGCGTTAGCGAGTACTTTTCTTTCAAACATATCTCCGTTTCTACGCAAAATTCCCTTTTGAGTATCTACAATCGGATCGTTTTTTTCTTGAGTTTTTTAATTGTAAACTTTTGAAACATTACCGACGTGGTTCCGGTGATTTTTCCGCCAACAGAAGCCTCCGTATTGTTGATTTCCTGCATGAGGAGACGAACTCTGATGTCTCTGGCACTGATCTCCACTTGACTAACAGATTCCAATAAGACGATCGTCGCACAAGCCGTATTTGCTATTCTCACCTGTTAATCAAAAATCAGTATTTATAGATAAAGAGATATACTACCCCGATCAAAATGTACAAGAACGATCAAGACTAAGATTGCAAATCAAATTCAAGTAAAAAGCATTCGAATATTTCTAATATTTTGATTACATTTAGTTTTTTACTATTTTTTATTCATGCAGTATTTACAGGGAGTCACATTGAAAATGGAAATTAGTTTTATCAGCAAACTGGAAAAGAAAATCTGTTTTTGTGGCAACCTTAATACGGTACTAGCGCATACTATAGAATTATTTTATTATATCGGGTGCGCCATATTTTATGTCGGTATTGAAACATCGAATTACTTTGATATTTACCAACCGATTTGGTTATACGTGTATCTGAAACGTCAATTTACTACAATTTTTGTCATGAATCGCTTTACACCGAAACAACGCGCCGAAATAGTCACAATGATCATTGAAAATCGTCGTTCAGTTGTGTTAACGCAACGTACATATCGTCGATAGTATCGTGGCAAACAGGCACCGCCTGACAACAATATCCGTCGTTTGGTTTCGAATTTTCTTGAGTACGGATCAGTGTTAGATTATCAACATATCGTTCATCAACGACCAAGACGTACCAATGAATTGGTTGAAGCGGTCAGAGACAGTGTTGCCCAGAACCCAAAAGTGTCGTATCAGCATTTTGGCATCAGTGGAACCACGTTGCGACGCATTTTGAATGATGATTTGCATTTGTTTCCTTATAAGGTGCAGTTAACACAAAAAATATTGCCAACTGACCGTCCACATCGCTTAGAATACGCCCACAAACAGTCGCTCGCATGGTTGATGCTGAACCTGATTTTTGGAAGCAAATTGTGATCACCGACGAGGCCCATTTCACGCTCTCTGGCGGCGTTAATAATCAAAACTGCCGCATTTGGCGGACGAAAAATCCATATGAGATCCACGAAACGCCGTTGCATGACCGGAAAGTGACTGTTTGGGCCGGCCATCATTGGGCCATTTTTCTTCAACAAAACGAAACAGTCGATGGAAATCGATATCGGTGGATGTTGGCTCATTATGCCTGCCCACAAATGCGTGAAAAAGGTCTTGATGGTTACTGGTTTCAACAAGACGGTGCGCCATGGCACACCGTACATGAAACAATCCAGTTTCTGCAACGAAAATTCCCTGGACGTCTGATGTCAAAAAGAGGTGACATTGACTGGCCACCCAGGTCTCCAGATTTGATTCCACCGGACTTCTTGTGGGGTTATTTGAAAAGTCAAGTGTACGCAGACCACTGAAGAACTCGAGGCAAACATCGCCGCTACACCACCTGAGATGCTCGAAAAAGTAATGAAAAACGCAGCAAAACGGGCACATTTTGGTCTGGCCAATAAAGGTGGCCGCTTGATAGATGTTGTGTTCAAAAACTAGTACCAATAAATTGTAAATGACCATATTTAATAAAAATACCCGATATATAGAAATCAGTTTTTCGTTCTCAAAGTTATTTCGTGTTTACATACCGACGTAAAAGATGGCGCACCCTGTTATACAGGGTGCTCCATAACTACGAGCCATAGTAAACGTGTATTTTTTAAATAGAATATAATGCATATTCTGATAGAGCTTCTAAAAACAAGAAGTTTTCAGAAATATATTAATTGTCTAACAGACAATTTGAACAAATATCACTAACCCTGATATCTCCATAATAAGGTATCTTGAGGAACTGTTCATTGTCATGGAGTATGGTGATCGCGTTCGACCAATGAAACCCGTTCAAATCGCTCTCGGGGTCGCAGGCAATCGCTATTTTGTCCCCGCTGCTGCTTCCGCTCCCGCCCCCGTACGCGGTCTCGGTGGCCGGAGGCAGATCCGGGAATTTCTCGGATAGAATCGGCATCGTGTAATACATGCGCTCCATGTTGCGCACGCGACATCGCCATTTGAAGTGCTGACATTCGTCGGATACGCGACCATCGCCTGCAAGGAATTCAATTTATTCAGAATAAAGCATCATGCACTGAATACATCAAAAAGCACTGCTAGAAAGAGAAACCGTATGTGAAATTGAATTTTTTCAAAGTGAAAAGTATTATTTATTTATTTATTTATTTACTAGTATATTTACTAGTATATACATTATCCGAACGGTTTATTGCACCATTTAACGGATAGGAACACAGGAATCAATTTTAAGACAAAATTGTTCAAAAATAACTTAAAATTGCCAAATGACTTAACCTACTGTTATGTAAAATCTTTTTAAGCTACGCAAATTACAAAAGAACAAATCTACTGCGTTTCTTGCACGTTCATAGTTGTTACATACTACATATATCGGAGATGAAAGCAACGCATTGGTTCTAGCTACGTTTAAGTAAAAGTATTTTGAATTGGATCGCGTCTTAGCATTAGGTACATGAATAAGAATCTTACCAAGTAAATATTCACAATCTATGGCATTATTAAGCATTTTATATAAAAATACACAAGCAGCGTAGTTTCTGCGCTTCTCCAAGTTACAGAGGTTATATCTGCTAAGTAATACATCATGCCTGAAGCCAACTTCTGGATAGGTACCATCTTCCTTGTGCCATAAATATTTCACAAACGGCCTCTGAATACGTTCAGTTTTATTCGAGTGAACTTCATGAACAGGATACCATATTATAGAGCAGTATTCAATTTTGGATCGAACAAATGAATTATATAACGAGATCATGGTATGAACATTATTGAAATGCCTAACAGGTGGGCTGAAAAGTCCGTATCGTTTCTATGAGATGGCGCCACCAGAATAAAATCCATACGCTTCTTAGCTAGTACCAACCTTCAAAAGATGCCTGTCAAAATTTGACAGCTGTCGGATCATTAGTTTTTGAGTTATCGTATCGAGAGTGACGCTACTTTTGTTATTTTTGAAAACCATGGAAAGTCAAGAGTTTCGTGTGTTAATGAAACATTATTTTTTGATGAAAAAAAGTGCCGTCGAATGCAAGAAATGGCTTGATGAGTGTTATCCGGACTCTGCCCCGGGCGAAGCAACCATTCGCAAGTGGTTTGCTAAATTTCGTACCGGTCACATGTCAACTGAAGACGACGCACGCAGTGGACGCCCAAAAGAGGTCGTTACGGACGAAAACGTGAAAAAAATCCACAAAATAATTTTGGGAGACCGCAAAATACGGTTGATTGACATAGCTGAGGCCTTAAACATATCAAAAGAACGTGTCAGTCACATCATTCATGAATATTTGGATATGCGAAAGCTCTGTGCGAAATGGGTGCCGCGCAATCTCACATTTGACCAAAAGCAACAACGCATCGACGACTCTGAGGCCTGTTTGGAGGTGATTTTGCGCAATAAAACCGATTTTTTTCGCCGATACGTCACCATGGATGAAACATGGCTCCACCACTACACACCGGAGTCAAATCGCCAGTCGGCCGAGTGGACGGCTGCATCCGAACCACCTCCGAAACGTGGAAAGACGCAACAGTCAGCAGGCAAGGTTATGGCCTCTGTTTTCTGGGACGTGCAAGGAATTATTTTCATCGACTATCTTCAAAAGGGCCAAACTATCAACAGCGACTATTATATAGTGTTACTGGAGCGTTTGAAGGCCGAAATCGCCAAGAAACGGCCACAAATGAAGAAAAAAAAATCTTGTTTCACCAGGACAATGCGCCGTGCCACAAGTCCATGAAAACGATGTCGAAATTGCATGAATTGGGCTTCGATTTGCTCCCCCATCCACCGTATTCTCCGGACCTTGCTCCAAGCGACTATTTCCTCTTCTCAGACCTTAAGAGAATGCTCACCGGAAAAAAATTTCACAGCAACGAAGAAATCATCGCCGAAACTGAAGCCTATTTTGAGGACAAGCCGAAGGATTACTACCGGAAGGGTATCGAAAAACTTGAAGAACGTTATAATCGCTGTATAGCCCTTGAAGGCAACTATGTTGAATAATAAAAGCGAATTTTGACGAAAAAAATATTTTTTCATTGAAACGATACGGAATTTTCAGCCCACCTGTTACAATTTCTGATAATGAAGCCCAAACTTTTATAGGCCTGGCTAACAACAGCATCAATATGCGAAACAAATGTAAGTTTGGTATCAAAGGATATACCTAAGTCATGAAACTCTTCACACATGTTAAGTTGCGAATTGTCAGTGTAATATACGAATCTGATTGGAACAAGTTTGCGCGTAATACACATAGTGTAGCATTTATCAGCATTAAGGTACAGCTTGTTACGGTGACACCACTTATTTAAGTTGCTCAAGTCGTTTTGCAATATATTACAGTCGTCCATGGTTTCAACCTTACAAAAAATCTTCAAGTCATCTGCATATAGAAGGCAGCTACTGTGTAGCTCCCTAACGACGTCATCAATGAAAATTTGGAAAAGCAGAGGCCAAGAGCAGACCCTTGAGGTATGCCAGAAGAAGGTATAATCTGAGTGGAGGTGAAGCCCCTGTATTCGACTTTCAGGCATCTGTTTGTAAGATAAGATTTAAAAAACTTCAAGAATTGATGGGTCAACCCTCGTGCAGCTAATTTCTTTAACAAAATACCGTGATCTAGCTTATCAAAAGCCTTCGAAAAGTCAACGTAAGCAACATCTACTTGCCCCCCTTCGTCAACAACTTCAGAGCAAAACTGTTTAAAACACGCTAGATTAGTTAAAGTAGATCTGCCTTGGAAGAAACCATGTTGATTTGGAGAAATTTCGCGCTTAACATGGGAGAAAATTATATCATGCAGTATGCATTCGAAAACCTTACCGACGTTGCTTATAATCACAACAGCTCTATAATTCTCAATGACACAACGTTCGCCTTTTTTAAATATGGGAGCAATCCTAGATGTTTTCCAAGCCATGGGAAATGTTGTAGTATTAAGAGATATGTTATACAGATAAGCTAAAGGTTCAGCTAAAACAAAAGCACAGTCTTTCAGTAAACATGCAGGGATTAGATCTGGAGTGGAAGATACCTTGGGTTTAATCTTTTTCAAAGCGGCAACAACCTGTTTTTCAGTAATCATTGGTATATTCAACGGTAATGAGGCGCAGTCAGGTGAGTCTGCGGGTGCATATTGAGATATGAAACATAGCGTTTTATATAAGAAATTTTCTGTACTTATTTATTAAAAAAAAGTCGGAAGTAAACATTCCAATTCAAAATTTAGGCAACTTTGCGTTTTTTTATTTTCGATTTTTTTTACTTCAAAACAGCCTAAAGCGTGTTTAAACTACATTTGAACTTTTGATATGGTATGCGCATTCATTAAAGAGGTACGTATTTTTATGTACATACATGTCGGTCCGGATATGACGGCTTTTTCCACAATGAAACACTTTTAGTGAGATTTTTATTCCACGAGACAAAAATGTCATGATTACCTAAAGCCTGCGCGATGAACAGCGTAGCCCCGGTGGTGTTCTCGATAAACAGTTGCGGCCTATCATCCTCGTGTATGGTCAAATAGACCGTTTGTCCCTTGTTATCTTGCGAGGTGAGCACCACAGGAATAGAGTAGTCGCCGGTACGAAGCGCGAACGATTTCCTTAGCAGCGGTTTGTCGACGCGAATCGGACTCGACCAACCGTGCGGAGAGTGCGAATCGTCGATCGAAAAGGACATGTACAGGGCGTAGTTTATCGCGTGCGGATCCTTGCTCTTCGATGATGCGGCAGATGTCAACGTGAACCACTGGATCACAGAGATGCCGGAATTGCTGAAATGTACATACATCCGTCTAGAAAGTTCATTTCATACTTGAAAAGCGAGGCTTTTCCTTAATCGAATTTGAAATAATTTCAGAAAAATACAAAATTTACCTTTTATCCAAATGTGGCGCGACAGTAAAGCAATATCTTTCCATGTTGACTGGAATATCAAATTTCCCTTCCTCGTCTGGAACGGCAAAGCATATCACTTGCACCTACAATTAATTTTAGATTATGCTTGTTCGTAGCTATATTTATATTGTTTGAAATATACTGAGTGACAAGAAAAGGTGAAAACCTACGTATGTTTATTAGAATTCAATAACTTTTTACATATCGATTTATGTTGCCAACAAGTGATAAAATGGTCAACTTTTTCTGTTAAGTTCTTGTAGTGGCTGCGTGCTTGTTTGATGATAAAGAAGCAGTCAGTTGACGAATCAAGCTGAAAATTTAATCATTTTACTACTAATGGACACTGAACATATATGCCAAAAATTATCGGATCGGAATCGGTGTTTACCTTTCGGTAGGTGTGCCACAGAGTAGCAAATTGGGTCCATTAGTATTTATTTTATATATTAACGATACTGCTGATATTTTACAACACTGCAAAATTCAACTATTTGCTGATAATACATTAATATATACAACGAATATAAAGACATTGAAACAGCAATAGAGCTGTTAAATAATGATATGAAGAACGTAATAAATTGATTAAACGTAAATCAACTTAAACTAAACACAAACAAAACAAAATATATGCTAATAGGAAAATCTTTAGATCAAAATACGATATTTCTTAAAATTAATCATGAAAGAATTGTATCAATCGAATCATTTAAGTATTTGGACATATACGTAGACTGTAAATTAAAATTTGATGGGCACTTTGAATATATTATTTCAAAAAAATCCAAGAAATTACTTTTACAGAATTTCGCATAGCCTAAGCGTTTATTCTAAAAAAATTGTGTACAACACTATCATTTGTCCGCATTTGTTATATTGTTCGACTGCAAATGAAACTGTATTTTCAAAATTACAAATATTACAAAATAAAGCTATGAGAATCATCTTAAATAAAAATAAATATACTAGAATAAATTTTATGCTGAAAGAAATAAAATGGTTAAATATCAAAAATTGCATAGTCTACTTGGTTTTCATTTTCATATTCAAGTTGAAAAATTATCTTCTACCAAATCATTTAGAAAATTTTATTGTATTGAACAATGAGTGCCACAATTATTCTACTAGAGGAAGTATAAACTTTCATTTACAAAACTGCAGTAGCAATATAACGAGCAAGTCAGTATTTCAAAAGAGATTGTACGAATTTAATAAATTAATTAATGATATCAAGATGTGTGTCAGTTTGAAAATGTTCAAAGAGAAATTGAAAAAATATCTCATGGAAAACCAGAATTCATAGTAGTGAAATTTTGTATAAAAATATGTAGTCTTGAAGACATAATATATTTTGTGATATACTGTGTAATATGGATATTATGGACATTGTAGCATTAATGCTAAATAAATCTGAAACAAACAAACAAAGTATATTTCATAGGTACAGTTCTCAAACGAATGTTATTACCTGCATTGCCATATGATTGGACAGTACATGCGTGGAAGAGACTTTTAGCAATCTAATCTCATTCTTGATGGTGCTAGTGACGGATAACATGCAGATATGCGAATCGCATATAATCGGGGACTTGATACAACCTTCTAAAGGTATCGTTCCTGTGAATTTAGGCATGTAGAAAGATTGACTCCAGTCCGATTTGGACAACTGCAAAGGTTCCGTGTAACACCAAGTACCGCCAGAGCAAACGCCTATGTTAAAATTCTCCTAAAATATTATACGAAATAAATAAAAAATGTCGTTATTTATGTTAAGTTTATCAAATCATTGATACAAACTAAAAATAGGATAGGACCTAATACTGATCTTTGAGGTACTCTTGCGTTGTTTCAAAGTGAAAGTCCAGTACAGCCATGTTTGCTTAATTTTTTTAATAATTTATCCTGATTTACACAGCCAAAAGCTTTGGAAAAGTCGCAAAAAAGCTTTTAAAATTTGTTTATCTTTAGCTTTGAGTATACCTAACTGCTGGAGCAATGTGAAAATCGTGTCCATGGTATTTTTCTGTTTTTGAAATCCAAATTGGTTGTCACTAATAATTTTGTTGTTGTTCAGCATATATTTCAATCTAATTTGACTATTTTTACTATTATTTTTTCTATAACATAGTCACAAATGTGCAATAAATTAGTTGCAAGTGTTTTAATAAATTAGTGTGAGAGAATTTATATATTGGACTTACGGTGTTTTCGTTATAATAAGTACTCACCTCTAATTTCGGCGGTGCCACGATTCCATAATGTGGTATTTTGCAGAGTTCGATGCCGCTAACATTGATGGTGATAGGAACGCCCAAAGTGTTCACTGTCAAACACCATGGCAGAAGTTCTACTAACAGAGAACACGAGTACTGACAAGAGTTCCGGTATCTCACCTAAACATATTAAACATTTTTGTTGATAAAAAAATAATTATTCGTTTGTGGTATACTAACTTGTACATGCGTTAACGGTTGATCGGCAACGATCCAATCAATTTCGTCTAATTCGTCTCCAAAATAGGGCCAAGTCGATTTATCGAATTGATTCAGTTCACTCAAGATATCTTCGATACTATTAATTTCGGGTTTTTTAAAAAAATGTTGATGATCCACTAGGGTATAATTCAGTGGGACATATGGATTTGCTATTGGATCGGAATTGCTAGAAACAAATACAAAATGTTAATAAAATCTATATGCGAATATTTAAGGGTGTGAATCTACATGAAAAATTAATGTTAGTTTGCTATGGTCCAAAAATGTTTCCTTACAAAAACTCGGGGTGTTGAAGTTTTAGGAAAAAATGGAAATTAATTAATATTTTCAGAACCGCTTCAGATGTTTCACTGATATTTAGTACGTAGCGAAAGTTTATAAAGTTGCATATTTTTCGACGCAAAAATAATGTTGAGCTTTAACAGTGGCGTGCGTACGGGTATTGAGTTCGATATTTTTCAAGAAAAAAATGGTACGCCAATGGTTTTTTGCAAATACATTTTTGAATTCCCCGTTCAATTTGAAACAAATGATCTTTCTTGAATTGTTTTCCTTCGATGCGCCATTTTTCAGTAATTTCAGTTTCAAAAATTTTTGTAATCATTTCGTTGGTTTAATGTTATGTTTATGTTGTCAGTTGTTGTTGTTCATTATCCCTAATGTGTTTAATTTTTCCAATTAAATTAATAATAATTCAAGATTTAATAAGTTAGACAATAGAACGGTTTTTATTTTTTTACTCAAAAAATGGCGCATCGAAGGAAAACAATTCAAGAGAGATCATTTGTTTTAAATTGAACGGGCAATTCAAAAATTATTATTTTTGCTAAAACTTCAACACCACGTGTTTTTGTAAGGAAACATTTTTGGACCATAGTTTACAACGCAAACTAACATTAATTTTTCATGTAGATTAACACACTTAAATATTCGCATATCATTAAGGAACACCCTGCATACATGTACATTCATTTATCAATACGGAATGCTTATAAATATAAACTTTGAACATAATTTAGTCATACGGAAAAAATATAAGAACCTTGTCAATCCCAAAAAACTTTTGCAGGTTTATAAAGAGACAATTGAAAATACAAAACAACATTCATGAACAAAATGGTACAACTGAACATTTACATTATCACCATATTACAGATTCAATAAATATTTTTTTAATTTCATTTTGAAATGTTGAGGGTGCTTTATTTGTTTTAAATACTCAGGTGTTCTATTACATAGGTAGATGAATTCCGCTGCAGCAGCTGCTGTTTTCAGCTATTCGGAATGTACAACATTTTGTGATGAAATTAAACATTTGTTTTCCCGTTTTGCATATTTTGCAGAGCGTAAAATGACTGCGCTCAAATATGATGGACTTGGTAAAACGTAACATCTAATTTTACAGAAAATACTTACTCGATCTTGAAAGTTAATTGATGCGAGTGATCGATCGTTCCTGGACAATAAAGTTGTTGCAACTCCCCTTTGCCATTGACCACCGCGTCAAGATGAACGTTCAACGTTGGCGTTTCGATGTGAACGTTCGAACTGATCGGCAGATTCGACTTGACAGAGAACAGCGGCCACAAAATGGCCATGGTGCGTTTCACCTTGTGCACTTGTTCGGTTACGATGCGACACCAGATGCTCAGAAATTGCCCGCGTTCCTGCAGAGGCACTGCAAATAATAATAACAATCTTTATTCACAGCACTTATACTGTAATCATATTAGAATAAAATTCCCCTGGTTTGCGAAATAATTGTAAAGGCTGGTTTTATTGCTGCAAGTTATTTAAGGGGGTATTCAAAACAGGGACGCATAAAATGGGTACACCAATTTTTGTGGGAAAACTTTTTATTCGTTAACAAAGAATGAGAAAAAGGGATTCAATCGAAACTGTTGGCAGGAACGAAAATACTCTTCATATAAGATTTTTAGGTATTTACGAGACCTACAAAATGAGACCACACGTAAAAAGATCCGACTAATAACAAAAAAGTTGGCCGAAAAGCGAGTCAAACTGCAGGTTTTGGTATTTGGTTGGTAATGCGACGATGGTTTCTCGCAGATATTTGAAATTTTTCAAATTCGTAGGATTTGTATTTCTAAATAACCACAAAGGGCATTTTATAACAACATAAACTAGTTTACCTTGGCGATATGAATCGCAAACCATTCCGGAAGATAAATGTTATTTTTATGCAAAAAAGGATGAGTTACGTTTTTTCTCTTAAACAAATTCAAACATTTCGTATTTGTGAATAATTCACAACAAAAGATGATAGACACATACGCTTTGTTTTAAAATGTGTATAGTAACGTATGTTTTTCGAATATCGTAGCGCATTTTTTCAATTACTCACACATACGACATGTTTAAGAAGAAAAAATCGTAACCTTTGTATTTAGCAGAAAAATAACATTTATCTTTCGGAACGGTTTCGATTCATATCGGCAAGGTAAACACGTATATTTTGATATAAGCCCTTGAACAGCTCGCACCAATAAAACCAGACTTTAAAATTATTTCGGGGAAATTTGCTAATATGATTAGACTATTATGAATAAGTTGATACGCCATAAAAGGAAAACATCCTTGTTGTGTATAGCATTCTCTTCAAGAGTAAATTAAGTTCTATATATTTTGGATCCAAGTGATATGTGATTTTTATGTGCATGTTAATGTAGTTTAAAGATACATAAACACCTTCAAGAGTATGAGCTTCAATGAATGCTGAAGTGTATGATAAATTAGTGTGAAGTTTTTTATAATACACATCTCACGATTAAACCGAAACCCACCTTTTACTAGCCACGGTTGTGACCCGGTACCGTGTTCCCTTAAAGGAATATCTCCAGTCCATGCAGAATCTAAGCCGTAGAACCTCAACCTTAGAAAATAATTTTTTCTGCTGCTTATGAAAATCGACGAAGTATTACTTCTGCCGGGCACGATATAAGTTGGGGAGTTCTTAAATTCCAGTTCTTTGTTATCTTTCGCCACTTCTTCGACTACCTTCAGGTCCAAATGTTCCAGCAAAGTGTTGCTGACGATCAGTTGGCCAGAAAGTATTACCTGAAAAGTCAGGCAAGATTTATTATCGTAAAGTATTATAACGCCCTCGTATAGTGTCGAGGAGTCGCCTTACAGAGTCGACGTTTAGGCAACCAGTTACGCGACCTTGGCATAGCGGTAACATTGTGTAAAAATTTCATCGAAATTTGAGCGGTTGTCATATAACGTCCAAAAAACGTTTTCGAAATCTGCTTCCATCTAGGCTACTTCCATAGAAGTTCAAAACTTGATCTGGAAAACGGTGAAACATTTCTCGACGCGTCGATAGGGGGATAAATACCCGACCATATGGCGAAAGCGGTTAGTCTCATAGTCAAACAACGCGGAATGTCCGGTCGACATGGTTATACACTTTCATAAATTGTATTTTAAAAGTAATAAATGAGACTTTGGACATTAAAACGGTGTTTACCTTACCATATCAATTTTCTACATAAAGCCAAAGTCTAAATACTTGATGTGTCGTACTGGAAGCATGGAGGAATTTACCTGTTTTTGAGTAGCAGACAACGACTTGACCGTAACGATGATCGTATAATTTTTATCCGAATTGAAGTGAATGGTGTGAACGGCATCTTGCGCCACCGGAAACGACCTCGTCCATCCATTCTCCTCCATTGCGACTTTGAGCTGCTCTTTCTTCCTCTGCGACCTCCACGCGTACAGATGACAGCACCTCGGGGCCAGCAAAATCGCTTCTTCGGTCCCCGTTTGGCCGAAACGCAGATTCATGTTGGTGTCGTTGCAAACGACGTATCTCGTCATTACGATAAAGTCGCGAACGGCGTCTTTCGGTTTGTTGCTTTGACTCCACATCTGACTGGAAACGGCTAACGTGTGCGCTATCGTCGGACCTAGCTTGATCTGGAATCAAATATAACTCATTCGTAATCATTAGTTATGTTCCAGCAGCACATTTCCAACGGTTACAAACCGACTGAGCATGTGCAGTGGAAAAACATGATCAAGCACGGTAAAAAGAGCTGTTGAATTGAAATGGTAAACGCCACCCGTCGCGCAACGACCGACGAACAGTGCAACAGCGCAATCGTGCACCAAACGGGGATATTTCAGTAGATTTGCAACTGGAATGCGAAAGGCTTTCGCGGCCATCATTCTATGTTATTTGGTCGGGTTTTGGGTAGTTAGGCGGTCGTAAAATATTTTTAACGTTTCGCCAACACGAGTGGTTGGCATCTTCAGAAGGAGTTCATATTTCGGAGTCCTGTGAGCTACAGTAAAACAGCCCAAACAACAGATTTGCTACTTTTCCATTGTCCAAGGTTGCGGGGTTATCCGAAATCGACTGTTTCAATGATTCTCCTACCTGTATCGGTTTTGAAATGATGTTACAGTTGAGACTGTCCGCTAGACTGAGTTCAACTTTGAACGTGAACGGATCAATGAGGGACTGTTCGGTCAAATACATCAAGTCCAAGACGTTGCATTTTAAAGCTGAGCTCACTTCAACGGTCAACACGTCTGTTTCCCAGCACAGACCATACGATGTTAGATTCTCCAAAACGATCGACATGAACCTGAAACGATAAAACGATTTTATTGGAAAGCGACTCATATAGATTTATTATACATGAAAACCTGAATATTAAGAATACTTTAGTGAGTACTACAAATCTCCGTAAGAAGTTCAGGAACTGTTTTACTTATAGGTACATTTTTCTGTTTTGTTTCAAAAATGGTGCTGGTACCAAAACATAAAAAATAAGTTCTTATCCCAGTATCTGAAGAAATTAAAAATACAGGTACCAAACATGCATGGAGGTTGTCGCATACCTTTGAATATCGGGAAACAGCAAATCTGGTGTATAGTTCTTCAGACAATCGGGCATCTTGGGAGCATGCTGAGCCTCTTTATCGAAATAGTTGTACAGGGCCAGTTCGATTTTGGTCACGTAAAGCGCGGCCGTCAAATGCGGGATCAGCGATTTGTCGAAATAGGAATCGATGCGCATGCAGGCTGCCAAAGCGCGAGGAGATATCACCACGTCCTTTGAAAGATCTTCATCGCTATTGCCTTCGTTCACGGTTGTTATCACCACTCGCCACGTTGACGCCACTACCTAACGTACATTATTATTTTCTACGATGACTAGAACTAAAAATTAATTAAAACTATCTCGACATATTCATTTTACCCCAAAATGATTTACGAAAGTGATGTTACCAGACAGGTGCTTAAATTTACAAAATTACTCAAAAGCATAGTGGAACTAAGTTTTAAACATTATTGTGTTTACCGACTATACTGTATCATGCTAGAACTATATATATATATATATTAGAATCTTATTCGATCCAGCATGTCCCAAGATTTTGATTTTCTCAAAATTTCCTTAAAACAGAAATGAAACTCAACGTCATCGGCATATAACGTACGATTCTAGTATGATACGGAGGTATAGTGAGCAAAATGAAATATTACGTACTGTCCTTGGCGTGCCCTGAGGAAGTGTCAGATGACATACTTCGCTCTCCGAGAGGTAGAACTGCGTGTACGGCAGGTAGCAATTCCTGCACTCGGACCAGTACTCCAAATGGCACACCACCACCAAGTCCTCTTGATAGCCGAGGCTCATTTTGTAAGGCACGGGGAATACTCGAACTTTGGTCAACGCTCGAGGTTGGGGATAACGCCAAGCCATCGCTGATAACGAGGATTTGTTCCAAAACATCACCTAAGGATTCGCTCTATCTACATAAATTGCTTAGGTACTTTTAGAAGAAAAATAAAAGTGATATACAGGTTGTAAACGTTAGCATTGTCGTTATTTAAATGGGTAATACGGGGAGTCAAAACAAGTCAAAAAGTTGATATGACCCATAATGTTCACTCAGATACTGAATGGCGCCTGTAAAAATGTGTGGTGGTGCCTCGTCATGAAGAAACCATAAATTCTGTCTCTGTTGTAATGACATGTTGTCTAAGGTCTGTTCCAAAAGTTCTGGTAGGTTATTGGCTAGAAAGCTAAGGTATCCTTCTCCTAACAACTTTTGGGCCAATTACCTGATCGTCAAGAATACCCGCCCAAATATTTATTTTAAAACGTTGTTGGAAATGACCTTCACGAATGGTATGAGGATTTTCTTGGGCCCTTATGGAAATTTAATATCCCGTCTCGCGTAAAGGACATTCGACAGAATGTTAGTCTGCGAGGATAGTCTTCTGGTAACAAGGTCTGCACTCGTTGTACATGGTAGGGATAAAGCAAATTTTCCCGTAGAATTCTATGGACTATGGTATGATTCGAGAACATTGTAAATAAACACAACGACGTACGCGAACAATAACTAACCATTGTTACCGTTTGCGATCGATTGCCGGTTCGATAAGAGTGATGAAAGACCGACGCGTAGTTGTCATGTGTGTTTTAAATATTTAATTTAATGAAACTTACTGACTACAAATTTTGGCTTAACTTAGAAAAACTGAATGCCATTTATTTGTTAATTACCCAATTTAGAAACGTTTTAGATTAGATTATAAAAATTAGTAAGGTTGTGGTAATTGCGGTCGATATAAAGCACTTAAAATTGTAAACTATAAAGCCATTTAGACGAAAATCTATTGACTTGTGGACCATGCGTCATATGAACTTTTTGACTTGTTTTTACCCACTTCAATAGTAACTACCATAACGTTTACACCCTGTATGAGGGTTGATTCAAAAATAGGTTTCCCACATTTTTTCCAGACAGCAGGATTTTTTATTTGAAAAAAAAATTAGACGTAGACTTAATAATTTTACTGCGATATATGCTCACCTGATATGGCAGCGGCAATTCATCAGGTTTATCAGTGTTCGAATCGACGAACTGGAACGCTCCGGCTCTAAGATCGTCCTTGTAATGTTGCTCCCTGTCCGAGACTTTCTTGAAAACTTGCGGTGGGGCGGAATACAAAGAAGAAGAAGGCGCCGAATATGCAGAACTGCTGCACCTGCTCGTATTGCCCTCATCTTTAGAGGGGAAAGAGGATATGAATTCGACGATGTCCTTCGACACGATTTGTACGCATTTCAGTTGTTCAGGGCAGACGTCCAACATTATGCAGTCGCTTTCCACTGTTATTTGGATCTGGAATCAAGTGGTTTGTACACAGGAGACTACTAGAATATACAAACAATAGTAGTAATATTTCTAGATGAGATCGTATCTAGACTCTAACAAAAATCATTTTCAAGTTCAAGGTTCTAGTTTTCTGTTTTTTTACCAGAAAAACTCTAGACGCAATGGTTCGCATGTAATTCTAACAAATGGCACAAGAAAAATGTTTTGAAAAATTGTTGCCTTCTTCCTTCCACGAGCTTAAAAAATTGTTTTCTGTTAGATCATCATATGTGCTAGAGAGCTTCAATATCCTATTTTTAAAATCTCGATACGATCATTTGGCATAAACAAGGCAAAAAGCAACTTATATGGTGACTTTTTCGAAATCAGCACTAAGGAAACAAAAAAAAAACACCTCAAAGATTGCATTCAAATCTTATAGGAGATTTATTCCAGTTTTACCTACATACATTCTCTGTGCGATCACTGGTTACCGAGATATCTGAGGTCGAGGACAAAAGGATCCTTTTTCATTTAAATGACCTGAACTTAAGGTCAGATATCTCCGCGCCAAATGATCGTATCGAGATTTTAAAAACAGGATACTGAAGCTGATTATAAACGGGTTATCTGTTACATGGCCTAAGAGGTATGACTCAGGTGACTGACCTGTGGACTGCTATCAGTTGTTTGCCAGGATTCCCAGAACATGGAAACGTTGAACGTGACTGTCCATGGATTGAGTAAGATCTTTTTGAAGTTTTTGCTGATAACGTTCAATGTGACACTATGTAAACCACATACAACTGACACCTTCTCAGGTCTATTCGATAATGTCAGGTTATTTGTGATCCTTTCCAAAGCCAGATCCATCTAAAAATAACGATTGATCATCAATGATTATTCAGTTAGATGACATGGCTAAAAGATGACATGAACGCAATATAAATGAACCAGACACTTCAAAAAACTCATGTCACAAAATTTGATTTTTTTCAATCAATGAAAGCTGTGTTATCCGCAAATGAACAAGTATTTTGTTAAACTTAATATATGGTATTATACTAAGTGACATATAAATCCGAACACCCAGTTTAAATGGTTTTATTTTAATAAAAGTTGGTGAATGTATTTATCTTACTGTAAATAACAAGTGAAAAAATTTTCAGCCTTATCAGTTGGACATTCCGGTTTTTATACTGCTTTTTTTTTAATTCACTAACGCTCTAAAAATGAATATTTCAGCCGCAGTACAGAATCAACGTTGGCGGATTTTGGTTCTTGACATCCTTTACGATCGGTTACGGAGACCTGTACGATTTCGTCAACTTAGTGAGTTTGATAGGGGCCGTATAGTGGGACTTCGGGAAGCTGGACTTTCTTTTCGGGCAATTGCAGTTAGAATGCAAAGAAGTGTAGACACTGTGGTTAGGTGTTGTCAGGCATGGCTTCGAGAAGGCCGTACGCAAAGAGCAAGGGGCACTGGACGCCGCCGTAGAACAACAGACCGTGAAGATCGCCGCCTAAGATTATTGGCTTTAAGGGACCGTTTCTCCACTACCAGGTCCATTGCAAATGAATGGTTTGCAGAACACGGAAGACCTATTGGCATGCGAAGTGTTTACCGACGAATGAGAAGTTTTGGCTTGTTTTCATACCGGCCACACTGGGTCCTCCCTTTAACTCGAGAACACCGACGTAATCGCCTTGAGTGGTGCAGACAACGGTCACTCTGGGATCAGGAATGGAACAGTATTGTCTTTAGTGACGAGTCTCGATTTTGTTTAGGCATGCACGATGGTCGTGCCAGGGTTAGAAGGCGACGTGGTGAAAGGAGGAATGCACAGTTTTTTGTTGAAAGACATGTTCATCACATTGTTGGAGTTATGGTTTGGGGTGCTATAGCTTATGGTTCCAGGTAACATGAACGCGCAGCGTTATATCCACGAAGTTCTAGAACCCCATCTTTTACCCTATCTTGACACCCTGGCAGATCCAACTTTCCAACAAGATAATGCCCGACCACATGTTGCAAGAGTCACAATAGACTTCTTTCAACATAATGATGTCACATTGTTACCATGGCCACCAAAATCTCCCGACTTATCCCCAATTGACCACGTGTGGGATATGATGGGTAGGAGATTGCTCAACTTGCAACGTCCTTCTCAGACTCTAGAAGCACTTCGAGAGGAGTTGGTGGTTGCCTGGAATGAGATACCACAGGAGGACATTGACCACCTGATCAGAAGCATGCCTAGGCGCGTTGGAGAATGCGTAGCACATCAGGGTGCATCCACACATTATAAAGGTCAAAGGGCTTTAAAGCAGTGCAATCATTTTGAAATTTTTATCATTTACTTATTATGCTTCATTAAATACTTGTACAAAATTTTATTAAAATAAAACCATTTAAACTGGGTGTTCGGATTTATATGTCACTTAGTATAAATGAACCAGACACTTCAAAAAACTCATGTCATGAAATTTGATTTTTTTCAATCAATGAAAGCTGTGTTATCCGTAAATGAACAAGTATTTTATTAAACTTAATATGGTATTGTATTGACTTGAGGGGCTCATATCCAGGATACGCATATAACCAATTTTCAGCGGAGCAAGAATGTTGGTAACATATGACTTAAGTGCATTTCGAGTTGATCGGTTCAATTGTTGTTACCTCATGCCCAGCATCGGATTTGAAAGCAAATACAAGTTGATCACTTTTCAAATTAACCGAATTGACTCTTTTCAGGATTTCCTTCATTTCTTGAAACCTCGTGTAGGTATCACTTTTATTTATGCTGAGATGAAGATTCGAAATATCTGTTTTTTCAACAACTGACGTAATATTTCTGTCGGTTCTTTTGAATGTGTCCAATAATCTATCCCTGAAAAGAAAGAATGTTAATGATCAATACGTTAAACTAAGTCAAGGTATTTGATAACATTTCAGTGCTTCCGAATTTGAGGAACAAAATCCACTTTGAAGGCAATTTTGATACACGATTACTATATATTTAAACGAAAGGGAAAAGCTTTTCATGTTTTGGGAATTAGTTTCTATTTTTAGCAGTTCATGATATTTTCTGGAGGTGTCTCATTTACAGAAAAACAAAATTCATTAAGCTTCTTCTTTAATGTTTTAAAAAATCTAAAATTCACTTAGGATGTCCCTTTTATGTGAATTTACCTGATGATCTGCAAATAGCTCCACCTAGACATAGAACATAGAACCTTAGTGGGCTTGGCGATATTCACGTCCAAATGCCCGTGATTCTTACTGCCAGCTTTGATATATTTGAGCGTGAAGAAGGCAGGCAGGATTCCGGTGTTCGCATCCGGAACTCCTGATTTCGTTTCTAGCAGATCGACGGGGTAATCGTCCTCTGTGGGGACGTTGCCCACCGGGGGGTACTCGGGGCCGCGCATTTTCAGGTTCAAGTCGTAGCAGGAGATCTGCATTCGGCGACCTGCCGCGTGCTTTGACAGAAACACGTTAGGCTGTTTCACGCAGATGTATACCTGAAATTTTGTTCGTTTGTTTAAGATTCATTTACCATTTTTGTAAAAGGAAATCTATATTTCCTCTTGTATAATAATAATTATTATTCAATGCCATGTAATGTTCTAAATGAAAATATAAAAATTTATTTATCCTAACTATAGTATTTCCATATTATCATACACTTTGTTTTAGATGCATTTATTTTGGTTTACTTTTACTTTTTGTGGCAAAACTTTTTATTCGACAATAAGGAATGAGAAAACGTGTTTTTTGGGGTTCAATCGAAAGTGTTGATGAGAACGAAAAAACTCTTCATATAAGATTTTTAGGTATTTATGCGACCTACAAAATGAGACCACATGTAAAAAGATCCGACTAATAGTAAAAAAAATATGGCCGTAAACCAAGGCAAACTGCAGGTTTTGGAACTTATGAGTAATGTGGCGATAGTTTCTCGCAGATGTTTGAAATTCTTCAAATTCGTAGGATTCGTACTTCTAAATAAAAACAACAAAATTGGATTATATTGCTCAAGTAATTTTTTGAGAATTTCTACTTGTTTATCCCTAAACACCTGTTTTCCGTCCAACACTAGTAGTTTATTGAGCAATATACAGGGTTCAAAGTTCAAAGAGCATTTATTAGTAAAATACACATGTTTAACTGATATGAAACACAAACCATTCCAAAATATAAATGTTATTTTCATGCAAAAGAAAAAAATCTTCGAATGTTTAAGCTATATTATTATTGCATCACATACCAAAGGGTTGTATTTCTTAGGCTCTTTATCTTCAACGCTTTCTTCTTCAGCCTCGTACCCAAGATCATCAGGGTCGATTTTGTATGGACGTTTTTTCTTCTTTTGCTTGTAAATGTTCGGTTTTCCATCGTCGATCTGGTAGAGGGACAGTCCGATTTTGCCTGCTGTGAAAAGAACGTCCACGGGTGCCGCTGTGTACACCTAATGCATTAAATAAACACCCGTCAACAATTTGAATATGACAAAAAGTAATAGGTATATGTTAGAAAAAAAAATGAAGAGCTTTCCAAAATAAGGCGAGTCAATGTTAAAACGGTGAATTTGTGTATAATTGTGAACAATCCTAAAGGTGCAGATCCACAGTGATATTTTCGTCACGTGATTCGATAGATAATCTGGTGAAACAATGTATCATGAAAGTACAAGTTTCAACGCGTAAACACAGTACGGGACTTCGCAGCAAGCGTTTTTCTTCTATACTTTTTGGTTGGCATATAATGTTCGTTCTCAAACCTAGGTCGGCACAGCTGATCTCAGAAACACACTGTCTCGTGTGAGGACAAATACAGAGTGGCGCATCGAAAACAAAACAGACGCATTTACTGGCAGTTCAGTTTTTTTTTAAAAACGCTGACACCCGTCGATTTTGTTTTCCAGGGGGACATAAGTTTGGCAAAAAATCACGTTAACACGTGCAGCCCCCTGGGCGGGGCTGACACCAACCCTAAAATCTTAAATGGAAAGGGCGGTTGAGTGATACCTTATTTTAAAGGTATTTCAATTCCCTTTATAATGATATAAAATTAATGTACTTCAATTCAGTAGTTTTGAGTAAATGTTGAAAATGGCCACCATGACTCTCCATGCAATAATAAAGATTTTGCTCAAAACATTGCCGCACATTTTGCAATATTTGAGGAGTAATTTGAAGGCACTCATCCCCAATTCTTTGTCGCAGGTCTTCTAATGATGTTGGCTAAGTAGCATAGATTTTGCTTTTTGAATGACCCCACATAAAGAAATCAAAAGGTGATAAATCTGGCGATCTTGGGAGCCATTCAATGGTACCTCTTCAACCAATCCATCGATCTGGAAACGTCTGATCTAAATATTGTCGAACACGTAATGCGTAATGTGGTGGGGCACCATCCAGTTGGAACATTGACCTATTCGCAATGTACCGCAGATCATTCTGATTTTCAATTGTAGCTGTTAATGCAGGATCTATGGCGTCTTCCAGTAATTCTAAATACATTTCACCGGTCAAATTTCCAGGTAAGAAAAAAGGACCAACTAAATGACCGCCAAAAAATACCAGCCCAGACATTTAATTTGTGTGGCTGTTTTGTATGAACCTCATGACAAATTCTGGGATTAGAATCGGACCAATATTGGCAGTTATGACGATTTACTACGCCATTTAAGAAAAAGGAACATTCGTCGGAAAAGCAAGTGTTGAATAGAAAAGGTTTATCGTTTATAATTCGTTCACTCATATCTTCACAAAATTGTAATCGCCGATCAACATCGTCTTCATTAAGTTCTTGTACAAGGTGAATTTTATACGGGTGAAAACTATGGGCCTTTGGAATCCGTTGGACAGTACGTCGATTAACATCACACACAGTCTCCAATTTGCGGGTACTTAACGTACACTTGCCCTAAAACCCCCACTTCTATTGCTTCGTTCCTTATGGGATTTTTAATGTTGCGTTTTTTATTGGCGACTGACCCAGTTTCCCGAAATTTAGCTACAAGTTCTAGAACATATTTTCGATGCACGTTACTGTCATGTCGCTCATTAAATATTTCTGCTGTTCTAATAGCGCACTGATTATTTCCGAAAAATATTTCGATAATTTCAACTCTTTCTGCTGTGGAATATACCATGGATAATTTATGTAATAAAGCGTTACAAATTATTTTAGCAACAAAGTTTGGTCAAATCAATCGCAAACTATGTATTAAATTTTTCCTTATCTTTCTTCAAGAAATAACTGTTTTGCCCAAAAAAAAAACGCCCCAATAGCTATTTTCAACAACAAAATAATAAACTAACTATGGACGTAGTGAAGAAAAGCATTTACTTATTAAGTAAATTCTTTTAGTCAAATTTCTTCTGAAAGTAGTACAAACTAATCTGATGTACCTATTAAAGTCTATACTTTAAGCTTTAAATCAATAAATCTTTAAAACTACTGAACTGAAGCTCATGTATTTTACATCAATATAAAGGGAATTGAAAGACCTTTAAAATAAGGTATCACTCGATCTCCCTTTTCATTTAAGCTTTTAGGGTTGGTGTTACCCCCATCCAGGGGGCAGCATGTGTTAACGTGATTTTTTGCCAAACTTGTGTCCCCCTCGAAAACAAAATCGACAGGTCTGAGCGTTTTTCCAAAAAAAAAACTGAGCTGCCAGTAAAAGTGAACAATTTGTTTTTTGAAGTACACACTAACCATGGTAACCGAGCTATGTTTTTTGCTATAAAGCTGATGTTCTCTCTCGCTTAAACCCTTCAATGCTGCCCTGGACGAAGACTTGACGCTTTTAATGTCCGACGTATCGATGCCAGAGTCACGGATGATCTCCTGGGGATCCCATTTGACGGTGTTGTCCACAGACGGTTCGAATCTGGAGTAAGGAAAGATGATTTTCGGTCTGGCTAACGCGCTGTCGTCTAGAAGCAGTGGTTCGACCAAGCTCGCAAATTCGCTCAGGATCGCTGACACCTGTAACGTTACAATACAATATAATACAATTTTTTTCCTACTATGATATGCCGAGTGACAAAAAAAAGGCAAACACCTACGTATGTTTATCCGATTTTAAGAATCTCTGGCATATACAGGGTGACTTTGAAGTTGAGTCATTAATTTTTAGATAATGATTGTAGAAGGAAGATAAACCAAAATATGTGTGTAAAAATAAAAAAAAAATAAAAAAAAATGTTACCTTGTTTTATAAAGTATCCTCCCGACAAGTATTTCAGTGCGGACCTGTATTTGATCGTGCGGTCTTGGAGCACCGGCATACCCTCCCCTGTGAGGTCTTAAGTCACCTGATTCACGAGCCCTTTGTACTACATTCAGCATTTTCGTAAACATGTGCCATTTTTTTTTTCGTTTGAGCCATGCAACAAACACCACTATTCACTCACGCGTTATCGACTGACACATCGACTGAATACAACTGAATAAAATTGTACATTGTAGTAAAAACATCGTTTCAAATTCTTTCGCTTTTTTTTCCGATGCGATGAACGGATAAGGCGGATTATATCCGTTGTCGCCAAACACGAGCACATAATATTATTATTGAGACAGGGCGGTACTCAAACTTCTAAAGGGCTATAACTTTGTTACTTTAATTTTACCAGAAAAATGTTAAAGGAAAAAAACATTTCTTTTGATCAGATCTACTCACTGTTAAAATAAATGACTCAACTTCGAAGTCACCCTGTATGTTCAGTCTCACTTACTAGTAAAATGATTAAATTTCCAGCTTGTTCGTCAGCTAAGATCGATTTTATAATAACCAATGAACAGAATTTGAGTATCAAGGTTTTACATACTCCAAAAATAAGCGACATTCGTGGATATGTTTCGAGGTGGAAAATATGTTTAGTGAGAGAGAATCAAGAGAAATCACAATTATTGACTTTGAAACGTTACGAGAGTCACTCTTACAAGCCAATATCACTGAAATTTTTAATGATTAATTCTCAAAAATTATGGATTGTATGGAGAACTGCATGAGAGACGCACAAATTAGGAAAGTGGTATATCAAAGGAAAAAGCCAACACTCTGGTTTTCACAAATATTTCTAGACTCTAAATTGACGCGTGATAATGACTATAAAAAGTTTACGATCACTCAAACTGAGATAGATTGGATACAATGTAAGAAATCAAGAAACAAGTGTTTAACAAATCTTAAGAACGAAAAATATTATGAAAACAAAATCGATAGCAATGAAAAATAACAGTAAAATGATGTGGAAGACACTAAAAAATATTGTATCTCCCAGTAGGACGAATGAATTATCAAGAATGTGCTTCGAAGATGGTATAGTAACACAAAAAATATTGATTGCAGAACGAATGATTGCTTATTTTATAGAAAGTATAAACTAGATAGTGGAAAATAATCTACAATTACTCCTGTTCAATAAGTGAAAAATTATATGCAAACATGCGTCCAATTAATGTACTGCCAGATGTCGAGAAGCTCTTAGAAGGAATCATATATGAACAAGTCATTGAAGAAAATAAGATATTGACAAAATTACAAGCAGGATTCAGAAAAAAGTTTTCTAGAGCAACAGCAATTCAAATGGTAGTGGAAGAATGGAGGCGAAATATGGATGAAAAAAAGTTTACAGTAACATTGTTCTTAGATTTCAAGAGAGCATTTGAGACTATTGACAGGGATAAATTGTTAACGAAATTGCATTGCTATGGATTTCAAGGTTCAGTATTTGACTTATTACAAAATTATTTAATCAATAGAAGTCAAAGAAGTAAAATTGGCAATACATTATCAAACATTAAAAACATTTCGGTAGGTGTGCCACACATTTTATTACTTATTATGAACTATTGGAATGTCTGCTATGCGACGATAACAAAAAACTCAAAATCAACACGCAGTTTTTTTGTATTTCAATTTTAACCGTCTGAAATCGGAATAAAAAATAAAAAAACTTAAAATTCAAACAACTCAAAAATGGTTAACTTTTGGATGAGACACGATAGGACAAAATCGATTGCTTTTGACCTAATCTATCACCCCTTAACAGGAATATGTGACATTACAAGTCACCCTGTTAAAGCTAAACATTATTTTTGGTATTGAAAAATATGTAACTTAATAACTTTCACTACGTACTAAATATGAGTGAAATATCTGAATCGGATCTGAAAATATTAATTAATTTCCATTTTTTCCTAAAACTTCAACACCCCGGGTTTTTGTAAGGAAACATTTTTGGACCATAGCTTATAAAGCAAACTAACATTAATTTTGCATGTAAATTGACACCCTTAAATATTCGCATATCATTAAGGAACACCCTGTATTTTAGCACATATTTAATTTGGTTAGACTTTGGAATACAGAATAGTTTTGCTAGAGTAGCAAGTAGGAACCATAACTATGCCTAAACCTAAAAATAGATGTTTCCCATTAACATTCATTCGATCCTCAAACGACGTTGATTGTCATCGTCACTTTAACGTAAAATTTCCCGCTGTTTGCATTTCTGGTGATAAAAATACGGATTTCATTTAAGAATACCATCTTGACCTTCAAATGCGCTTGAAAGCCATGGTCACGGTATAAATGTAGACATTCTCTGCGTACCAATTTGATCTGATTGAGCGACAGGTTGACTACGATGTCCGAAACGAAGTTGATTTCTACAGAGTGTCCGCAAACGAGAGTGTTCGATTTGTAGAGTATCGCCGGTGCGGCGACCACGCTGATGTCGAACCTCTCCGAGACGTTCCACAGATTCATGATGGGATGGAAGTACGGATGACCTTGCTCCAGATTGTTCCATTCCAAGGCGGGGTTTTCGCTGAGCGGATGCAGCGTAGAGGAAGCGGTGCCCGTTGGCGAGAAGACGGCGTCGATGTCGTCCCAAGTGCCTGTCGAGATTGAGATGCCCAACATGTCGAATTGGTATTGTCGGTCCTCCACTTCGCTACCTATTCGTATTAGGTAAAGTTTTTATTTTGCTTGACCATTTCGACATTTCAAAAGAGCAATATCTGTTAAATTTGCACCGCTTGTTGTTTGTTCACTTACCCGGTATATTGAGGATTCTGGCATGTACCGCTTGATCGTAAATGTCTTGTCGAATCGGCGTTCTGCAGATCGGATTCACAGCTGATGGAGTCAGGCTGATCTTTTGAACCTAAATATGTTCGATATTTCAAAATTACATCCAAGTTTCGATAACTACTATATGACGTCTCGTAGAATATATAAACAAAATAATACTTAACAATTATTTCGCAAACCAGGAGTATTTTCGTCTAATATAATTAGACTATCATTATACAGGGTGTTCCATAATTATTGCGACAAAATGATAGGCGTTGTAGAGGGCATCAAAATGAACAATTTTGCCTTATAAACCCCTGTTCGGAAATATGCCGTTTGGGCTGCAACAAAAAAAAAGATCAGTTTCTTGAAACAGCTTACCTACAGTAATTGCTCAAAGTGTCCTCCACCTTGCTCAATACACAGCTGTGTACGATTGTTCAATGATCGGCGAACTCTGTGGCATACCCCTGGTATGTCCTGAACATGTGCGGACGCGGCCATCATTCTTCCCAGTAGCTCTTGTTGGTTGGGAACAGGAGTTTCGTACACTAAAGCTTTCAGATGGCCCCAGAGAAAATAATCCAGTGGGGTCAGGTCGGGTGACCTCGCAGGCCAAGGCACAGGGCCACCTCGACCTATCCACCTATTTGGAAATTTGTCGTCCAAATACTGCCGCACTTGTAAAGAAAAGTGGGCTGGAGCGCCATCGTGTTGAAACCACATGTTGGCTCTTATGTTCAGTGGCACATTTTCTAATAGTTCCGGTAGCACATGCTGTAAGAATCGACCATAAGCATGCCCATCCAAACGTGGTGGAAGCAAATATGGCCCGATGATATGCTCGTCCACAATGACGTACCAGATGTTAATTGAAAACTGATGTTGGTCTCTATGGATGGCTATGGCATGAGGGTTTTCTTCATCCCAAATGTGACTGTTACGGCTATTAAAATAACCGTCCTTTGTAAAACAGGACTCGTTTGGTTGCCTCAACTCCATGAATCCTTGCAAAAATGGCGTGATGCGGATGAGGACGTTCTGGTAACCGTTGGGCGTAGATTCGCGAGGCTCGTCTTCCGTTACCACCAGCTTCTTCGTAAATTAAATGCATATCCGCAAGTTCCGCATACGAATAACGCTGCATTTTAACACTAAGGTACTGTTATTTACTATCTAGTTTGACGCACCACTCAGATAAATTAAATGAATCGGTGTGGAGAATTTACGATAACAAAAATGTAAACACAGCAGGCTTTTTTTACAAACCGGCGAGACCATGAAATGTGCTAGACGAACATTTTGCAGCTGGTGAATTTTTTGTTTCTCCTATGAGCTCTTAAGGTAAAATTAGCGGTAGTGCTCAAACGGCATATTTACGAACAGGGGTTTATAAGGCAAAATTGCATTTTTTATGCCCTCTACAATCCCTATCATTTTGTCGCAATAATTATGGAACACCCTGTATAACGATTTAATAAACTTATAGATTAGCGAAAATGGAAATAGCCTCGCAATGTATAATTGATAAATATTATTATATGTGATACCTGTAAGATGATGACGTCATGCATGGCTCCGGTACTTCCCAGTTCGACTGAAGGCATCACCACTCGAATATCCTGACATTCCAAGTAAGCCAACGGCAGAACTTGGCTGTTGACAGTTTGCAGGAGGAGCGTCGAGGATGAAGATGGGGAAGTCAACGGTGCTGGCTCGCTGGATAGAGGGATCTCCAATAAGGGAGCGATCACTAGATAGAAGCTGCGGAGCGTGTTCAGTGATATCACAAAGTCTGAAAAAGAACAAGAAATGGTTTTAGGTATCATTCCAAGATACCGAGGAATGTTATGTGCGCAAATATTTCAAAGATTGAGATATCATGATATTTTTGGATATTTTATGACTCGTACGATTTTTTCGTTTTTGGTAATCCTTCTTTCTTCACCACCGCTGGACCGATTTTCAAAAACTACAAAACTTTTTCGTCCTTGGCCTTAGTAACGTTGTATGAAAATTTCATCGCAATCCGACTGGTACTTTCAAAGTTCAAAGTTCAAAGACAGACCCACGGAAATGAAACACATGATTTTACGTTATGTGCATACCATGTAACACCCAAAAAAGATATCTCATTTTGAAATTTTTCGCGCCAGTAGGCGTGAAAAGTAAAAGGAGAATTTCAGAATGTCCTCAAGTTTTATTTATTTATTTATTTAGATTCAATACACTGCCTGAACGCAACACTCCATTGAACAGGCAGGAAGTACAGCATGCTCAGCCGACAGTTAGAAAATACCTTCGAAGGCTGTCTTTACTGTAGTGAAAGATATCAAGTGCACGTGCACTTTCACAAATGCCACACATAACATAGAGTGGTGAAAACAACAATAAGTTTGTTCTAGGAACAGGTAAATAGAATAAACTGTTGCTACCATGACGAGTACGCAAATTAGGTATGTGTAAATAAATTTTCTCTAAGAGTGAAGGACAATCAATGCTGCCATCGAGCAATTTACACAAAAAGGTAGCAGCGAATAAATGTCTGCGCTTCGTTAAATTTGGCAGATTGAATCTGCTTAATAATATGTTATTACGAAAGCCCCTTTCAGGATAAACTCTATCTTCTTTATACCACAAATACTTCACGAAACGTCGCTGAACTCTCTCAAGATTATGGGAATGTACATCGTAAGCCGGGTACCAAATAATAGAACAATATTCGAGAATAGATCTAACAAAAGCATAATATAGTAAGATTAAAGTTTTAGGATTATGAAATTGTCTGCTGTTTCTGATAACAAAACCAAGATTTTTGTACGCTTTTGCTACAATAGTATTTATCTACTCGATAAATGTCCTTCTGGGGTCAAACAAAACACCTAAATCTTTGAACGAAAAAACTCTCAGGAGCGAGCTGTTTCCAATCTCAAAGACAGATTCTATCGGTTCCAACTTGCGTGTTAGCGTCATAGTGCAACATTTATCAACATTCAAATGCATATTATTAACTTCACACCACTGATGTACAAGGTTCAGATCTGCTTGCAATGCTAAACTATCATCTAAGGTATTAACACATCTAAAAATCTTGAGGTCGTCAGCATACAGCAAATACTCACACCGCAAGTCACTTACTATGTCGTTAATGAATATAAGAAATAACAAAGGGCCAAGGACTGAACCCTGGGGTATGCCTGACGTAGCCAACACCGGATATGATTTGTAACCACGATAATCTACACGTAAATGTCTGTTATTAATGTATGACTGGAAAAAATCAAGAAATCTAGACGTTAAACCAATTTTTGACAACTTCTGTATCAAAATACCGTGATCTAAACGGTCGAAAGCTTTTGAAAAATCGGTATAGACTACATCAACCTGCCCCCCTTTGTCCAAAACTCCGCAGCGTATTGCTTGAAACATGCTAAATTACTACATGTTGATCTACCTTTATAAAAACCATGTTGACCAGTACCGATGGTACGACTTACATGAGAAAACACGACCTCAAAAAGTACAAACTCAAAAACTTTCTCCAAATTGCTCAAGATAACAATCGCTCTATAGTTCTCAATATGTGACCTATCGCCTTTCTTAAAAACTGGAGTAATTTTCGACATTTTCCATTTGTCAGGAAAGGTTGCAGTTTTTTAGAATAATATTTATATTTAGATCTTTTGTTAGATGTCAGGATTTTATAGTTGAATATGCCAAAATTAAGAAAAATATACAGGGTGTTTCAGAACTAAGGGATCAAACTTGTAGGGGTTATTCAGTGTAACAGTAGAAAAGATTTGAGTATAGGGACCCATATCTGGAAAAGTGTCACTACGGCACTACGGCCCTAAGACGCGTTAAATAGGATGTAATGCATTTAATTTTTGCCTTTTGTACATGATATCATCACAACAATAGTTCAAAATGTCTTCCTCCAATCTCCACCGGTTTAAACGTCGCACCTGATTTCGGCGGACATGACAAAAAATATGATACTCGTTTTGAATGATTTCAAATGTTGCTGTAATTCGTTCAATTAAGCCTTGCTCTGTTTCTGCTGGAGTTTCGTAAACCAAAGACTTTACATGTCCCCACAGGAAAAAAACTAGCGACGTTAAATCGGGTGACCTAGGAGGCCAATAAACTGCTCCACCTCTGGCAATCCAACGGTACTTGTACAGCAAAGTGAGCCGGCGCTCCATCATGCCGAAACCACATTTGCTGTCGAACGTTCAATGGAACATTTTCAAGAAGTTCTGGAAAAACTTCCTCCAAGAAACGTCGGTAAATAGGTCCTGTTAACCGTTCCGGTAGAAGGTATGGCCCAATCAAATAATCATCAACAATGCCTGCCCATACGTTGACAGACCAACTTTGCTGATGGTTTCTAGGAAAAATTGCATGGGGATTTTCTTTGTCCCAAACGTGGCTATTCGTACTATTAAAAATACCATCTCTCCATAAAACATAGCGTAAAAAAATTGGTTGTGCAGCGATTTGATGAAAAAGCCATTGACGAAATTGAACTCTAGGATGATAATCGGCTGCAGTCAATCCTGGAACTTTCTGAAAGTGGAAAGGATAAAGTTGTTGCTCGTGTAGCACCCGCCAGACGGAAGCGTTACTCGTATTCATATCCTCAGCAATGTGACGTGGGCTACTTGACGGTTCGTCGGCAACTCGCTAAAGGACCTCTTCTTCAAATTCGACCGCTCTTACGTTTCGAGCAACACCAGTATCACGCATCTTGGTTCTAAACATGCCTGTCTCGGAGAGCCGCCGATGAATAGCAATAAACTTTTTGTATCCCGGACGCTGTCGTTCGGGATAACGTTCTTGATACAACCGCGTGCATTACAGCTTGTCGCTCCGTATGCCAAATGCATATCCGGCAATTCTTGATTGGTCAAGTTTTCCATTAGCAACAATTAATTTTTGTTAAAACTTCACAAATACGATATGGAATGCAGCTACTAAAAACAATCTCTGTTATAGTTTTTAAAGATAACAACACACAAGCGTTGGCTATGGGTAACCCTATACTCAAATGTTTCCTACTGTTACACTGAATAACCCCTACAAGTTTGATCCCATAGTTCTGAAACACCCTGTATTTTCCGACTTCAATTACCTGTATAACCGCTGCATCTTATTAAGTGAATTTAAAACGTATAGTAATATTTATTTAAATTATCGAATACTATTTGTGAAGTGTTACCTGTCGGCTGTACATTGACAACGATCTCCGTGATATATCTAGAAGGCGACAGCATACTAGCGGCCTGTAAATTCGCCGTTGAGGCCTTCTTTCCCTCCTTTGCGCTTTGCTTCCCTTGAGCACCTCTCGACGGGGTCCCGCCGGTCCCCCACAACGTGTGCGTATGCTGGCAGCTGGCTCGAGTTATTGTCACGCACATAAAACCGTTATCTTCGTGGTGTCTTTGCTGTTGAAGCTGTTGCTGATCGCTGGACACGGACACCACGTCTTCACGTTGTCGCATCACCGTGCCGGAGAACGGACCTGGCATCCATTTTGAACTTGCCGTCGCTCTACCGGACAACAATCAATCACGAAATTACATCGTTCAAAATTGATAATACGAACTTTATTAATGGATTTTTTTTTGGGACCAAACTTCAAATCCCTAAATAGAATGAACAAAAAAGTAATAATACAAGGTGTTTCGGTTTCGGTTACGGCATAGGAATTTTCTTCTGCCCACAAATGATTATTGTGGTAATTCTGAATGGCATTTCGAGAAAAATTAGCTTCGTCGGTGAACAGATTCATTGAATCAAATTGTGGATTTTGTGTAATTTTTTGAAGATACCACTGACAAACGGTCACGCGCCTTGGAAAATCAATGGGAAGTAATGCCTGTACTCTTAAAATATGGTAAGGATATAACAAAAAATATAAATATCAGTGAAATATCTGAAGCAGTTCTGAAAATATTAATTAACATCCATTTTTCATGTAGACTCACACGCTTAAATGTTCGAATATCATTAAGGAACACCCTGTATAGAGAATACTCGTTCTTTCGCAAGGAGACAGATTTATGATGTATTTATAAATGATCTATTACATAACACAATTAGCGAATTACTGAAACCAAACAAAGATAATATTTTCCTCATTATAAGAAAAACAATTTTTGTAAAAAGATTCCAATTTAAAACTTATGTGAGGCCACACAATTGTTGGGTGAATGTCTAATATAGTTAATGACGCTTTCTGTGTCTGTGTCTCTGATCAAGTACCAATTTTGTACATAGCGCTTTTTATTTGTCTCAAGTAGACAATCGTCGGTAATGCTTTAGTTTGTGTACATCAGAAAGCAAAGGTAGATACCTCTTGAAATGCTGTATTGATGCCGAACCAATCTTGCTTTTGATCTTTAAGTATACGCTCTGAAGGTCCAAAGAACTAACGATGTCCTCCGCATCCACAACTAACTTCAACATGGGCTGTTGAGACTCAAGGTCGTTCTCAGGGTCGGCGTTACACTCGTTTGACAGCAGCTCTATTGTAAACCTATCATAAAAAACACTATTATGAGTATATAATGGAAAAATCGAAGAATCATCATGTAGTTTTTTGACATAGTTCATCTTGAAGAACCTAATACATCAGATGTTCACGAAAAGAATCATAAGAGTATGCTATTGAAATTGAAGACTTCACTAACTCAGTATAAAGAAAGGATGTAGTTTCAAACACAAATTACTGCAGTAATATATGTTGCAAAGATAATCTGAATACAAACCAATGTTTGTACCACAGCGAATTTGAGTGTCGTGAATTTGTTACCTAGTGATTGTCCATTGCACCCAGGCTGTCAGTTTGATAGAATCACTATCGGCATTGTCAGGTTTCTTAAGTTTAGACGCCGTTTTTCCACTACTCGAATCCTTGTGCGTGGTCTGCGATGGCGAAACCATCGAAGAACCACTTTTGAGCGCCACCTGTGGAATCACATCTGGAACCTTACTTGGAGGTTTTTGTTTCTTCGGAATCAAATTGGTTGCTACCTACGTTGAGCGAAAAAAAAAAACACCCATACAAAATTTGTTCCAAGTAGATTAAAATATTGCGAATTCTACCAACAATAAGCTTCATCGTTTACCTCCATAAGACCATAGAGTATGCTGGCGAACAGATAGACTTGAACCTCCGAGGTGGACACCACGATCGGCGACATGTCGATATGCACGCAAATGCCCAGGTAGCCGATGTCGACAGCTGCTTTTTCGTTATTGGTAGCACTTTTACTGCTAGTATCGGCAACACTTTGGTTCTCTACCTGCATAAAGCAAATCGAGTCATCAAAATTCGCGGTTTAAACATTCAAAAATAGACTGTTACGTAATAATTGCTGTATACAAATATGCGACCGATATCGAGAAGCTGTTCGAAGGGATAAATGTACGAACAAATCATAGGATTCACTGAAGAAACCAAAATTTTGATAAAAAATCAAACTGGATTTAGAAAAAAGATGCCACAGAAACGGCAATCCAAATGGTGGTGGAAGAAGTATGGATGAGGAAGAATATATTGTAACAATATTTTTAGATTTCAAAACGGCATTTGAGACTATAGATAGGGAAACATTATTAATGAAATTGCGTCATATTTTATATAATTTTAACCATTGTACCATGTATCCAGCTCTCACCATGTTACTGGACGTTTCCCTCATCCTATACGAAAACAACAATTAGCAACATCCTCACATACTACTGTAAGTTGATTCAATTTAAATTCATTTTACACTTTTGTTGCTACTGTTATCATTGTAATTGCAGCTCCTGATGATGATGGCAAAGTCCATTGAAAGCTAGAGAGAATTAAAAAAATATAAAGAGTCCTCTTTGCTTAAATTTTGTCGAAGTACCCAACAAAAGGCGGAAGCTTTAATTTTTCACCTAACTGGTTTAGACGACAATGACCACGTCTCAAGTTACATCCACAAAATATTATACAGGGTGACTTTGAAGTTGAGTTATTAATTTTCAGATAATGATTGTAGAAGGAAGATAAACCAAAATATGTGTGTAAAAATAAAAAAAAAATTAAAAAAAAAGTTTACCTTGTTTTATAAAGTATCCTCCCGACAAGTATTTCAGTGCGGACCTGTATTTGATCGTGAGGTCCCCTGTGAGGTCTTAAGTCACCTGATTCACGAGCCCGTTGTACTACATTAACAAAGGCACGAGGGGTTGGTTGCACTCGATTGGGAAACCGATCCGCTTAAACATGTGCCATTTTTTATTTCGTTTGAGCCACGCAACAGACACTATTCACACGCGACTGAAACTGACTGTATGTATAACTGAACTGAATTATTGTAATCGTAAAAACATCGTTCCAAATTCTTTCGCTTTTTTGTTTCCGATGCGATGAACCGTTGTTGCCAAACACGAACACATGATATTATTGAGACAGGGCGGTACTCAAACTTCCAAAGGGCTATAACTTTGTTACTTTAATTTTACCAGAAAAATGGTAAAGGAAAAAAACATTTCTTTTGATCAGATCTACACACTGTTAAAATAAATGACTCAACTTCGAAGTCACCCTGTATATATAGCACATAAGCATTTGGACACTGCTTTATAACTGTTAAATAGTGATATTGAAAAAAATATGAATTGGCTAAATGTCAATAAACTTAAACACTAATAAAACAAAATGTAATAGGGGAAACATTCAGTTGACAATAGTTCGAATTTAAAAATGTTTAAGGTGAAATTTAAAAATCACTTTATGAATAATCAGAATACATAGTGACGTAGTTTTAATTTTAATAGACAAAAATGTAAAATTACAGAAAATGGATTGAAGAAAAATATCTAACCGAATCATTATACAAAATCGACATTGTAGCATTAATGCTAAATAAATCTTCAACAACAACAATAAAAAATAAGGCTGAAAATAGGAGACAGGATCCGTTTTATCAATACTCTGGGCGGATAATTGGTATATATTAGAGATAGCAGAGGGCCAAGTACAGATCCCTGCGGTACCCCGTTGTAAACAGCCAAACATTTTAAATAAAGTTAGTGTCAAAGTAATAAATTAGATTGTAAATAACAAAAACGATGTTTTCGTTACAATACAAAACATGATTGTTTGGAGGCATAAAAAATATCTGCTTAGCAGATTTCATTATTGAAGTCATGTATAAGTTGATCATATAAAGTTTTCAATTACATATCAACAATATTTCTGCGATAGTGTACCTTAGGCGGTTTCGTGGTCAATCCTATGGTGGCGCTGAGCGATACCGGCTTCAAAAAAGTGAGTTTGTTGCCGTGTTGCACCGTGTAGCAACTAAGATCGGATACGGAGATCGTCCATGGTAAGCTGGAACTTTTCTCGGTCCACACGGTGTTGGGCACCGACACGGGGAGCGCTCTCAGGTACTTCTTGATGCTTTGCCGATGAGCGCTTCGTACGTTCGCGAACGGCAAAGTTATCACCATCATTTCAGGAGGGTGTTCTTTGTTCACGGCCGATTCTACTGCTTCTTGGATGCCTGCGGATTTCGATCAGCTTGACATTATTCTTATACTTTTTTGCACAGAAATAAGAAAAACGCTGTTAACAGAAACATGATATTCTTTACTTGTTATGTCAAAATTGGCGAGGAAGTATTTTTTATTATTTTTTTTTTTTTGAAGAACACCAAAGACCAAAGTATTATTCGAAAACAACCTAACCTGCTTCAACATAACCTAACTATTCATCTTTCAAATATGATCGATCAAGCAACATGAAAACATCGTCTATCTTTATACATACAAATTAGCAATACAGTTTGTTTGGACAGTCAAATTCTGTTTGTCTCTGTCTAACATATCTGAAACTTCATTAAAAATATTCAAAAATCGCTGTCGTTTGTCTTTACTACAGACTAAAATAATGACGTAATCGTCGACTATACCCGTGCCGATATGTGCAATTGTACCTTGCGATCCTACAGCCGACAATGAAACTAGAGGGAAATAAATGGTGGACTGCGAAACGTCCCCTTGCAGGAAAACTCCTTTCCAAACGTCGAACCATTTCCTTAGAACGTTGTAGATTTTCTCCTGCAGATCGACGTGCGACGTGTGTGCGGCCTGTTCTTCATTGCCCGCTGTCGGATTAGTGGGCGTTACGATGGACGCCGCTGCGACGACGTGGATTGGCTCCCAGTCTGAACTGCTGTGCACCGATTGGGTGCCAATGCGACGGGGCGTGTCCACTGCGCTGCCTCCGCTGACGCTCGCCTGGTAAGCGGCACTCTTACTTTTATTCGTTATCTGCAAATCTGAATCGAATCTCGTCATACGGTTTGAAATACACTTTCAATTTGTAGCAGACTGAACGGAACTTCTCAAAGAATATTGTTTCTCCTAATGGAAAGACTGAATTATCTAAAATGCGTTTCGAAGATGGGGTAGTGACTGACAAATTAATTATAGTAGAAAGAATGAACACTTATTTTATAGAAAGTGTAAATCAAATAGTGAAGACGATTGATGACGGTGATCCAAAGTTATGTCCATTACAAGTACATCAGACTTCATCAATGAAGCAATTTAGGACCATTAACATCAACAATCTAAGAAAAGCTATCTCAAAATTAAAATCTAATAAAAATCCAAGTGAGAATCTACCAAAAAATATTCTAAATGATTGTTTCAATATAATTGGAGAGAAATTATTATTATTGGTGAATCATTGTTTAGTACATGGTGAATTCTCATCAAAATTAAAGTGTTCCGCCATTCCTCTTGTGCCAAAAGTTCAAAATTCTCAGCTGCAAACAAATATGCGACCGATTAATGTCTTTCCCGATGCCGAGATGCTGTTCGACGGGATAATATACGAACAAATCATAGAATTCATTGAAGAAACCAAAATTTTGATAAAAAACCAAGCTGGATTTAGAAAAAAATGTTCCGCAGAAACGGTAATCCAAATGATGGTGGAAGACTGGAGAAGAAGTATAGATGAGAAAGAATATATTCTAACAATATTTTTCAAAAGGGCATTTGAGACTATAGATAGTGTAACGCTTCCTTTCCGCAAAAAGTCCAGAAAAGATGGAATGAATGAAGATTCCAACTTTTCTGCACAATCACAGAAAGGGGGTTACAATTAGCTTCCGGTAGCTCAGTCGGTGGCATGAAGACATCTACAGGCGTGTAGCTATATGTCGACCATGGCATGGCTAGAGGATAGAAGAACAAACAGAACACAAAAATTTAACAGATTTTATTTAACAAAAAAAAAAGGCATTTTCATTACATTACAATTTTACAAAAATAACAAAATAAGTTTTACATCTTTGGCGCTGCTATAACGCTATCGACTTATCTTTCGCTGGTCCATTTTTACTCGACTGAAGCCAGGATGGCCAGGGACTTGAAGGGGAGGTCCCAGTTGTGAGGGGTGACCTCACATATAGTGGCTTCGTAACCAGTTGTAGGCGAAGTTAAAGGCGATGGCGCTGCCAAGGCACATGCATGGGTGAAAATATTGGCCAAGGCTAGGCAAAGTGAAAGGGAAAGAGAAAGGGGGTGGCCCCAATCATTTTTGTCCTATACGGACACACATTCTAGAAATCTAGCACATGGTGCTATAACGTATAACCTTGTGCTACTGAGAAGAAATTTCTAGCCGTTGTTCGATCGGCGGCTCAGGTGAAAAGGAAGCGCGAGGAAGATCGCAGATCAGGAACTCCGCATCAAGCGCTCCAAGCGGAAAATTTTCCAAGCAAAAAAGCTAGAGATGGGATTAATGAAATGATAATCGAGAAGTGATTTAATAAATACGATCGGACGGTGAAACCGTTACAATAGGGTTAAAAATTGTTAATGAAATTGCGTCACTATGGCTTTAAAGGATCAGTATTACATATTTTACAAATTTATTTAGTAAATAGAAATCAAAAAGTTTGAAATATTATGTCAAGTGTTCAAAATATATCAGTAAGGGTGCCACAGGGGAGTAAATTAGGGCCGTTACTATTTATTATTTATATAAATGATATCTCTGACATTTTAGAACACTGCAAAATTCAAATATTTGCGGACGATACACTTATATATATATATAACTTGAGACGTGGTCATTGTCGTCTAGACCAGTTAGGTGAAAAATTAAAGCTTCCGCCTTTTGTTGGGTACTTCGACAAAATTTAAGCAAAGAGGACTCTTTATACTTTTTTTAATTCTCTCTAGCTTTGAATGGACTTTGCCATCATCATCAGGAGAGTAGTATGTGAGGATGTTGCTAATTGTTGTTTTCGTATAGGATGAGGGAAACGTCCAGTAATATGGTGAGAGCTGGATACATGGTACAATGGTTAAAATTATATAAAATATGACAAGACAAGTTATATATATATATATACAGGGTTTCATATATTATTTAGTTCCCGTTTTCATATTCAAATTAAGAAATCACTTATTACCACCACATTTAGAGAACTTCAAAAAATTAAATAGTTATTATCATAACTACGAAACTAGAGGCAGTATAGATTTTCATCTGCAAAATTGTAACAGTAGCATAACTAGTAGATCTATATTTCAAAAGGGAGTATTTGCATTTAATCAATTGAATAATGATATTAAACAAAGTTCGAATTTAAAAATGTTTAAGGTGAAATTAGAAATCACTTTATGAATAATCAAAATACGTAGTGACGTAATTTCAATAGACAAGAATGTAAAATTACAGAAAATGGATTGAAGAAAAATATGCAACCGAATCATTATACAAAATTTTGATAGAACCAAACTGTAAGGCTATACAGTAATTCGTGTGAGGTGTTGCATAGTCAACGAGCTGATATAGTCTTGAAAGGATTTTGCAAAAATTAAAAATTATCGACTTTTAAACGTTAAACTTACCCGATTTGCCAGCGTTAGCAATCTCGCTAGGATGATACAACAGCCATTTGCACAGTAAAGGATCAACGCATATTCTGATTTCTTGCAAGTTGAACAGCAAAATTGGTGCGTGTTTTTGATTATGAGGACTTAAAGGATACTGGAAAGTCACCGTCAGCAAAGGGATTTCTTCCGCGTTCCTAGAAATATTTTATTCATGAAATTACTAATGTTATTTCAACTACCAAATTTATATGCGAATATGCTTACTTTTTATTCTTTAATTTAGTTTTACTGGCAGCCGCCCCCGCAGATTTCGTTTCCGGTCCGGATAGAAAGAGCACCTGTTGAATGTCTTCCGAAGCGATAGACTTCTTGCTTTTCGTGGTTTTGCTGTCGATTTTTTCGAATATGAAAGCCTTGACGCAACCTAAGCTCATGTCTATCGACGTTGTTGCATTCGTTACCACTTTCTTGTACCGTATGCCTTCGACGTATAACTCCATGTAAGGAAAACCTGAAGCAACCAAGAAGAAGTAAACAGTTTCATCCTCTTAAAACGAAAATTGATTTTTCCGTCGATACATTTTAAACATTGAAAATGCGCTGTACTTTTAGTAGTAGGATATATTACCGTAATCTTTGCACGCATCCAGCAACATGGTGGTGGTGTTGATCATTTTCGTAGCTCCGTCAGAGTCGAGCACGATCAATTTCGATATGATGGTAGCAATGACCATCATTTTCGCATTGGTGGCGTTCAACGTTACACTTTCCGATTCAAAAGTGATCTCGTTGTGCGGAATATTCGGGTTCCACCTAAAAAAAATATGCCGTCAAGCAGATTAATTCTATATTTCTGACACCTCCGACACAATTTCTACTACAATTTTCCATGTAGTGAAATGGCTTTAGAAACGTTGTGGCAATACGTGCAAACAGTTGACCATTGAAAATGCTGCACCAGACATTTCTAGAAAATCTGTGTTCACTCTAGTGGATTCTTGCAGAACGGGGATTTTCTAACGACCAAATATGTTCATTACGAGAATTAAATGTTCCACTCTTCGTACAAAAGCGATTCATCTGACCACAAAACCAAACCAATAAAATCTGCATTTTGGGTATGCATTTGCAGTACCAACTCACAAACACGTCAGAATTATACATCCAATTCGTTTGGCCATTCAACTTATTACAAAATTATTTAATGAATAGAAGTCAAAGAAGTAAAATTGGCAACAGATTATCAAACATTAAAAACATTTCGGTAGGTCTGCCACAAGGTAGCAAATTACTATTTATTTTATATATTAACGATATTCCTGATATTTTCAACACTGCAAAATTCAACTATTTGCTCAAATAAAGACATTGAAACTGCAATAGAGCTGTTAAATAATGATATGAAAAAGTAATAAATTGGATAATTGTAAATAAACTTAAACTAAATACAAACAAAACAACATATTATATGCTAGTAGGAAAATCTTTAGATCAAAATACGATAAATCTTACAATTAATCATGAAAAGTTTGTGTCAATCGAATCATTCAAATATTTGGGCAAATACGTAGACAGTAAATTAAAATTTGAAGGGCACTATGAATATATAATTTCAAAAATATCCAAGAAAATAAATTACTTTTATAGAATTTTGCATAGCCTAAGCGTTTATTCTAAAAAAATTGTGTACAACACTATCATTCTTCCTCATTTGTTATATTGTTCGACTATTTTGTTCACTGCAAATAAAACTGTATTTTCAAAATGACAAATATTACAAAATAAAGCTATGAGAATCATTTTAATTAAAAATAAATACACTACAATAAATTTTATGCTGAAAGAACTACAATGGTTAAATATCAAAAATTTCATAGACTACTTGGTTTTCATTTTCATATTCAAGTTAAAAAATCATCTTCTACCAAATCACTACGAAAATTTTATTGTATTGAAGAATGAATGTCACAATTATTCTACTAGAGCAAGTATGGACTTTCATTTACAAAAGGGAAATTGAAAAAATATTTCATGAAAACCAGAATTCATAGTAGTGGACTTTTGTATAAAAATAAGACATAATATATTTTGTGATACACTGTGTAACATGTGCTAAATAAATCTGAAACAAACAAACAATTTTTTCTTGTGTGAATATGTCATCCAAATCCGAGCATTACTTTCTCGGTTATAGGCGGTACAAGGATTACACATATCATATTAAATCCAAAATCTATTTTTCGTTTTTTTCTACAATTACAATAATTCCTCGCCAGTGTTGCGTGGAAGTAGTATTGGTTCTTAATTAGAATGCTTGCTGGATTGACTCACCAATATTGCGGCTGTAAAATGGCATTGCAGCAATACGAGAGGCTAGAAGGTGTTAAGATGGTCGTATGTTTCTGTCCAATGAGCAACCTGCTGCACAGGCCGACCACTTTAACGATTTTCCTGGTGAAGCAGCCGTCGAAAAGTTTCTTGGGCGCGTCTTTCAGTTGACACGTAGTGTGTACCAATCGATTCACGTACATCGGATAATTCATAGTCATGTCCAGAAATTGGCACTCGATAGTCAGTTTGGGCAGGTTCACTTTACTTTTCGGTGGAATGTTCGTCATTGACACTTTCTGGAAATGTCTTTAAATTACTATAATGTTAATAATCCATGATGCATCCTTGAAGTTTTCATCAAACTCTGTACCCCAGAGCCACACTTATGTGAATATTAATATAATATTGTGAATGAGGACTTTAATAAGTCTCAATTAAATTTATGGTAAACTTTCAGTTGCAGACGCTTTTACTCAAATTCGAGTCTATTTCACATGGAACGGAATAGAAGGGAAAACTATTATGAGAGCGTAAAAGTGTGTGTTCGGAAACTAAATAATCATCCAACGTTTAATGTCGTAGTTTAATATCAAACCAAATTTGGTATCAGATGGACGCTGTCAAAAAATCTAAGTTAGAGACAGTTTCAAAATGTTGTAAAGCAAAGCGTTTCGATACATACGTCTTCAGCTAACTTTTCTTTTTATTTTTTATTTTCGTGAGGTGCGGATGGGAAAAATTAAACAAAGAATTCTCCTATAATTTGGTGTATTAAAATTCATAAGTCACAACTTACACAAAGCATTAACTACAAGCAATGCAATACAAAGCAATGGCAATAAAGCACTCAAATTATCACACATAAGAATCACAGTGACAATCTGAATCGATTCGTACATGTGATTCACAATCTCTCGACATTTCAAACGAAAACGATTTCACGTACAAAGCATAAAGAAACATAATGCGCGATAACAATCGGATGGTTTTAAAATAACTACGAGAATGTAATCAAAATTTTTATATAACATTTTAATGTGCAATCTGTATTTCTGATTTCAAGTTCATCCGATTATTCTACCAGAAAGGACGATCGAATACAAAGCAATATATACAATTTACAGCTATGTTCATGAGCGAAAAAAGCAGGATAGGAAATGTTCTTGAATCTACATACATACAATATGGTTGGTGAACATAGGCGGAGTTAGGAGGGGACATTGCCCCCCCCTAAGTTTTATGACTATGCTACTGCTGTTCAAGCATTTAACTGCCAATTTTGAATGATCGAAACTTGCCATAAGTGTGCTTCACGCGTCGCAAACTTTTTCTAACTCCACCGATGTTGATGAAATATGAAACGAACATACGACGTTCAAAGCAGAGGAAAGTAGTATTTAGCAAACATGCACTATAGATAACAATAAGCACAGGCAAAATACGAATTATATCAATTAATACATACATACACGCACAGAATAACCAATACAAAGATGAAACGATGCAAAAATGAGATAGAACAAACATGAAAATGCCAATATTTTACAGTCAGCAGGTCTAGAACAGCGATAGTACATGAAGAAAGGCATAAGACTGTAAATGTATGAATGTGCCATTTTTAAGCTTTAAATGTCTACGCGGTTAACGTTTAAAAATCGTTACAAGTCAGATAGACGATGGTGCATCGACTGCGCATGTATTTTTTGTCCGTTATTAACGAATGAATTACAAATCTGATACAAACTATGTAAGCATATCATCTTGTATCACACACATACCACACTCATATTTTTGATCCTGACCTTTTTCCTTTTGAGCAGACACCCTTTGACCGGTTGAAAGTACGGATGATCCATGAGCTCGATCTCGATGATCGGCGCGAAAAAGGTGATCCTGACGTTTCGGCTGGGTATGAATTGAGTGAGGGCGTTCAAGTCATCTTCAGAGGGCGGGCGCAAATCGCGCAAAGGCGGATCCAGTTGGTCGGTGTAGTAGGGGGGGTAATCGTAGTAGGCGGCTGCCACGCGCAGTGTTGCCATTCGGTGGAAGAGGCCCGAACAGAGACGCAAACGAAGCGGGCCGAAACAGACGCGCGTGCTCGATTTCTCCACGAAATTGCTGAAAAGAAAATAGCAAACAAATAACATACATCTCGATAGATATGCTTGATTGACTGAAAAGTTCAATCTTTCTCTAGGATTGCTTTTGGTTATATCGGGTTTTCCTATAGGCACTTGACAACTTTGAACTGTCACTGTGAACGCACCTTTATATCAATTCATTCAATGACAAAAACATGTATAGTGGATACCAAATAAAACCCGATACACGTCATCGATCTGGAGCTGTGCGCTGTTGCCAGAATTGATATGAGCTCTTTACACCGACTGTTAAGTTGTTTTGGCATTTTGGATACTTTATACCACTTCACAGTAACTTTTGTTCTGAGAAGAACAACTTTTAATTGGCAAGGCAACGATTCAAAGCTCAAATAGCGCAAAACTCACAAACTAAACAATAAAGAACTAATAGTACGACAAAAGGACAATGGCAACTGATGTCAACAAATGAGAAGTGGCAACCTCACATTTCTCTGCACGGCACTACCAACCGAATCGAGACGGGGAAATTTAAACTTCAAGTAGAAATGTCACATTGAATGTAGTCAACTGTTGGTAACCATGATTTTTATGAATGACATCACCTATGACGTGCATCGGATTTTATTTGGTATCCACTATATATTCTTTAATTCACCGGTTGAGCTTCCGGTACGGGTATCACGTATCTTGTAAAGTGACATAATGCCGATTTTTTTTTACATTATGCTGTTTTTTTTTTTGACATTATGTAGGTTTTTCTACAAGATTAACTTAGCACCTAGTTGTACGCGTTGCCTAAACGTCATGAGGCTTGTTATCAATCTTTGGCTCTGATGTGATGTAAAATCTGCTTCTGAGATGGCATTACTGGAGGTCTAACCTGTAAGTTGTATGTGTTGATGATAATTACATTGGGTTCTTATCTCAAATACATTTAATTGAGATTCAAAGCTAGAAATTAGTTGCTTATCCATTCTGGAAATTACATATACAAATTTGCTGAATTTCAAAAATGAGAAAGATAAGAAATAATTATATTCACTGTACACTGTCAAATTACAAGCCATTACATGCTAACAATAATTGGTCGAAGTGCCGAGAATGTTGCTGCCTTTCAAACTTCCCTTGCGAACGAACAGAACACGTCGATTCCACAACGTTCTCAAAAATTGGGCATCGCTCAGACCACACTATGGCGAATTTTGCGAAGAGATCTTGACCTGCACCCTTATAAGATCAAGTTAACTCAAGAACTAAAGCCGTTCGACCATACGAATCGACGTAGGTTCTCGAATTGGGCTTTAGAAATGTTGCAAGGAAATGACCAATTCCAACGCAAAATCATCTTCTGTGATTATTGGTCTACGTCACTGACACTCAGTATATGTAGTGGAACCTATTGACCCAACAATTTTATGTTAAAGTATGGATTTGATCATGAGCTTGCTCACGATTTTCATGGATATTTATGTGTGTCCACGTTTCGTAAAGCAAATGTTGTCTATTAACATTGTAAGGTTTGAAATCTAATGGTCATCTGACTTTCAGACTTAGAAATAAGTCTAATAAATTTTAGTTTGAATCATATGAGACCTTCAATAAATGTTCGCTCGAAAATTCGAGAATTTAAGTAGTAGAAAATTTCGAAAAGGATCTTACCTAAATTCATAGTCGCTTCCAAAGTCTGATAAAATATCGCTGGACGTATCACTTGGTACTTCCAGCTGATAAAGGTAATCGAAGGCAAATGCTGGCGTTCTCTCTAATAATATAGCTTCAGTAAATACAGTCATATGATAGTCCCATGATTTATTGTACTTTCTCTTTCTGCCTTTGTTTTCTTCTGCATTTGCATCGAACAAGGAGTCTTTCATGTGGAAACTTGTAGGAGAACCTGCAATAAACACAATCAATTTTTATATTGAAACACTTACAAAAGTGATACGATAAGAAAAGAGTAATACTTGCCTATTTGCAAATAGTTAATAGGATGTTTCTCTTCAATTATTTCCGTCTCAGCACAGCTGCACAAGCCAACAGGCAGGAGTATAGCTTGGCCGATTCCACCCATGGCACTGAACCATTTCATTCCATGAATAACTGTTTCCATATATAATCCTTGAAGTTTCAACACCAACATCGGATTATATCTCATCTTCTTCTGTGGATATAGAGTGCCTCTTTCTATACCAGACGTTTCTGAAACCTTTAAAATACATTCATGTTGGTTTTATAAGAATTTCTTGTTTTTACATTCATTCAAAACTAAATAGCAACAGGTGTCTGGTTTAGAAATATATACATAGTTTATCCATCATTTATGCTTACATAAATTTTACCACCTACGCCACTGGGCGAGGAGGTATTATAATCGCGAAAAATTTAGAAAATGACAAACGAAAAAAAATTGTTTTCATGTTTCAGAGGATTTTGATCATTTTCGAAAAATATGTTTGGGGAAGAAATTAATTTTTTTGGTATTAATAGGATCCGATCCGTTTAGTGTCTCTATTATACATGTTCATACCTATTTTTTTAATTCTGAGGGTATGATGACATGATTGTATAGGAAGTCAACCTACTTGACACCATTTTTTTGGAACCTACTTTGAATGTGACTGAAGCGTTATCAACATAGAAGCACAAATGCAAAGTATGCCCTTTAGGGCTTTCAAGTTGTTGAGAATTATCCTCCTCTTCCCATGGTGCTGGTAGAACAGCTGATACATATGACCACGCCCAATCGGTCCAAGACTCTTGAAACTCACTTTCATCTAGAAACGCATTTGAAAATTAATACATAGAATAGCAAATTATAAATGATTAATTTACCAGCAGCACTTGTTGAAGCAGATGTCCCTTGTGTGTCAGTTTGTTTTTCAGGCTTCAGCTTTTTCTGTTGCAGTGCATATAACAACATTAATAATCTTAAGAACATCGGAACCTGTTGCTCAGTAGTGCTGAATTCCATGCTGGAATAGTGGAAAACGATAAAATAAATAGTTGTAAAATATCTAATATGGAAAATTTATGTACTAAATTTCAGAAAAAGTCATAATACATTACTTATTGCAATAAATGTCCAATCTAGTTGTAGATGCTCTTTTAGCAGATGTTGAGTGATAATGTTTCAGCAAATGCATAGTCATTGAGCATCTATACAGCATTGGCTCTTGATAAACCTCAATCTTTCCTGATGCGTTCCTTTTATCTAGACATAATGTCAAATCATTCACTGTTATTATTTTCCTTAAAATCACTTCTGTGGGAGACAGATCTGAAAACAAACCAAATTGCAATAAGTTTACTAATCTACACTCTACATTATTGGTCAGCAGTTAAATTATAGCAGAGAAAGATATTTGAGCTCATTCCAACATATAAAGGATAATTAAGCGGATTTTCGAAATTGAAAATACAATAGTAGTAGTAGTAGTAGAAAGATTTATTTAGCACATTTGGCTACATAAACAGAACAATTGTAAACAACTTAGAACTAGTAAATTCAAGCCATATGGTGTATGATGTGAATGCTGGGCAACCTATAATTGTAGATTTAACAAGTGATTTCTCAATTTTACTTTAAATTTTGTCAAAGTTTTCTGGTCTTTTATCTCCGAGTATAATTTATTATATTCAATCAACCCTTGATGGAATACAGATTTGTAGCATATGTTATACTTTTTGGTCATTAAATGGAAGTCATCTTTATTTCTGGTATTATGTAAATGATGGTCGACATTTGATGATGTTAAATTAGTTAGACTTGATGGAAATATATTATTTTTTACTTTATAAATGAATATCATTACAAGATATTTGATAAAATTTTTTACATTGAGCCATTTTAATTTGCTAAGCATTTGCCTAATTGGAGTATATTTATCTTTATTTAGTATTATTCTCATGCACTTATTTTGTAAAATTTGCAGTCTTTCAAAAATGGAATTATTTGCTAAATATAGAATAGTCGAACAGTACAAGAAATTTGGAAGAATGATGGTATTATAGATAATTTTTCTGCTATATGAACTCAGACATCCAGAAACTCTCGATAAATATCCCACTTTACTACTAATCTTATTTATAACTTTTTCATAATGAATATCAAAAATTAATCGAGAGTCAACAAAAACTCCCAGGTATTTAAAATTTTCTACGAATTCAATATCTTCACCATCAATATTCAGTTGAACATTTGTACATTGTTTTTTTCCGATTAACAAGGCTTTCGTTTTACTTGCATTTAATTTTAGTCTGTTAGATGCTAACCATTTTGAGACAAGCTTCAAGTCTTCATTTATATAAGAGATACCAGACTGAATATTTTTAGTACTTATATAAATCATAGTGTCATCGGCGAAAATTTGAATTTTGCATTTTTTGACTATGGCAGGTAAATCATTTATGTATAAAATAAAAAGAAGTGGTCCCAGGATACTGCCCTGTGGAACACCTAACGTATTTTCAATTTTTGATGAAATAGTGTCATTAACTTTTGTAACTTGCATCCTTTTAGATAAATAATTTCCAAACCAATCTAAAACACTTCCTGTTATACCATATGCCTTCAATTTACCTAACAAAATATCTCTATCAATCGTTTCAAATGCCCTCTTCAAATCCAAAAATACTGCTATGACAACTTCTTCTGAGTCTATGGCTCTTCTCCAATTCTCAGTTACCAACTGGAAAGCTGTTTCTGTGGAATATTTTTTTCGAAAGCCTGCTTGCGCCTCCACTAAAATTTTGTTTTCTTCTATAAACTGCATTAATTGGTCATGCACTATGGACTCTAATAATTTTTCAATGTCTGGTAACACATTTACTGGTCTCATATCGCTGCATCTTTTAGAATTTTTTATCTTGGGAACTGGTGTTATTGTAGAGCATTTCAAATTTTCAGGAAAAGAACTGCTTCTCAGTGAACAATTGATCCAATTTAATACAGGATATCCCAAAATTTCGAAACAGTTTTTCAGCACGTTTTTAGTAATCATTTCGGCACAGTTGTTATTTGATTTTAAACTGTTTACTTTTTTCTTAGATAATTCAATGATACGCTGTGAAATTTTGAAAGTGTATGCAACATTTCCCCCTGGAAACTGATTTTCATATAGTCAGGTGCAGCATTGGCAGTACCTACAATATCAACAATACTTTCCACAAAATATTCATTTAGTTTGTTTGCAATCACCAAAGAATTTGTTTCGGTACCGTTTTCGAATTGAACTTGATTTACACAATCATGCGGCTTCGAATTGATCAGTCTTTTTAAAGTCTTCCACATCTTTACACTGTCGCACTTGTTATTATCGATTTGTTTATCGTAGAATTTTTTTTTTCTTCTCTAATTACATATACACATTTATTCCTAAGAGTTTTATATACCTCCCAATCATCATTTGATTTTGTGAATATACATTTATTGTATTGTTTGTCTCTCAAATTTTGAGCTACCTTAATATTCTTGTTATACCAGGGTGTATTTTTTGTCGAGCAAATCAGTTTTTTATCAGTTGCAAGATCTAAACAAGTTTTTATATTTCCTATTATGTTGTCATATATTTTTTCCATATTCTCACCAAAATTCCAATAGCAGCCAGCAAGTTCTCGTTCAAGTTTTTCGTACTTAATAGTATTTACGATTTTCTTAATTTTTGTATCAGAAAAATGCCCTACCAAGGGCAGCATTGTCCAACTGTGATCGCTAACTTTAGGTGTATGTACAGCTTTAATCCCTGCACATTCGAAATTTACAATAACAAGATCTAACAGAGTCTCTGATAATGATGTTATTCTGGTACTCTCTTCAATTTTTTGCTTGAACCCATAGTTGTTTATGGTTTCTTTCAATTTTCTTGTTTTCATGCTTTTACCATAATAATTTAAATTAAAATCACCTAAAAGTATTATATTGTTTCTAAAATTCCACATTTCTTCGCATTTTTCTTCAAAAAACGTTAAAAATGTATCTGCATCACTGTTTGGTGAACGGTAAAAAGTACAAAGATCATAACGTTTCCCAAATAATTTGAACTGTATATGTGCATACCAGTATGCATAGTCTAAAGTGGTACAATCGAATAATGTGATCTGTATTTTGTGGTAAACATAAATCACTACACCTCCAGTATGTCTGGAGTTGGAGTTGCATCTGTAGGTTTTATAATTAGTAATTTGTAATTCACCATCAGTGATGTCTTCTGTAGCATGTGTTTCGGTAAGACATAATACAAGTGGTTTTCTCCATCTTAAAAACTGTTGAACTTCATCTATATTATTCAGGACTCCTTGTATGTTTAAATGGTATATTGAGTTATATTCATCACTTATAGATTTAGCCACGTCTTGCAAATCTGAGCTTAGTAGTTGCTATTCATTTGCATAATTAATTTTTTCCCTCTCACGTTCAATTTTCCTTTTATATACTTCACAATTTTTGTCAAATGGTCCATGATTAATAGGTAATCCTAGATTAAAATCTTGGTTTGCACTTTTACAATTTGGACAGCATTTGTAAATTTCACTGGTACTACAGTTTTCTGTTGAATGTCCTTCTAATCCACAAGTAAGACATCTTCCTGATTTTGTGCAGTATTTAGCTGTGTGGTTAAATCCGGTACATTTATAGCATCGCAAAACATTGATGTACTCGAAAACAGAGCAAACAGACATGTCGATAAAAATAACACCCTGATTCATAACACACTTAAAAGTCACAGCATCCACTTCTAAAATTGCTTGATATTTAGTTTTCATTTTCTTGACTGTAATTACTCTCATATGTGAATTTTCTTGAAAAGATTCATTTTGTGATTTTATAGTATTTATTAGCTCGTCTTCTGCATATTCTTGACAAAATCCAATAACTTTGATTTGTGGTTTTTTACTTATCTCTGAAGTTTTCACTGTATATGTTTCTGGCATTTTTGATTTTATTTCATTATGTAGCTTCGCGTTATCATCTTTTGTTTTACATTGGATTTTCACCCCACCATCTTTCAATTCATAAACTTTTTCAATAGCAATTTTCAAACTGGTAGGATTCACAAATTTTGCGATGTCTTTCTTTGTGTTATTACACTCTTGTTGGTTATTAGGCTTAACAATGACTGTATTTGTGGGTTTTAATACTGGTGATTTTTTTTTTGCTGTACATGTTTGTAATGGTACGCATTGTTGCTTATATTCTACCATTTGTGTAGGCGAATTAACGGTTGAAGGCCCGGAAGCTTTAACCATCTTAGCGTAAGTTGTAATTGCTTCTTGTGACGGCTGTTGCATTTTCCCAATTTTTTTGTTTAATTGGTCTATCTTTTCGTACAATTCTTTTATTAATTTCTCTTGAATCGAAATGGTATAATCTTTTAGTTTCAAAACTTCCTCTGTACAAAATCCCTTTTCACTCAGTGAGACCACACTCTCCACTTCCTCACTAGCTCCATCCTTTTTAGAGTTTTCCTCCATATTCACACTAATAATTCAGGAATCTCCTAAAAACCTTCTTTAGCTTGACCTAATTTTTGACATTAGAAGTCAAAAAAGTATTTCCAGAATTAATTTTGTGCAATCTCTTCCGTGTGGGATCTGCAGCTGCAAACAGGTGTGGCGATATATATTTCGTTAATCTTCCCGGTGATCCTTGGTTGATATTTTTATGTGTGGTCTTTACCAATATTTCGTGTCTGTGTTGGAGCGAATAAAAAGAGCAAGTGTAGTAGTTAATATAGCAAACTTGACAACTTAGAATTTCTACAAATCTCTTGCTTGTAGAAAAAGTTGTCTATATATACATATATATATATATATATATATATATATATTTGTGTGAATGTCTGTCCAGTCTTTCAGCTTTATGCCTGAGCCACAATACAAAGACATAAAAATTGTGCACTTTATAGGCAATTGAAGCCCAAGGAAAGGTTATAGACATGGTTTTATCAGCAAAAATCTACAAACCTCTATTTTTGACACTGGAAATATAAAGAGCAAAGACACCTTATGTTCAGGGAGGATGTCTTTACCTACGACCTTGACCATGATCTTTATGGGTATTTGAGTGCATCCAGAAAGTAAGGAGAAGACAAAATATTTCATAAAGAAAAGTGTTGTGTGATAAAGTAATAATCAAACTCTCATATTTTGAACCACTTTACTAATACTAGGCTATGACTGACTAATAGCTAATACATACCAGTATAAGCTGGTTCCCATTTTTTATTTGCAGACTGAAATTTTAAATGCTTAACATTCATAGAAAGGACAATATCTTCCTCAACATACTTCAAAATAACATTATTGCAATGAATCCTGATGTTGCTCACAATTTTGTTTATAAGTAGTTGTACATATCCCTGAGGTGCCTCAACTTCTTTCCTGAACAAATTCAAAGCAATTAATTTTTTTTTTAATTAAAATATCAGGTCATGCAAGTAATTATCAAAATGTCCAACTTCTTGGGAAATTTGGTTCTTATTATTAGTATTAATATTCTTTTAGGATGCACAAATAACACGTTAGCTCCATAAAAATACCTAAAAACCATCAAACTATATACAGTTTTCCTTAAAAGTGCTAATTACCCTGCAGGCTTTTTTGGCTTATTAGTTTTAGCTTGGGCAGAAGCATTTGGGGTTGATTTTTTTCCTTTTAAATTTAATATACATTCTATAGTATTTATAGTGATCGTAATAGGTTCTGAGGTTAGCTTTGTCCATGGTACATGAATCTGTAACTCCCTTATACTTCCAGACACAAAACTGAATGGTAATTGCAACTCCTGTTCGATGACTTGCAAGTTCAGTTCAAGATTGTGGAATGTAGCATCTCCTCCCCATAGCGAAACCTACAAAGAATATAACATGCCGGAATTTAGCCAATACAAAAGTTGCTCAACCGACTAGAGTGAAGGTATTTTACCTGAGAATCTTCTGGTTTAAGGTTGCTTATATACCGGTTAACATAGCTCAACAAAATCGGTGTAATGTAAGATTCTAATTTGAACATTTCAAATTAAATTATTCCGTATGCTGAAAGTAACCGTATTAAACAGCTATTAGCAATTTAGAAATTTTATACCGTTGCAACATATTTAAACAGCAATGGTTAGAGAGCTTCAAATACAGTACAAATTATAAAATTTTAAGCGATAAGTATTGAAATGTTGGCATTTTTTTGATGTTTTTGCCATATATAAACATCTAACCTGTCAAACGTCATTCAACCTTAACAGAATCTAGAATTAGATTCAGTTCAGTGAGTCAAATCACAATTAATATTATTATCCCATCACTATTAGGTTTCGTTGTCGTGTGCCTAACATACCGCTAGATAGCACCACCAGTATCTTCTTTTCTTATTTCAATGTTTCCTCGGTGTATATGTTTTGTTCATTAGATCTTCAAATACTTTCCTTTCAAGTTCCACTAACCAGACTAACCACGCCACTCGTCGACTATTGGATTTTGACTAGTATGATGATCCAATCAGCGGCCACTCCAATTTGACCTCAGAATGTTAAAATATCATATTAAGACCAATTTATTTCGCAAATTTTAAATGTCTGCATGTAAACCGTCTCAAATTAGTTGATAAAGCTGATACTTATTACCAGCAAGTCTAGGATTCCTAATATTCAAGTTTTTACCAATAATATAACATTGCTCCGACTACCGTACTATCCGGGTTAAATATCTACCCACCCACCGTATAAAATACAAATAGTCTATTGTAAAAAATACCTCTACCTCAAGATTCGTTTTATTCATTTTCGAGTTCTTTTAAATTGATACATCACATATTGGTTTATCTCATTCGCTTTATAAGCGAGACTTTTAGGTAGGTAGTCAAAAAATCATAAGAACTACTTATACTTCGGATTTACACGCACTATAATTTCTGTTTACTTCAAAAATCCGCTAGGAAGTATTGCAATCGTAATAAAAGTCGAAAATGATATGTACAATCACGGCGTACAATCGTGACGGATGATTATGACAGGCATTCCTGATGGGTAACCACGACGAGTGATCGTGGCGGACAATCCTGATGTGAATTCCTGACAAGTAATCGCGGCGGACAATCTTGATATGCATTCCTGACAGGCAATCACGATGGTTAATCTCGATGTGCATTCCTGACGTACAATCACCTTGTGAATTCCTGACGTTCAATCACGACGTACAATCAAGACCGGTAATCACGACAAGCTTTCTTGACGAACATATACCTAAAGTTGGAATGGGTTCATATTGAAATCGACAATCCGCATTCTATTCTTTTTTTGTTCAATTAAAGGCGAAATAAGATGTTAGAAACCTTGAATTAAACGATTAAGATTCTGAAAATGCTTTGTTTTTCGCCATCTATTATATTCATTTGAAACTATTATTATTGCATCATCAGTTTAAAGCTTAGTTATTGAAAATCTTGATAGATGGAGCCACTAGTATTTTGGATTTACTTCAATTGCTTCTTTCCAAAATATGTTAAAAGATGTTGTGAGGTGGATTATTTTATTATTGGTTTTTAAAATAGAATGTGTATTTTTATATTCCAGTGTCTCTGTAACATGAAAAGTAGTATTTATCTATGTAGCAACATTCAAATGGGCACACCCTAATCATTTAAAACTCAACATTTTTAAAAAAAGGGAATACTATCCATCATTGAATAAAGTTTTACAATATGTTATCTGAAAACCTCAACATATTAAATGATGGACACATGAAAAGTTTTTTAACTTCATCCAACATAAGCTCAATCCAAATGTTTTTTACTGTTGCTCATGAATTGACCAGTTGTTTATATTTCAGATTTATTATTTGTGTAAACATTTATATCAATAAATAAAATAATTTTTAATCTGGACTAAATGAGTAAGTATTTTGGTTCAATATTGTTCTTTATTATCTGTATTTTTACTTCCAATGAGCATAATTTTTCTTTAATGTAGATATTTTAATATTTTTTTTTTTGAATCTTTATATTTTTACCTAAAATCTTAGGTACATAGCTAAACTAGTTTTTACATTATTATATTCATTTACTATTATTTTGAATCAGGATATAACCTTCCCGATTCAATTTGGTGCTCCAGGTAAAGGTAATCTTTTAAACCAGGTACTTTGATAGATTTTAATAAAACAGAGTTATTTTATAAAAGTTTATTGAAGCAGATAACAGCTGATACATACATTAGATTTGTATTTTTGCTATACCTTAGAAGTTCCTGAAACAAGAATTAATAAAATAAAATTTTTGTTAGAATGATATGACAATCTTACAAGGGATATGTCAATCTAATTAAACCTCACTCTTATCAGCTTTAAAAGAACTGTAAAACAAATGTTGATAAGAAAAGCAGTTTTTATTATGGAGGAGTATTTTTCAGCAGATTATAACCTACAGTATCTGTGATATATATTTTGAGTGGATTGTTCTAGTCCTATGTATTTCATGTGTATTTTAATGTTTTTATTGTTTTGTTGTCAATAATATTAACTGTTTTTTAGAATGATATATGTGTAATATTTTTTTTTTGTTTTAAATTGGTTTACATTTACATGACATATACCGTACATACAATATAATATGTCTGCAGTATGTTAATTGAAATAAATAAATTTTGAAATTAATGCAGTACTTCAGTGTAAATTTTGGTTAAATGAAAACAAAAAAAGGTAATGATATAACAAATACATTCTACTCAAAAACTACAGATGCCTAAATTAGATTGAGAACTTACTTAGCTAAAAGACCATCTTTCTTAGTTAGCCTTACAATGCAGTCATCTGATTCACCCATTCTTCTGATTGCTCCGCACAAAGCATACATTTTTGATGTGTCTGTTAACCTTCCATTTGAATCAACCTCAGCAATGCTGATCTGGATCGAAGCATGGTCTTTGGCATGGATAATTCTGTTGCTTGCAGAGCTAGAAATATATACAATCATTGAACAACGGGCAATATTAAATTTAGTAATCATGAAATTATAATATTGTTCTTTACTTAAAGATTGAGCTGAAATTTTATGAGACCTAGGAAAGCATCAAAAAGAATCGTATTGTCTTGCTAAAAAGTGAACTCTGGCGTCCAAGATGTCACAAAAACTTGTCAATTGGGAGGAGTCCTAAATCTTAACTAGCATCGACTCGGTAGCCCTACACTTCTTGAGGTAGCAGATATGTTAATGACGCTGCTAGTGTTAATATGTGAAGTGATAAAAATCAGAATCAGTATCCGTTAGGCATAATTACTAAGTATTCAAATAATAGTGCAAATGCAGAATTACAAAATCAAAAATACACGTGTTATAAAACATAACCTTACCATTTCCTGGGGCAGTACAAGTCAACAGTTTCACCAGAGTCGTTCTCCATTTTATGATTCTGAAAAATGGGTTTATCAAATTCCTATTCAAAATTGGACAAAAAAGTGATAGTGCTTACAAAAATATGTTTTCCAACGAAATGAACTGTCTCTCACCCAAACAAGATTGCAAAAGACGGAAGCTATGTTATGTTGCCAAGCGTCATCATTAATGACGGGTGACAGGCGGTTTATTGATCAAGTGACCGAGTAATTCCTTCGTTGATTGGACGATTCACGTCAATTTGTCAAGAAGCTGTCAAAAGTTGTTACAGTGTTGCCGGCGAATAGCTTTGTTACCTATGAAAAGTTCTGAATCGTTAAGTAAAGTTCCTGGATTTTGCCCAATCCATTAAAAGAATAATAAGACATTCCAAGATTTAGGTGTTGAGGAAAAGTTTCGCAGTTCAAATAAATCTAGAATTGAATATATAAATACAATTATTACAAAAGTGAACCAAAATCTGGATCGATTAAAATTTACTAGTGTACTAGTTCTACTACAGTGCTACAAAATATAATTATTATTCTGTGCATAGTTGTAATCGTTTATTTCTGAGCTGCAATTATTCTAGCTAGCTGCCGTACTTCCATCGATATCCCACCGAAAATCATGTGTTATTCGCACTTATGATAAGGACAATATTTCAAGCGATGATTTGCATCTTCAGTATTATACTTGGGATTTTCAAATAATTTATATATATATATATAATTAAAGTCCTTTCAAATTTGTTCATATTGATACGGATGCAAGTATTCCTCGCTGATTGATCTTGAATCTTTACAATTTAGTACACCTGTTGGAATAAGCTTTTATTCTTGGACGTTCGAAATCGCTTCAAGAAGGTGGCGCGCCCTGTCGGCGACATCGCGCAGTACTATTTCAAATGTCGCCAAAAAAGGAAGTTTGATAAAAAGATGGCCGAAAGTAGTGGTAGTGTTGTAGTGTCAAATAATGCAAATACAGCAGGAGAAAACACACAAACAAGAGCAGTGCAAAGTACAGATTCTACAGACAAAATCAACAACAAGACTGATAAAGGTGAGTTGTTCGACAAACGTAAACAAAAATTGACGATTTCGAATTTGCAAGTTTGCAACCGTGTTGACAGCAGCTGGTATGTTTTGTGTATGTTGTTCGCCAAATAAACGAAATATATTTGTTTTAATTTGCTATGCAATAAATAGAAAACGTGCCAATTTATCCTGACTGAGACTAAAATTCTTCTCAATCAGTGTCCCAAATAGAGAAATAACAATTACAGCACTCCCGTTGATGTAGGTTAGGATTCCTCGAATGTGTGAATTATTTCTTTGTGTTCCGACTCGTACTGCGATGAAATTTCGACGACAAATTGTCGCAATACCAGCATAAGTAGAAGTGATAAATATCATTATGCTTGTCTATGCTTGATAACAATAATTTTCACTTGGTGGCTGGCCTGCGACAATTATTCAAAATTTCCCGCCGGTTGGTGAATGTCATAAAAACACTGAGTTTTCTTTTAGTTATGGAGCCAATATTACTAGAAGACTACAGATATAAGGAGGATCCTCAAAGTCTCAAAACTATGCTACAGTATCTGGAGAGAACTGTCCCTGATGCTACAATTGTTGACATACTGGTCAGCATGATTTTCATTTTAATGTCAGAGTCTGGTTTTGTACCAATTGAATACAAGGATGAATATGATGACTATACATTCAACTATCAACGGTTACTCAAATTTTCAAAAAAGCTCCCAGATGGCTGGAAAAAGAATGGATTTTACAGTTTTTGTTTCATATTGCCACCTTTTCAACTGTACGAATGTAGAGTGACATGCTTGACAGCTGCTGATGATTTGATCATCAATTGTGTAGTGAAAGGATTGAAGGATGGCAGTTTTCAAACCTGCATCGACCCTTTAACTTTCTTCTGGAGTCCAGCATGCTTCCTAAGAAGTGAAGCATTTCATTGCTTGAATCTCCTCTCTTGGAAGGTCAAAGAAACGATCTGCTATCCAGCCAAACAGTTGATTTTACGAAAAAACAATATCATAGCTGGCTGTATAGAACAACTGCCACATGAGATCATACTGCTCATTTTTAACTATTTGAGTACAAAAGATTTGGTAAATTTGAGTAAAATGAACAGTAGGTTTCTTGAAATTATAAAAACTATTTGGAAAAAAAATGTGTAAATGATAAGGATTTACTAATTCATTTGTATATATCACATTAAAATGTAAATATCTAATATGATATGTTTATGTAAAAAACCAATTATAGTAGGTGACTGTAATAAATGGTTAAGCCTTTTTTATTATTGTATAATAAAGTATGAATGCAAATTACTTGTGGTTTTACTTTATTTCTTTGATGGTTCAAAGATAAAGCCTCTTGAAAATCAGATTCTCTTTTTTGATTGAGGTATTTTGTTAAGAGAAAAGAGATGCTATAGGGGAAATTTTCATAAAAAAATACATATTTAAATTCAGGAAATAACAGGTGCGACCAGTCACATTACAATAAAACTTTACCAGAATATCAAATTTATAGTGATGCCATTATAAAAAGTCAAGACATAAAAACTCAGTGGTTATTGGAAATTGATATAAAATATCAGAATTTGAATGAATTATAGTTTCGTACATTGACAGAATTTCATAAAAAATATATTTGATTTTTTACAATTTGATCGATGGAACTAGATGAAAACTGTATCTTAATCGATACAATCTGTTTATGTTGTGTTGATCTTTGTGTACCTTTGTACTTATTTATTACAGGTCAAAACCCATCTGCTGATTATCGCCACATCCACTGTCTTCTGGTAGTTCAAATTTTCGAGGATCCTTCTTTTTTTTTTTGTTTCTTATATCTCTTTAGTCGCTAGGAATACCTAAGTGACAAGGAAAAATAGCTCCATATTTATGAAATTTGTATAACTATGCAAATTATGTGGTGTACATCTACAGTTTTACTTTTAATTTTTTTATTTAATAGCGAATAAAGTTTCTGCATTTGTTTCAATATCATGAATACCTGCCAAACAGCCATATAAAAGAAGATTCAATATACACTATGATTGAGGCATAAGAATTATTTTCTAAAAGCGATTCAGGAGCATATAACACATGTGTTTTTTATGATTTAGCCGATATGTGGTGATAAGTTTGTTTTGGTGAACATGTTGTGTTGTATGTGGTTTCAGAGAGTAACCTACCACCTGCTGATGGAGCATTCCTCTCTACAATGACAGTGTCCATGGTGGCACCTCCGGAGGCCACCAGCATTGGAACCACTGGACAAATCTTGGATCTCAATCTGAACAACACTAATGGTGACCCTGGTATGTACAAGTAGTAGTTTGTTGTCAAAGGAAATAAGTATTAGACACAAATAGTCTATAACTCTTGATATATGTATGTAGTTTCTGCTACAAATATGTACTGATTTTGACTGACAAACATGGGGTGAAAAATACTAGTCGTCATCCTTTGGATTAGGTACCTGTTTTAAGACTATTTTGTTCTTTGTGGGTTATCGAAAAATCGCTCAAGATGACTAGCTTCCGAAAATATCATTTTTCTTCAAGGAAGCCTTTGCTTGCTATTTTATAAAACTTCAAAGTTGCATTTTGGATAGTAATACTGTGGTATAGAATACTGCTTTATAAGCTGGCTTTTTCTTGCTTACACAAAAGAATGCTCAAAATTATATGAATATAACATATATTGTATATTACTGTGTGACAATATTCATCGCAATCTTGTATAATTTTAATGATAGAAAGAGATCATTGTTAAGTAGTCATATCTTTTATTTCAGATAAATATTCCCATCACTTATCACCATTACTAGCATAATTTCTTCATCTAGTTGCGCTGTTCCCAAATCATGGATAGTAATAGAGTAAAACAATTCCGCCCGCGAATTACAATTTGATTTTGTTTTTGGGCACGGGATTGCCAAGCACTTGCAGGCACTTTTTTGAAGAATGCCACAAGCCCTTCACAAAAATACATCGGTATTTTTTCCCCTAGATTATAGTGAAAGTTCATTTACTTTTTGTATGTAAGTACTTAAAGAATTATTTAGAGTGAAGTTGATGTCACAAAATATGGAACTGGCGACGTGGTCTATATTTCTCCCCAGAAAAGTACAATTTGGCTACAATGTACAGCATTTGCCATATCTGTCAATAAATAAACGTTATAAAATAACTACTTTCAAATATTTCTTGTAAACGTAAACATTTTGATCTCATTGAAAATACGCGAAAAAAATAGTTAAGGAATTTCAACATTTAGAAATCACACACACCTCTACGCAGTTTACACCAAGTATATACCATCATTTACGGTATGTATTCTGAACTGTTATTTTAGCTTATTGCACGGCAAGTTTTGAACCTTTTTTTTTTTGAAAAATAACGATTTTTTATAGTTTCACACCTGTTCTCCTTAAAAAATGATAATTTCTACTGATTTCTTCGATTTTCTAAAAAAAAAAGAATTTCGGCCTTTACGCGATAAAGGGTAGTTTCATCTCTTATACCCGTTGTACATTGACGGATTTCTTCATGAATTGAGTTTATAGTCAAATTTCAAAAGTTTAAAACATGAGATTCGTGGATTTCTTCACGAAATTGTTTTCCTTTACATTATATTGAAAATCTTTTCACCTCAAGTATAGCTGTATGTTGCTGAAAGTAAATGAAATTGTCGACTTCAGGGGATCAGATATTTCCAAGAAGATGTCAATCCTCTCGGTTGGTGCTTTGCACCCGTATAGACGATTGGCATTTCAGATTAAATTATAGTTCTTAGGATTTACCAAAATGGTAAGGAAATAAAAGGCTTATCGCGCGATTATAGTAGAATATGTTATTAATTTAACGTGTATTGCATTGTAAACTTTCTGAAGCAAAATCGGGAATTTAGAGAAGAATCTAAAAAAATCTACGTGGCATAATAGGTAAGCTGTGTCAGCTAGTTTGAGAGCAAATGAGAGACGATGTTATTAGGCATATAAGAATTATTTTACACTGTTGCTTTCATTTATGTTGAGTGACAAAGAAGCGATGCTAGATGGTCGTGAATATTTAAGTTGTAATCTAATATGTTTGTATGGAAATTCCTAATTGAAAAGAGAAAAAATACGCGTTGTGCGACCCAATAAGCTGCACAGCTAACTGATGCAGAAGCCTCAAAAGTAAAAAAAATCAACATGTTTCAGGTATTTCCGTGAAGTGCAGGTCATTCAGTCAGTATTTTTCTACGTGAACGATTATTATTCGTGATTTCAAGTGCCTAGACTCGCTTATGAAGTGATATTTAAGGATGATTTCAAAGGATCGCTTCCATAGGTTTGTAGTATCGGTGATAGTTCTCAACTTTTCGCCCTGAATCAGAAAAGGTCGTTTTTACACATATTTAATTCATTAAAGGTGCAATGTTTGAGAAACGGCATCAACTTATATTTACCTAGAATCGAAAGACGACTACATCTTGTGATAAAAGTATAACTACAAGTACCTACAATATCTGTATTATCATTTGAGACCAAAAACAAAAGTGTGTTCACATAAATACCATCACATATGATGATATAATATATAATAATGTATACCTATGTTTTGTGTTTAATCTGTGCGTGTGTGTGATAAGATAAAGGTGCTGTTTTAAGAAAACGAAATTAATTTAGAACGTAACGCGATCTCAGCTTGAAAGGTGATCGTGAATTTCGTCGTGTCGCGATGGTTAAAAATGTCTAGCCTATTGAGGAAGATATCCAAAAGCAGGAAAAGATTGGACGTATTCCACTCCAATGAGGATCTCACTGAACAAACTACAGGTACTCAAAATGGTGGTATGTTTCATTTTGTAACCAAAATAGATATAAAAAATATGTTCCAACTTTATCAGTATCTTACAAGAAGTGTAAATGGCTACCCTGATTCCGTGTTGTCCCTCCAGATTTTGATTGCTTCTTGTAAATGATAAATAGGAAATATATGGATAGGCTGTGACTGACAAAGAAGACAAATGGGTCAAGTGGACAGAAATTACTACCATAGTTTTCCATAAAAAAAAACCATAAAAATATCGAATTTTACGCAATTCCAATAATAAAATAAGAATCGTTGTTAGGGAGTATCTATTGATAAATAGATTTTTTCAAATCTTATCGCTGTACCGCTAATTTTTATTATTATCAAACTCTATCAATTTATTCGCGTCCCGATTAGGATATTATGATAGAAAGATGGTAATAGCAGGTTATGTCCAGTTGATATACAGGGTGTAAAGTTAGTTGTGGATCAACGGAAGTCAGGAGATATTTGCAATTTTGTGAAATTTCGAAAAAACGGGATAATGAACTTTCAATCGCAATTACAGCTAAACCATTAGGTTTAGAGCTGTGATTTTTTTTCTGATATGAGCTAAATCGCTAGTTTTAGCAATGGTTATGTCACTTTTTAACAGAGCTTATTAGAAATTAACGCAAAAAATCATAAATTCATTTTTTTGTGAAAAATCTCTTTCATCCCTCAACTTTGAAGGGCGGTATTCCATTATTCATTTACCAGTGTTCTTAATTCTTATCCTATCCATTGAAATGCCACCGGTATTACTATTGTAATAAAAAAAATCATGCACGAGCACGCAGTATTAAAATGCGATCAGCGTTTAATTATCCTTATTTTATGCATTGTTTTCAAATAACGCATAAACATACTATAATTGCCCGAATTTATCATTATTATGGTTGACGTAACTCGTAGGTGACTCACTACATTTAGATGATAATGATAATCTTCATACAATCACATCATAATTCGTCCAATTGAAATGAAGTCGATATTATTTGTCTTCTAGGTACCTTTGAAGACTCACCAACCGCAGACGGTAAGTTTTTTCAATTTTATACATTTTAGATTCACCGTCGAGTTAGGCGCGGTCAATATTTTTATTAATTTAATTATAATTTTCCTAATGGTTCATTGCTTAAAAAATCAAAGTGGAAAAGTTTAGGTATAGACCATAGTCATAAATCATATTTCTTAACGGAAGAGTGAAATATTGTATACCTACATCAAAAATAAAAATGGACCCAACCCTAGCAAATGAAAAAAATCAAATAATTAGCGTGTTTCGAGATTTCATCAAAAATGCTAAAAGCAGTTTTACGCGCGAGAATTTTAAAAATTTTCGGTGTAGACCACTTTTTAAAAAAAGACCTCGCAAAAATGTTATGCTCCAGGCCTCGCATTTGCCAAGGACGGCTCTGCATGGCAAATGTTTCATAATATTGGAAACAACGCGGCCGTAACAAGGTTAAAAATACCTGATCGTATATTATCCAATATCGCACGGTATTATGGTTAATGGTTATCTGTGTGCAGATAATCGCCATCCGGAGCAGCAGCAGCAGCAGAACGGTGCGATAGGTAATCATCTGATGGTATAGCATACATGTTATGCTCTATAAAAATGCATCGTGTATCGTGTGCATATTAGTTCCGGTGAAAAGGATTCAATTATTTGCTACTCGGTTGGCGACGACAAAGTCTCTATATTTATACGCGTATACTGCCAGTGGCGGCGCGCGACGGTTGGCGATGGCGTATTCAGGAAACAACACAACGGTTGCTAAACCAAAATCACGAAATCAATCAACGAATTCGAATACGGGTAGAAGGCGTAAACAAAGGATTTGTTTTAACAATCATCTAGAGTCTAGAGGGACACACAAACTCGAGTGACTACTACTTTTCTGCGGTGTTGCCACATCTTGTTCAAACATATAATTAAAAAAAAAAGATCACAGCGATTTCCGAAAACGTCTTGAGCTAGTCTTATCCTGGTTGCGTACTCAGCATTTCAGAATACATCTAAAATAAACATCGAAGACAATTAAGAAACATGTATTGTTATATCCCGGTGATATTTCCTGAAAAACTCATATTTGCGTACTGAACGTGGCAACGCTGTGGTGGCAAATTGAGAACAGCTGGGCTGATTTCTGGTGTTTTATGCTACGGCTTTGTGCAATTGAGGGGAAGCTTTATTTTGCTCATGTTGTCATGCTTACGTGCGTTTTTCGTGATATTTTCACAGAGTTTTGAGGATTTTGAAACATTCCTCGAAGATGGTGAAGTGTTGCATGTTGTGTATTGTATACCTACAATTTTCGATTTTCGTTCAAGGTCAAGTTTTGTGTAAACAATAATCTGTTGATGTTGCTAACAAACAATCGTTTAAGATCGTATGGGCTTGGCTTCTTCTAACCTAGTCCGAATTCGTTGAAATCAATAGATATAGGAGCAACGTCGGTAGGAAGAAAAAGCTTGACTTGTTATCAAGTAGCTGGAAAATCAATTCGAGTAAAGAACTATGATTATCCACTGGTGGAACCTTTATCGTGCAGAAAGGGATTTATGGAACGAATCTTGCACTTGGCAGAATCAAAAATGGGAATATCCAGATTAATTTATTTCAAAGCGATTCTTAACCTTGTTTGGTAGGTCAAAATTGACGAACTTTGGATTTTTGCAAGGTGTACATCCAGGTTGTGAACCTGCGATCACTGATTCGATTTTGACAAGCAACGGCTTTTTTATTTTTCATTTCACATAGGCCCGCATTATTAAGAGCTGAAACTTCGACAGCTCAACGCAATAGACCTGCTGTATTTTTGTGTTGACAATAAGCGTTTAGGGTGATAACGTATTTACAAGCAGTAGCAAAAGGCATGTACCTGTCCTGAGTATGCGTTCACATACGGACGGCCATGTTCTACAATATGATGTAGCAATATTGAACAGCAAGAACGCAGTGCAGCGTGTGCCTTCGTCTCTCCAATCTCCTATCTTCTTTAAATAGAACTCACATCGCGTTCTCCGTAATACTTGCATAGAAGGATGAAAAATAAAAAGATTTTTTTTGGAAAAAATGGTGTCTTCATTTCTAACACGAGTACTTATTGAACCGCCCTCGTAGCTGTAGTTCAGCGTCCAAAAAGTTATACGAAATGAGATACCATAGCGTCATCCATGAAAATTTTTCACAACTGTTTCACACGTACACAATCTTTAAATCTAACATCATTCCAAAGTATGCTTTTATTAGAAAGTTAAAAAAAACTGAAACTATTCTAAAACAAAGTCTGAGATATGCGTGGAATGTCATAAAGCCTCATAGCATTTTGTATAACGTAATACTTATGCGTGGATTGACTGAAACAATCTATTGACAATTGATATTGCTTAATATTTCAATGTTTCTAATGTTTATGTACTGTTGTAATATTGACTCATGTGAGAATTTGAGTATATATGGAATATTATGTGTAAAAGTGAAATTTTTCAGGCAGCGGCGGGCGGCTTTGAATCAGTTGAAAGTTGCTCTAACTAGGGTAACAATCAGACATTTTTTATATTTGCGAACAATTATTGTTCTCATTCTCATTTGAATAAAACAAACGAAATTGTTGTCATAAATCACTTTGTTCTATAGAAATTGACAATTAATGGACAATGGGCCGTTTTACAAACGGACTGTTGCGTTATTCAGGCTACATACATCGCAAAATACAATAAAGTCTTTATCATTATTAATGGCTTTAAGAAATAGCGAAAGTAAGTACACACTGTGATATGGAAAACATCCATTGTGTATTGAAAAACATGCAATGACATTCGGGTTGATCTAATTTGTAACTGTTCAGTTTTGTCACTTTCCTCGAACCGGTTTTATACTTCATTTAAAATAAAAAATGTGGTCAAGTTTTTCATTTCAAGTTTTAAGATCAAATGTATGGGGAAATGTATGTTGTGTATAATATGTCTAACAGAGGTATGCAGACTTCCCGAGGTTAGGAGCGTATACATACTAACGTCAAAAAAAAATGAGATATACCTCTAAAATATTTTATAAAAATCTTCAGGATCCTTTGAAACGTCAAAAAACGAAGTTTTGGCGATTTTTACAGTTTTCGATTTCGACGTTTCTTACCTTCGCTGCCACCGATTTTTAAAAACTACAAAGGTTTTTGGTCCTCGGCACCTTATGTGAAAATTTAATCAATATCCGAGCCTCTTCTCAAGTTAGAGGCGGTTATACAATTAGAGGACAGACAAACCGATTAACTGAAATGAGTGACATGGTTTTTCGTGATGTACATGTCATATAACATCCGAAAAAAATATCTCGTTTTTCGCGATTACAATGCTTCCTCGCCAGTAAGCGTGGGAAGTAAAAGTCTAGGCGCATTAAACAGGAAACTTATTCACTCGGGTCTGATCGAGTAAAACGCTCGCCAAAAACAAATTAATAAAATAAGGACAAATTAAAGGAAGGAATAAAATAGCAAAGAAAATAATTAGGCTCTTTCTTGGCATAGCCGTTATTGATACAATATTGCATGCAATTCATTTTAATGTTTTAAAAGTTATTCTATTGCATACTATGTTTTTGTAAAAATATACTTTTGCGAAAACAATATGATTTCGACAAAAATCAGAGGGTGGGGTATCGGTGGCATTCAAATAGCTCCAGAGGAAAGGAAATGTGCATTTTATCCGTCTAGTCGGCTGTGCAAGGGAAGACGAACCAACTTGGTGGGAAATCGGGAAATAGGGGCGGTGGTGCGGGGGGCAGAAATAGGGAAGGAACGCTGATCGCCATAGTTACCTACATGGTTGCCGTGATATCTAATAAAGAGAAACGAGCGCGTTCATGCCGTTTTAGCTTCCATAAATTTCGATGTACACTAGTAAAATTCAGTCTACCAAAGGGTTTGAAATGAAGCAAAAGGAGGTTTTGTACCAGCTTTGATTGTCGTATAGGTTAGATAATTATGTTCAAATACAATTAGAACATGTAGGTTTATTCCGTTTCTTATGAATAGATAGTCAATGTCACGTATCGTCACGTGTGTCGGTAATATAATGCGAGAACATTTTGTTTACCATCCCAACGATCACCTTGCGCGGTGTGTTTGCCCTGAAAATTAAGCTCCATAATATAATATGTTGTAATGTGTATAGCAACGCGCCGCGAATTGAACCAAACAAACAGGTGCATGATAAATCAGCCGATCAGCCGACGAACAATAGATAACACATTCCAGCCCAGCGCATTGTCATTATCTGTAGATGCGGCAACGTCGCGCTCAACTCATCCCATCCAACATCATCTCCCCGTTTCAGCCCGGCCGTTTCCACTTCCACACTCTTGATCCCCAACAACAACACTGCCTCGCTCGTTTTTCTCTTCTCGTCGTTGCTCAGGTGTTAGAGGGAGACGGAATGATGAGCGTGCAGCGTAGCTTATCTGATTAGATGGGAATGCCTCCGCTACCGTTCATGCACAGGGCTGCATTTGCACCGACTTGATTAAGAATACACAATACAGCAGGTAACCAGATCAAATGATGGATAATAATTATTTATTGAATTGCTTATAGCTATAAGTTGTTTTAATGTTATGTTTATGTTGTCAGTTGTTGTTGTTCATTACCCCTAATGTGTTTAATTTTTCCAATTAAACTAATAATAATTTTGCAAGTTAGACAATAGAACGGTTTTTTTACTTAAAAATGGCGCATCGAACTAAAGCAACTCAAGAGAGATCATGAGTTTTAAATGGAACGAAGAATTCAAAAATAATTTTTATTTGGCAAATAGCCATTGGCGTACCATTTTTTCTTTAAAAAATATCGATGTCAATACCCGTACGCACGCCACTGTTAAAGCTAAAATTTACTTTTGCATTGAAAAATATGCAATTCTGTTAACTTTCACTACGTACTAAATATCAGTGAAATATCTGAAGCGGTTCTGAACATATTAATTAATTTCTATGTTTTTCCTAAAACTACAACTCCCCGAGTTTTTGTAAGGAAACATTTTTGGACCATAGTTTATAAACCAAACTAACATTAATTTTTCATGTAGATTCACACCCTTAAATATTCGCATATCATTAAGGAACACCCTGTATGTAGTTTATACAGTTTTGAATATTCTGCCCGAAATTGAGCCTGAAGTGGAATTCCTCAAAGTTCGGTCGGACACCAAAAATATGCGCGAGTGCGCCCCTGGAATTCAAGTCGGTGTGCGTTGTGTCGGATCGGGTTGCGTCGGGCGGGCGCGCCTGCGATCGTCCTGTTACGAACACTGTCGAAATCACTCGACCCGAGCCGAACGTCCGTAAAAGTCTGAATCGGTTCGTTTCCGTTTCGGTCTCTGGTCTCGGCCGATGCGCCGTCAGTTTAAATCCCTCGGTGCGAAGGAGTGTACGCGGGCGAAGCGCATCGTATCAAACATGTGCACTACTACAAAACTGTCAGAACATTCTTCCTTACCGCAACCCTTTAATTGTGTTTGAACGCGGCTCCCATCACGGCCAACCGCTATTCTTCCATCCACCGTAATCGGTCGATTTCCGCTGGTACACTCCTTCGTTTCCGAAGCCGTTCGTAATATGGTGGATGGCCTGTTCCCGGTCGGGTAGCATTAGCGGTGTTCCCGTTCAATTCCGTTTATGGGTACTGCCTGATTCTGTGCCCTTTCGCGTTATCCGCGATGCATGAGAAAACGGTAGCAGCAGCAGCAGGTACGACGACCACGTCAGGTGCGACCACAACAATGCAACCTGTCCAGGCGGTCCAACAACAGCAACCTCAACCTGGCGCACCTCCTTCGATGGCGGCCAATCCGAAGCCCAAAACTGTGGCGATCGTCGCACCCACAAGGAGTAACAGTTTAGATTATTTGAATTTCGAGGAAAAACGCAGGCTGATCGCATCCTCGTTGTCGCTGTCGGATTTTCTCACCGTAGGAAATACGGATGCCAGTGAATACAAGGAGATACGTGATGGGGTTACCACAACTGTTATTGTCTGTAAGTGTATTTTTTATACGTATGCTTGAAATTCCTTAAAACTGAACGCAATACAAACATTTCATGAATGTACGTTTGCATGTTTTTCGACCGTTCTGTTTAGTTAGTACCTAGGTAGATCAGCTGGTGATGACTATAGGAATGAAATGTCACAGTCAAAGTAGATAATAAACAAAGATTGACGAATATCTTTTTCCAAGTTTTTTACGCAAACTCCTATACTGGGTACTCGGCCATTAGGTTATCTAGCAATGTCTATCAACGCGATTATTTCTTTTCGTAATCCACTAATACCAAATAGAAACTTATATATGGACAACTGGTTTTTAATCGACGCGACGCGACGGTTGTGCTTTGTTTCTTGCTTTCTTCGCTAGTCTGTATTCTAAGATAATGCTTATGTTTCCGTAATCATAATAAGTAATGGAATTAAAATATTCTGATTGGCGTCGACTGTATCGGAAACATTATAAAGTTAGTCCGATATGTTACTGATTTGTAGAATTTTTATAAAACCACAAATGTAATACGATAACTTAAATAGAAATAAACCAACAGCTACCTCAAAATACTGTGATAAATAAACAAGCGAAACATTTTCCCGAAATTATGTATGAACAAATATTCACATGAATGACGAATAATTATGGTCCCTCTTCTTCCTAAACAACAATGTAAGTCATGGTACCACTACAGCAGCTTGCCATATCTCCTACGCCCTTATAATGGTTGTGTCCTTGCATTTTTGTAAACTGGCTTGGCACTGATAAGGATAAAATATAAATACACCTATCTAGTACCATTTTAGTAAGTTAACATTCGCGTTTTGTACTGCTACCAATAACCATCTCTTTTAAAAACGCACATTTTCCTCGCGAAACTTTAATTGCTACATAGGTATTTATCAGTTACAATATATTGAAAATATTTTATACAAGCTGAATGAAATGCGTCTCAACATCAGCCTATAATTTATGATTTTGTTGCCTCTGTTTTAATTTGAGTATTTTTTACGATAATATCATTGTTCCATTTGTTTAAATTTGTCAACAAAAACGACTTCAGAAATACATTATGGGTATGTGTATGTGTGTTTAAAAATCAGTAAAAGCTGTTCACCTCCACTTACCAGTTAGGTAATTATTACTGTGTGTTGTGTGTAAAGTTAGCTGCCGATCTCTAAAAATATACAATACAGCAACCTGTAATATGCTACCGTGAGTTATACGATCGATGCCTCGAGATCGCTTTTTAAAAAGTTTATTTTCGAAAATACAAAACTCAAAAATGTACTTTTACAAAAATTATTATGATGTTCACAGTACAAAGGCTTAAATCTTACTGACTATGAAATGTGTTGAGAACAATAAAGTAGACTGTAGGTCTTCTAGGAAATTAGTAGCATCGTCGGCAGTATTCCTGGTTCCTGGCATATCAGCAGGAACGGCTGGTATAACTCGTGTGTAATGTGTGTAAAGTTGAAATTTGAAATATCTATCATGTTGCTAAATAATCAAAAAATCAATATTTCCGCTAGCTCTGTCCGGATATTTATTAAACTGCACGGTAATGCAAACAACGAGTATAGTGTGAGTGTGTGGGTATCATAATACGAAAATAAACAGTAAATGACATAAATAATAACAGTCTAGACAGCGGGCGGAGCCATTGTGGCATTAAGTGATCCCAGCTAACACTACTAGCAAGCAGCAGCAGCAGCAGCAGTTGCCGAGATTCGAGTCGAATCGGATCAAAGTCCAGTTTAAATTGTGCAATCATCATGTTCACGAAAAAAAAAAAACATAGCGATGTTGTAGTTTTGCTGTTTGCTGGACGATTTAAAATCAATCCAATAAACTTATTTGTTAAACATTTTAAGTCACCATCATTTCTATTCTTTGAAAGTCCTTTCAAATACAATTACCAAAAGTAGAAATAGCGCACATCTTCATATTATAATCCTCATATTGATCCATCATTTTACACGTCTTATTGCATCTCTTTGATTCATATATATAGTTTACTTGAGAACTATTAGAATACTTATTTCTTAACATTTAATAATCCTATTGATTATTATTGACTTATCTCTGGATACCAATAGATATGATGGTACCTTTAAAGATATTTGCTAACCAGATCAAAGCATCAAAATTATTAACAAATGAATTGATAATACCCTTTTTCCACCAGGTTTTCTACATAGTATGGAAAAGCGGAACATTTTAAATACATTTTCGGCGTACGATGTAACAGATTGATTTGCTGTGTGAAGTGGCAGATGAGAGAAAAAATGTAAATGTCAAAGATACGTTTTTTAGCTTTATTCAATAAAATGCCATTCCTCAAATATAACACCTCTGACTCATATATCTCGAAATGAATGAACTTGGCAGCTGCCAACGTTGTCATAGGCGTGTATAGTAGTTCTGATACGTAACATTATACAATGACGCGTTACCGAAACATCTCGTCATGCAACTTATTTACACCATTATAATTATTTAATTCGACACGATGAGTAATCATTATTGAATAATACGCATAAATAATGTGAATTCCGCATTGTTTACATCGAACAAGATGCGCGGAAACATGTTTGTTGACCGACTGGATTCGGTAGAGGGCGTTCCTAGCTAACGAATGAGCGGCTGGTCAGTTGTCTCCGAGCACTTGGAGAGACAGGACAGGCATTTTCGCGCGATGTGTTTCTGGGAGTGGTGCAAGCCGAAAATGCAGCGTTCGTTAGAGCAGAGGTACGCGATTAAATTCTGTGTGAAACTCGGTAAATCTGCGACAGAGACGTTTGATATGATCAAGCAGGCTTACCCAATGGATAAGAAAAAGTGGATGCGCAACTAATTTCTAGCTTTGAATCTCAATTAAGTGTATTTGAGACAACAACTCAATGTAATTATCATCAACACATACAACTTACAGCTTATACCTCCAGTAATGCCATCTCAGAACCAGATTTTACATCACATCAGAGCCAAAGATTGATAACAAGCCTCATGACGTTTAGGCAACACGTACAACCAAGTGCTAAGTCAACGTCTTGGCGAAAAACCTTCATAATGTCAAAAAAAAACAGCATAATGTCACTTTTCAAGACACGTGATGCCCGTGCGGCTCTGACTACCTGACGTTGACGGATCCGTCCGAATGATGTCCTGTGCCGATACGGGAAATTGCCAGATATCACTAGATAATCAGCTGTCATTCTACCGTGATGATACTCGTGAAAAAGGGTATACGGCGGGACAGCAGATGAGGTTATGTTACAATTTCTGACGAATCCCAATTTTTCGCGAGGTGCGAAGGCACCGAATACCCTAAAAATAGAATCCGCAGTCGCGTCGTCGCCGCCGAATTGAGCGGCTCCTGGAATTCCACATACACATTGCGGTTTGACCCAACTACAAATATATTTTATAATTTTCAACTGTCCCGGCTATTTTTAGAACGCAATTTAATTTTAATGACAATTAAGCTTTTAAGAATGTAGTCTTGAGAACGGTCTTAGAACAAAAATACAAAACAGTTTTACGACAAATTTCAA